GTGTTTACTCGGCCAGGACGGTGGATCATATGAAAATCAAACCGTGATAGATAGAGGGCCCATCGGGCTTGTCGACGGGTAAGGTCTTGTGCTGTGCGCCAGAATTCGAGGTTGGAGTGGTCGGTGATAATGTCGAATGGTTGTGGAAGTCCTTCCAGGAAATTCCTCCAGTCCTTCAATGCTTCAATGATGGCAAGCATCTCCCGATCATATATTTCATAGTTCCGTTCTGCTGGCTGCATGGATGCTGATCTGAAGGCTACCGGGTGCCACTGACCATCGTCTTGCTTCTGCATGAGGGCGCCTCCCGTAGCAAAGCCTGATGCGTCTACCTCAATTCGAGTGGGCCGATCTGGCGCCCATAGAGCAAGGATTGGTGCGGAGATGAAGGCCTCTCGAAGGGTGTCAAATGCCTCCTGTTGTGTACCAGTCCAGTTAAAGCTGGTATCCTTCTTGGTTAGGTCGTTCAAAGGTCGAGCTATTCTTGCAAAATTTCGGATAAAGCGCCGGTAGAAGTTTGCAAACCCCAAAAATCCTCGCAGTTCCCGGAGGTTGGTAGGGACTGGCCAGTCACGAACAGCCGCTACTTTGACCGGATCCATTCTCACCTCCCCTTCTGAAATGATAAGTCCCAGGTATTCGATCTGTTGCTGTTCAAATTCACACTTCTCTGGGCGCAAATAGAGGTCGTGCTTTTCTAGTCGCGTTAATACTTCCCGTACCACTTGTCGGTGTTCCTTGAGGTCGTTACTGAATATGAGGATGTCGTCTAGGTAGACTGCCACCTTGCCAGCTGCAATGAGATCAGCAAATATCGCATTCATAAGTGCTTGGAATGTGGCAGGGGAATTCGTGAGACCGAAGAACATAACCTTAGGCTCGAACAAGCCCCGAGTTGTTGCAAATGCGCCTTTCCATTCATGCCCCTTCTTAATCCGCACATTATTGTAGCCCCAGCGAACGTCAAACTTGGTGAAATATCGCGCTCCCTGAAGCCGGCTAATGATATCAGCAACTAATGGGAGAGGGTATCGGTTCTTCACAGTATACTCATTCAGTTTCCGGTAGTCCTGTACGAAACGGAGTTTCCCATCCTTCTTCTTCACAAAGAAGACTGGAGATGAGATGGGTGACTTCGAGGGAACGATGTAGCCTTTCCGTAGGTTTTCTTCTAGAAAGCGGTCAAGTTCCTCCTGCTCGTTCAAGGACATTGGGTAGATCTTCGTCCGCATGGTTGCTGGTGCTCCGGGTACGAGATCGATAGCGTGATCCCAGGGCTGATGGGCAGGTAATCGCTCAGAGGCAGATTCGGAGAAAACCTTCTTGAAGTCTCGGTACTGCTCAGGGACCATCTCCTCAAAGGTTTTAATGGGTTTATCACGGTTAGCCTCCTCTGCTAGTTGTTGAGAATATGTGAATCCTGCTGAGCACCATACTTCCTCTGTTTGTTCTTCCAATATCCCCGCTTTCACCCATGCCCGACGCGTTTTGTGATTGGCTCGTATTCGGTGTATTGGGGATTCCTCCGTTGCTGTTATGATTTCATTCTCCTCTAGGTCTGCCTCAGTGCGATTGGGTTCACATTGGGATCCTTCGTTCAGGAGTTCCTGGATTGGACTATCGGTAGTAGACGCCACTAGGTGAGGGTGTGAAGTCTGCTCATCTTCTACTTCCTCTATATGTACCCGGGGTGGCTTTACTGAAAGTCGTCCCTTCTCCCAGTCAATCTCTGGATTTACCTTCCGTAACCAGGGGAGTCCGAGAATAATATCCTCTCCTCCTAAGTTTGTGATCAGGAAATCCATCCATCGCTCCTGGTTATCCACTGTGAGTGCTAAGCGTGCAAAGTGGGTGATTCGCCCGGCTCGGTTAGGTGTACCATCGATGTTGAATACATCGATTGGTTTATGGAGGGGTGCGCAGGTTACGTGATTTCTGGTGGCAAAGTCTTGGTTTAAAAACAGGGCGGTAGCTCCACAGTCTACCATGGCTGCGGTTGTTATACTATGGTTCCTTCCTCTCAGTTTCGCATGAATTCGGAAATGTGGGGAGCTGGAATTTAATTCCCAAATAGATGATATTGTACATGATGGGAGCGAGTCATACGAAGAGGTAGCGAACATAGTAAACTGATTATGGGGTACTCTCGGTGCAGCCAGAGCGGGTACCCTCTTTAAAAACCCTGCTGAAAACCAGAGGATGGAGGAGACATGGCATTAGCACGGTCCAACAATTCCCTTATTTGTCCAATTTGGGTGGAGAAGTCCTGATTAGCGGGGCTCGGTATAGCAGGTCCAGCGACAGGTGTTGGGATTGAGGCGGCAATCTGAACTGATTCGTTTGGGAATAAGGTAAATGGTGCCGCCGTGGCTGAGATCTGCTGACGGCGAGGCTGTTGGCGTCGGCCACGGTCGCGACTAAGTCCCATGAACTTGTCCTGACAGACGGATTCTAGGTGTCCCCGGCGTCCACAGTATCGGCAGGTAGTCTCCTTGTGTGGGCAATTCTGCTTAACATGGCCTTGAGCTCCACAACCAAAACATCGTCCGCGCATACGGGCAAGGAAGGCCTCCCTGCTATTCCCAGTGCTGGTATGAGTAGCATCAATGTCCATGGCGTGAGGGTCGGCAGGGGTAATGTGAGCGGTGTGTGCGGGAGCGTGTCCGGGGTTTCGGCCGGTCATGGTGGGATCATGCAGGTAGACATCCACTGATATGGCTCGTTTGATTGCCTCTTTCAAAGTCGGAGCGATTCCTTGGGCGATGTTTACGATGATAAGGTGTTGTCGGATCTCCGGAAGTAAGGCGGTGAAGAAGCGTTCCCGTAAATCAATATCAGACATTTCAGTCCGATCTCCGATATCCTTGAACTTCTGGGCAAATTCTGCAACTGTCTGCCCTTTACTTTGTCTGAGGTTCTTGATCTCGCTACGGGCTTCCATACCTGGGTCCATTGGTTCAAACCGCTGGCTAAATTCCTTCAAGAACGTATCCCAGTTTCCTCCGAAAGGGGGATTCTCTGCACTGAAGTGTAACAGATGGGGAGTTGCCCAATCTCCAGCACTTTCGGTGAAGAAGCCCAGGGCGGACTTGATAAGTTTAACTTGGCTCTTGGCGAGATCCGGTTGTTCTGACGCCCAATTTTGGAACTGAGCCATGAAGCGACGAGCTTCAGCACCATCTTTACCCTTGAAGACCTCGGGTTTGTTCATGCTTGACTTGGAGGATGAGCGTTCCTCCATGGCTGTAGCAAGGCTGGCTACTTGTCTGATGAGCTGAGCCATGAGATCCTCAGCAGAGGTATTTGGGGCAGGCGGGACAGGAGTCGACATGATGGGAGTAGGCAATCGGGGTTGGGGAATTGGCAGGAAGGTTATATTGCTCACAGTGAGTGGCTCTCGGATCGAGTTCGAAAGGGCGTTGGGGCAAGGTTGAGACTGGCAATCGCGCCAAGTATCGTTGTTGTTGTGGGCGTGAGCTTGGTCTCTGGGGTCAAGTGCGTGCGGGAGTGTGGAGCAGTCTGTACTGGCAGCAGGTGTTTCAGAATCGGGCGGGACTGGGGAAGACGTGGTGTCTACGGATCCTGCAAGGACAACCTTATCGGTAGGCTGTCAGTGCAGTAATGGATCTTGACCTAATGTCACGAAGCGGCAGAGGCGGAGTAACTAGCGGAGCAGGAAGCGGGGTGACTAAGCCAGGCAGTGAGGCGGAGCGACTAAGCAGGTGAGTGAGGCGGAGCGACTAAACGGAGCGGAGGCGAACTGGTCCCAGCTGGTCCCAGATAATGACAGAGTTATATTGAGTATCGTAGTCATAGGTAATAATAAGTAAGCACATACCTGGTCCCAGATAATGACAGAGAGGTCAAGATAAGGGACCAGGCTGTGGAGGGTTGGCTATATATACATAATCTAGTCTGCGAGAAACAACGATGTAATACTGTACAGTTCAGGGGCAAGGAAGGAGGCGGAAGCCGATAGAAAGAGAAGGTGGGTCAGGTGGATCAGTAATAGATAGATCAGTAATCGATGGAGATTGACAGCGATGGGATAATGTATTGTACAAGTAAAGGCGTCGAGACGGTGAGAAAGGGAAAATGATAGGGGCTGCGTACTTTATGACAGAGCTCGAGTACTGTCCGTCTGCGTGATCTACTTACAACTGTACAGTATGTAGTAATCATGATCTGCGTATACGGATTGGGAACAATGTCTAGAAATGGTAAAGTCAATGTCAAAGCTGTACGTACGGAGTTTGTTCCAACATAAGGTGGTGACGTTGCGTCCTGGGAGCTGCTGTGGTTACCAACAAGTGGGGGTATAAGGAGGTAGTGTGAGGAATGGAGGTATGAAGAGGGAGGTTGCTGGGGAGCTACTGATGAGCTTGGGGGTAGTTGAGGAGCTGCTGGGGGGCTTGGGGATAACGCAAAGTGGGTTGGGGCATGACAGGATCTTGGAGTACCGAGCAGCGGAGCGGGGCACCAAGGCATGGACTTGACACTAGTGGTGTAACAGCAGTGTTGTTGATAACTTCACTACTGTCCCTTAGACACTGAATGGCCCTTGGCACAGCTTTCCGGTGTACATGATCTTAACACAAACCTGAAGTTTTATATCAAGGAGCCCTAGAACACTGTACTATTCTATATTTAGTCTACACTGACATTATATGCCATATGTAGATTCCTCAGTACTTCCTTATGTAATACTGGCTACATACTGTACTGGAATTCAGCTCACTTTTCTCCCACTTATATTGACATCCTCAGACTATGAGCTACTTTATCTAGGTTGGTACTTGAAAGTTAGTGATGTGTGAACAGCATGGCCATGTTCAACACAGCATCATTCTTTCCATAGATCAGATAGAAGGTTGCGCAAGCCTACACCCCTTCTTCTTTCAGCTCGAGAACTCTGGCCTGCGGGACTAGGTACATGTATAAAGACTCTGCAACCGCAAAAATAGTTTCATAATTACGGAATGAGTGCTTATAGGTAGGTGTTAATTATGTGGATGGCTGAGATCATACTTTGAGGCTTGCATCCAATCGTTACCCAACTCCAACACCACTCGAGACAGCAGCTCCAAAACCACTTGATTATCTTTTCCGTTACCTTCCAAGTAGTATTTTACCTAGAGAGAGAAAGAGAGAGTAGGCATTATGAAGTGGATCATTCATGACTACATGCCTTTGGTTCAGTCCCGCTGGTACTAATTTACCTATCAGAATCAACGCCTGAGTAGGCCTAGAATCAACGTACCGTATGGTAAGGACGATTTTGGTCCCATTGGACTTTAGCTCGCCGCGGAACTGAATCATGTGCCCAAAAGACAAGGGCATGGAAGGCTGATACGTCGGGGGGTTGGTGCTATCATAACCTGTAGTGAGATCGACCACACTAGTAATTTCGGTGCCTGCGATATTTTTTGGATAGTCTGCGCCGGACTTCTGGCCGTTCTGAGCAAGAGATAAATGGACCAAAACACTGAGATTACTGATTCTCCGCACATAATTTCGAAGTCTAGCAAAGATGGCGTCGATGATTCGGGGGTCATTGCAGATGAAGTAGCTATTAGAGGTCTGCGGAACGATGAGAAGAGCTCCACTTAATCTCAACAGTCTCACACCTTAAAATAACCATATCTAAAAAAGAAATATGAGACAGTTGGAATACTCAGTACGAGAAGGTTAACCGTTTGTAGAGGTCTTCTAAATAACTAGTGACAGTTTTCCCTTGACTGTGAAGAATTTCCGCGAGTTGGGCGAACATGACCTTTCGACATCTGTTGAGTTAAAAACCAGGATAAGTCCACATTCTACTGACAGAAGCTGCGACTCCGTCTTTGTCTTTCACCATATAAAGTCAGCAAGCGAGTGGCCATACTTCGGTCTTTAACGGTACCTCTGATTGTAGATCCAAACATGAATCCGATGGCTTCTTCATACCCAAAAGGTACCTCGTAACCTTTTTCAACAAGGTCGAGCGCAGTGTTCCCAATGTACTTGAACCCTGGAATGGCACACTCACGTAAGCTTTAGGGCATGCATATAGATACACAATAACTTACCTGTGAGGCATTCAACGAACTTAAAACCTTCTCGTTCGGCTATAGCCTCTACCATTTTCGAACTAACCGTAGATGCTACGATTGCTAATTTAGAGAGAGATTTTCCAGAATCTCGATAGGTTTCGAAAACATGTGCAGCAAATATGGTGCCAAGCTGATCACCAGTGAATATGGTTACTCCACCCGCAGGGCTGACAGAAAATGGACATTGGGCGAAACCTAGTTGAGTCTTACAGTCTTACGCACTGTATTTCACAAGCAGAAAACCGATCGGAGTCGGGGTCCTGAGCCAGCACATAGTTCGCATTACAATTCTTAGCCTGCGCGATAGCCAGGTCCTGCATTCTAGAATATAAACTTTCCTGGATATATTATAGGTAATTGACACGCACCAATGCGCCTGCAACAAACGTTGCAGCTAGAACATAGAAATCGGAAGAAACCAACCATGCTTACCTTTTTCTTCTGGATTGGGAAATGGGACGGTGGGGAATTCTGGGTCAGGATGCATCTGTTCCTTGACTGGATCCACTGTGATACTGAATATTTTGAGAGCATCTGTGATGATGGGGTGGCTGACACCATGCATGGACGTGTTCACAAATCGAAGTGGGTCATTCGAAGGTGTATATCTGGGACAAGTATAAATTTTTCTCTTTAAGTATGATAACAACAGACATACTGAGGAAGTTTTAAATTCTCTATTTCAACTAGATATGCCCTCTTGATCTCATCCGTCACATCCAAACAATTGTCAGAGATATCAGCTGGCTCAATGGGCCAGGCCTTCGGGGTAAGATTGGCTCTGATGGAGCCCGAGATACCTTTATCGTGGGGAGAAATAATCTAGAAGTGGTGCACGCTGCATAGGCATAGGCCGATCTCACACTATGTGCACATTAAAAACATACCTGAACAGCATTTTCCCAGTACACCTAGCGGTACGAGTAAATACCCTGAATGAAATGGGGCATGTCAGTTCTCACTTTATACCCATTATCGTGCTAATCACGCAAGGCCGATTAGACAGAAATTTAGGCGGCAAATAATCGTAGTCTACCTTTGGATTGTGGCTCGCTGAAAAAGAACGTACATTTAAAGTTAATCGGTGACGTGATAGCTCGGACTCACCTGTAATCATCACTCCGCAAGCCGCGTTTAACTTCTTCTCATCTTCCGTCAGTCAGGACGGATACATAGACGAGAGAGCCGACTTGCTTTGACACCGAACGGTACACTGAACATGATAATTGAGGACACTTTTCTGGAGGCGAATGTTACACATACAGAGGCGTATGAACGAGTCCTCGATATAGATAAACTTTCATCCCATTCTGAAGAAACGCAGCGGCTGTCAGATGCCCCCACCTCTCCGAATTGTATCGATGGTCGTAGCCAATAACTATCCCCCTGGATTTTGCACCTTGAACCTCATTGAGAACGTAATGACAAAGTCCCTGTTTTTCGTGACGTCTGAATTAAAGCATCAACTGCGATGCGATGTTAAGGAAATGACCTGAGATGCCTGGATGATGATTAAGTCTAGGTTTCAGGAATGAGCAATGGGGTTGCGGATAAATTTTGGAGCCAGCCTAACCGTTCATACGAGCCCATCCAGCTTCCATTTTCCCTCTTAGCCCTAATAGATACATCCAAGTAAAACCGAGTCCAACAACAGCAAAGTGTATGACAAGCACACCTGCGGTTCCGAACTCAATCCGTGGCCTGTCGTTGCGGGAGTGATTAGATAGGCATAATTCTATTTAGTTCAACTTTGCCCAACCTCATCCGACGTTCTAATTCATTGGTATCACCCTGTTCCCAGAGATTTTGTATTTCAGATCGGGTCACTTCATTCTACGAAAAGGTTATTGGTGATGCGCCTTGATCAAAGATGAAAAGATTACCTGATCCAGTTGCAGCCAGGCATCTACTAGCTCTTTCAAAGATGTGCTCGAGGACATGGTCGTTAGAAGGAGGTTTTCGATCATGTGACATACTACTATGTGCCTTTCTGGACAGGAGCGGTGAAGCACCCAGGAGAGCTTAGCGAAGAAAAACTATCAAGCCGTGAGCGGTATTCAAATTTGCTCGACCATATTATAATATGTAACTGTTTTCTTTTTTCTCATTACATTTTGCCACAGCAAAAGGATTATACACAACGAGATATTGGACCTGTCATAGGCACAGATATGCATAAGAAAACAACCAAGATTATACTATGTACTATACACCACACCAGATCCTAGTAAAAGAGGGGGGGATGAAATGAGAGTAAGGTGGCGATCACCAGGTGTAGAAAGAATGAGCATGACGACTGCAGGGAGAGGTTAAAGACGGAGAAGAGGATGTGAGCGAAGGGTATGGAAGAGAGTCATTCGATACTAGAAGCAGGTAGAAGCGAGAGCGATATTTGACAATCCAAATTCGAACTTGAACTGTCTGAAGATGCAAACATATCATAGTCGTCGGAAGTTTAGAGCTATGACCACCACCAGCACAAAACCATCGACAAACTTGTCACGGTCACGACGGAATCTAAAGCCCACAAAAAGTTACTTCTCACAACACTAAATGCAGCATTTGATAGAGTTGCCGATTCATCGTCCATGCCCTGTGAAGTTTGAACCAGCCCAGCGCATACAGGAGACTTATTCTCAGCAAGGATTGTGCTTGGATGCAGAATGACTGCCTGCCCGCCAAGGGTATACTCTACATCGATGTAACCTTGAGAGCCGACAACCCATTGCTCGCAGGTAATGATGTTGGTGAGAGCGGTGTTTCGATCGTAGGGCGTGGCAACAGCGATATGAGTGTTGTTTTGAGCCTGAAATGATAATGTTAAGTCATGCATGAATACTAATGCTGACAAAGTGTACTAACCGGACTTCCGACGTTGGTCAAGACAGTGATCACGTCGCCCTTCAAGATTGCGATCCCGTATTGACTCGCAGTAAGCACTTGAGTCTCCGCTGTAGTCCACGGGGATGACGTGTTGGCCGTCGAATTAACGAGATAGTTCCGGAACTGATTCAAGGTCTGTATAAACTTGTATGCATCCGTTTTCGTGTAGTTTGACGGCCATAATGGTTCTCGGTTAAGCTAGTTGGGATTTAGACGGCGGTAAAATTGAGAGAAGGTTGAAGCATTAAAAAGAAGCCAACGGAAAAGCGAGTCACACGACGAGGAAGAGGCAGAGACGAAGAGAAAAATCATCAGGTCACATTTCAGAATAGTACGGGCGCGCAAACGTACAGGGTCACCAGCGCCCGAAAAGTATTGCTCTTGGCCGTAGTAGACGATCGGGATTCCATCCGACATAAAATTGAACGCCATAGCGTTGCTGTTAGATATATAAGTGGGATATACGAGTGGAAAATGGAGATACGTACTATAGAGTCTGGACATCCACACTGGAAGAAGCCCATCGCGGCAAGTCCTGATTTTCCAAGAAATTTCCCAGCACGGTGGTATCTTTGTAAAGTTTTTTGCTCTGGCTTATAGTATCTGTGAGTGCCGAAATATTGAGTGAACCCGGAATTTGAAACGCCTGGGTCAATGCAGTGTACATTGGATAATTGAGGACAGAGTCAAGAGGTCCCTGCCATTCTGCTGCATCTTCGACGTCGAGACCACCAAAGACTTCACCCATGCAGAATATACCAGATGCACCTTCAGTTCCACAGAAGGTAGGCCAAAAGTCTAGACAGAAAGTGTCTAAGGTGAGAAGGAATTCAACTGCTTCGAGTCACTGACCTGCATCGACGTGCTTGGCTGCGTCAATACGAAGACCGTCAATGGAATAAGTTTGAACGAGTTCAGAGATCCAAGAGCCGTATTGGGATATAACGGTTGGGTTGGTAGTGTCAAGATCGGGTAGGGTAACATTGAGGTCGCCGAGCCAACAGAGCTGTTCCGAGGTGGTATTGGAATAGTCGACCGGGCAGTATGTGTGATAATAAGACTAGAGAACAGGTGAGTGCATGGCATAAATACAGTAGAAGAGCGCCCAGGATAACGAATAATAAAGTATGATGTTTATAACAGAATCTGTCATTGAAACGAGCGTCGAGGACGTAATGATGAAAAAGTGTGGAAAAGTGGGGGCACGTACAGCATCTTTGAACATGTATATCGAATAGTCCGGATTCGTACTAAGGGCCATGACATCGTTAACGACGACGTCAACCATGAGATACATATCTCGCTGGTGAATTTCTTTGCTGAGAGCTAACAAGTCATCGGAGGTGCCGAATTTGTCGTTGAGTTGGGTAGAGTCTTGAATCCAATATCCATGGTAGGCGTCACCTATACGTCTATGGGTATGTGTATATACTCGCGAGCTCGAAGACATACCATATGGGGTCCGTTCACCTTGCCAGTTTTGCTGGACTGTGCGATCGTATGAGTACTCGGGCTACGTTCGAAGCGTGAGTTTTACCTGGCGATATCCAGACCGCAGTGAATCCAGCCTAAACATTGTTAATACGAGTCGTTCTAACGAAACAGAACAGACGTACATCTTGAATGTAGTCCAGGTTCCCTCGAAGCGTATTCCAAGTCCCGCCGCACCTAACGGATACTTCTTCCAAAGTTGATTTTGTTTTGAGACAACATTCACGAACCATGTTTGCTCGCTAGGCTTGCAAAGAGTAGGATCGGAACCGTTTGGAAGCGCGTAGCGGTCAATAAGAACTCTGGGCAGTGAGTAAGAGCCTGTGCTTGTGTTCTGCAAGTAGCTCGGGAAACGGCGTACTGATAGATACTTCTATCACGCCATTGTGCAGCTGAGGCCGCCTGGGCGTGTTGGAGGAGGAAAGTGATGACCAGAAACCACAATATTAGCGCGAACATGGCAGCTGAGGCCGAGATAAGGAGAGGACAAGAAAATGAACGAAAGGAAGGACTGATGCAAGTTGCAAGTTACAACAAATGGAATTGTTTTGAATTTGGCTCAGGAGGCCAGAACATGCCGCTTTTGATCAGGTGTCAGCATCTTTACAATGGGAAAGAAGATTTCCGCTTTTGGCGACGAAATTCTAGGCTTAATTGAGGATACTGCAGTAAGGATGAGTGGTTTCTGCATTCGGTATCGGGGAGCGGAAGCAAATTATCGAGGTGTTGTGGGGCTGAATTTAGGAATCTGGGGAAACGCATCAATCCATTACCTAAGCCGCAGGCAAGGGACTTGGGCCGTCGCTCATGTTCACCATGCGCCACAATGTCTTCTGTTGAATCTCTTTCACCTTATGGCTGGCTTGTTGTTGCATGGATAACCGCAATTCCCTTTGGATATGGATATCATATATCTGTGCTCAATCAGCTGCACTCTGTTCTGGCTTGCGAATCAAGTCTAATTCCCAATAATCTTCCGACATGCTTTGAACTCAACGACTTTACTTTTTCCGCGGTGACATCAGTATTCAACCTTGGTGGACTCTTGGGCAGCGCTCAGGCAAATGTGTTAATGGAGAAGTTTGGTAGGAGAGGAACAGCACGAATTAGTGCACTGTTCACTGCTCTCGGCAGTGCAATTATGTGTCTCAGTGGAAATGTCTCTTTATTGGGCATAGGAAGGTGCAAAATATACTACCTTCTCCCTCGGATGAACCTCATGGACTTCTAGGTTTCTGACTGGAATAGGATCTGGCATAGGCATCTGTCTCGCGCCCTTGTACATTGCTGAAGTTGCCCCAAAGAGCATTGCTAGTACACTCGGTATGTGAACATTCCTGACTCATCTATTGATCAGTGCTCAAGGTTTTCTAGGCGTATTAACTCAGCTGGGCATCGTCCTCGGGATCTTCTTTACCCAGCTCCTCGGTGTATACTTCTCTTCCCCGGATGCAGGTCCGAATGCTTGGCGGCTCGTGCTATTCTTCTCGTTCGCGGTTGCTTTAATACAAGTTTTCATGACTGGTTTTATGGTTGAAAGCCCGCGTTACCTCCGCTCTAAGAGTCTCAGAGCAGGAGAAGAAGCCCGCGCGATTGAAAGACGAATATGGTTGCACGGAGTCGGAGTCGGAGGTGATCCTGCCGCAAGCCCTCTGTTGGACGAACGCGATCCTGAAGCACATCCTGTGGCCCCACACGGAAACTTCTCTGCGCTTACCGCTTCGCAAACTCTATTCAAACCGCCCGCAGATGTGCGTTTGCCGCTATTGATTGTATGTTGCGCTATGGTGGGACAACAATTTTCTGGTTCGTGATACAATCACCTACTACAGCTTCCACATTGAAAACATGGTCTAGGCATCAATGCTGTCTTATACTATTCGAACGATATCCTATCTCAAGCACTCCCAGAACTAGGAAAGTATGTCAGCTTGGGCATCACCGTCGTGAATGTCATTATGACATTTCCACCGATCCTCCTCATCGAAGTTCGTACATGTATATCAATCTCTATTGGCCTTTCAGCTCATGCATCTTCTTCATCGTCATAGAAACTTGGGCGGAAACCCTTACTATTCTTCTCAGTTGCTGGGGCTTTCATATCTCTCACTGTCCTGGGTATGTCCCTGAACTTCGCTGGAGCCGCAGCAAGCACGGGACCTACTGCATGGACAACAGTCTCTTCAGTATTTATCATCTTCTTCGTAATGAGTTTTGCTATCGGTCTGGGACCAGTACCATTTGTCATGATTTCCGAAATAGCACCGTTCTATGTATGTTCTCTCCTCCTTCGCTTCATTCCGCATGACACGCTAAAGTTCTTTGTTAAACCAGGCTGTATCGTCTCTTTCAACAATAGCCCTCTCTCTCAACTGGCTGACCAATTTTTCCGTCTCACTGCTTTTCCTTCCCCTTCGCAATGTACTTTCGGGAGGTGCTCCGGGTGATCCGCACCATGATCCAGGGAAGATTGGGAGGGTGTTTTGGGTGTTTGCTGCTATACTAGCACTGGTAATGAGCGTCGTTTGGAGAAAGTGGAAGGTTTAAATACTTTTGGGACATGGGGATATTAATAATTGCTTGCGTACATAATCTCGTCGGATCATCATGCCGACTGCCTAATATGGGGGGATATATACAGCTTTGACCAGCCATTCATTGTCTTTGAAACCTTTTCTTAGAGAAGAACCGGAGAAGAACCTAGTGCTATCAACAACTGTATATGGAACTGTATGATACATATTCTAACCAGGATTTGGGTGTTCACACATATAGGTTCGACGCTTTCGCGAAATACAAATTAAGCTGGTATGGAACAATGTAAAGAGAGGTGTAAAGAGAGCAGTGGTTTCGGCAGGTGAGAGTGGATATGATATGATCGTACTCTAGATGAGCTGCCCAAGTCCGCCATTTCTCCCTTGTCCCACGAATATCATACGGGAGATAACCATGCCAAGAGCGCCGCATGCTACGGCAATCTTCAAGGAACGAAAGTTTAGCACGAATGTCGACGAAGGAAGAAAGGTATGTACAGACAGCGCTGAAGATGATGCACGGAGACCACGCCAACGGGCCATTTGAGCCAGGTGGATGTAGTAAGGCTCCTTCAATCGGTGTCCCTATTAGAATCCAAAATCCCACACTCGTGAACGCAAACCCCATACGAAGTCTAGAAAACCGGGCTGATTGAGCAAAAGTTTCGTGGAGTTTAAAGTAACAAACCCACCCCGGCTGTCCGGAATGTCGACTAAGCTGTCCGATAATCGACGGGATGAGGGAAATGTCTACAATATTTCTGATCAAATTACGGAGTAAGCTTGAATATGGAAAGCTTACAAGAGCCAGAGGTACACCCATAAAAAAAACCAAATAGCACTATTCCCGCGAAGGAGTGCACTCCCAGCACCACAAAGAGTAGCATGGCGGTTAAGAACAGGCACGGAATAATCATGTTGTAGGGACCCAATCGATCCGCAAAAAAGTTGGGCACCAGCCTGCCCAATATACTTCCGGCATTGAGTATTGCAAGCTGTGGGATAATATAAGGAAACGAATCCGGGTAATAAAACTATATTTACAGTGTAGAAAGCGAGGCGAGGAGCGACGCCTTGACTAACAGCATACAGCTGTAGGTAAAAATCTACCGACCAACCAATGAAGGTGAATCCTATTAGTTATAGATTGCCAATGACTCACAGGGGAAGAAAAGACCCAGAGACACCAAACAAGCACTGGAATGTATCGTCAGTCAACGAAACAAATTTGTTCAGAAAGATACGACTTACGCGCCTATAGATACCATATATGCTATATCCTGAAAGACACTTTTCACCCCGATTTGGACATTAGCCATGGCTTTTCTCTCGACAGGCAGAGGCTTCATCAGCATATTAGCACAAAGCAACAGCACACCCGCAACAGCCCCTGCAGCGCGGTTTGCATTACCAAATGTCGCCTTTTGGTCTAGTTGGTTGAGAAGGATCGGCCAAACGATACCACCAACAGATGCACCCTGGAAAATCATATACATACAGTAAAATAAGCTACCTGTGTGCTCGGAGATTCAAAAGGAAAACAAGGTTTCACCGTGACGGCAACGCCTGTGGCGAAGGAACGTCGTTTTTTAAAGTGTTGAGAGATGACGGTCAGCGAGGGGATGAAAAGCAGAGCTTGCCCAAGTCCGATTCCGATTGCTTGTGCGAGGAAAACCTGCGTAAGGAGAAAAGAAATCAGAAACGATAGAGTTTTTCCTTCTTTTCTTCTTCAAGTTCTTCTGTGTATTTACCTGGTAATACTGCCCTTTACGTACTAGTGACAGCATGAAAATCGAAAAAACCTCCAGGAACGAGCCTAAAGCCATCATGTGTCGACTATACCGAATGAAGGGCTCAGTCATCGAAAGGAAAAGACCATGACAATCGAACACACAAATAGCCTGCATCGAACGCAAGTCCGACAAATATCCCCGGTGCATATTGCATGAAATATTGGAAACTTCCTATCCAGCTGTTCCCGGAACATGTCAATGAGTGGGTTGAGGAAAAGATGTGAAATCACAGAACCTAATATCGGATGGGCTTTTGTTCGATAGGAAGTCTCGTGTATAGATGTCTTGATAGACTCCGAACGCATTGGAGTATCTGATTGTTTGGTGAATACGTGAGTCGGACAGGTATTAGCCAAGCTGTGAAGATTACCCGATGGTACAGAACTGGACCATGAAACTGTACAGGTAACGTCGGTGAGTATACTAAACAGAGAGGAACATGCAACCCGGAGAGTCGTACCATCCTGCGATGGTCATCCAGGCATCCCGTCCACCATCTGTCGGTCCCACCGCATTCGAATTTACATTTTGCGGAGCCGCTGATTCAAGATCTTGAGGTTGCCGGGTCGCATCGAGCTTCTCCATATCGTCGGTCCTTAAAGAAGGTAGAACGTCCTCTGAATGCGAGACAGACATTCTATCTCGCTCGCTGGAGAATATATGTGGGGGGTCGTAGTGTTGCAGTAGGGAGAGAGAGCGCAGAGTTATTGCAATCGAGCCCATGCACGAGGCCGATATATAAGGCAGCGCGTAAAGCTAAGTAAATCAAGATCAAGGCGGAAGTAGAGACAAAAAAAATTAGAGTACAAAGAAGGGGTAATAGCCTTGCCTAAACCGTGAACGATAAATTTAATACAACGTTTTATGTACAAGCCGGGCGGTATGTACATAAGCGATGGATTGAAGGAAAAGAACATTTGACGGGATCGAAAGTACGATTAGAGGAACACGCCGAGGATTGCATACATGTGAGCCAAAATACTCCAGTCGATGGAGAGCGATGAAGCGAAAAGGAAGAGAGTTGTTGAAGTAGCCTCAAGCCACGTTAGTTCGATTTTTGGCCTCTCGAGTGAGGCGAAGCCAGAACTGAATACTAAACCACTAGACAGGCTCATACAATTTGACAAGGTTGCATAGGCAAAATAGGCATCGGCCTTCGCGCGTTCTGATGACGATGTGTTCGTCTATTGGAAGTGCTAGCAAATAGTAACTGAGTAAATACGACAGACCCTTGCCGCGTCTCCGGGCACTCACCTCAGTCAGATGTTCCGGGGCGTAGTATTCGAGCAATCAAAACCATATTGTAACGTGTCCTCTTTCTTATCCTCCCGTTCGAGAGTACAAGATATTTTACCTCAATAACCTTCAAGGATACTTCCAGATTCTCCTCTTGACATGTTCGAAGAAATCGAGGTTGTGATTGCGGTCGATATGGAATGTTGAGCATCGGGGTTGCGCATGCATCATAGGGGATACACTGTTAGAATAAGTCTCGGTAAATAGATGTCGTCGAGGTTGTCTCGTTCCTTTCTGAGCGGGATGTACTAGGCGGAACTATCCGCAACTTCCTGGATAGATGTGCATTAATGTTATGTAGTATGTAGAGGAGAGTAGAGGATAATCGTCATGACAATTCAATTGATATTCCCAATGTCAGGTGGGTGTACTCAAAGTTTTCACGAGCCCCGGTCAGTCCCCGGTCTTTATCCCGCGTCCGCTGTATAGTGTCAGACTTGCTTTACCTTCAGGCGATTGACGCGCCAGGTCAAACCATATACTTACAACCAACTAACAACAATTCCAAGTCTTTAACAACTGCTGATTTGCTTCATGGTGTTTTTATCGTCTCATTTCATTAGCTAGTGAGTATACAGAAAGATAGTGCGTAAGATATCGAAAATCGAAATATGGACCAAAAATACAACTGTTCATGACAAAAATGACGCGTGAAATAACATGAGAAAAATGAGGTGGACGTAGGAGGTGATTAAGAAGAGTGCAAATAGTCTGAGAAAATTTAATATGCATCTCGTCGTTTGCGGTAACGACCAAAGACACCACAAGTGCTCGCACACACTCCTAATGCCAAAGCAACCAAAGCACCCAACCCAATCCAATTAGCATTGCCGAATTCAGCAGGAATATTTTGGTCTCGGAAACGATCGCGGGCAATTCCAAACAGAACCATCTCGATGACCCATACGACTAGGGTCACAATGAGTGCAAGAGATGTTGCGAGCAGCATCAACACGGTTCCTGCGCGATGGTAAGCAGCACCGCAAAGGCCGAATAAAACACCGAGTCCAGCAAGACCGGCAGCTAGAGAGGGGTTGAGAGTAAGAAGGTAATCATGGCCGCAGCGAGCGGGTGACATACCAATAGGATAGAGGATGAGGACTTTTGTGAGGTTATGTATGATTTCTGTATTCAGTTTCGAGGAACTTCATGAAGAGAGTCAGTCAGGAAATAGTATTAGCTGCATTAAAATCTCACTCAAAACCGAGTTCGGATGGATTGAAATCGTATCCTATCTGGGTCTTTGAACCAGTAAACCCGAATACACCATAGTGAGTTACAGAGTCTCCTGAGCCGACGTTGAGAAATGATATTTTTTCCCATGTGGGCGAAGAGACAGAAACCTTGAAAATAAAACTATCAAAATAGCACGGGTGAGTAAAGGTAGAACATACGAAGATGAGTAGTATTGTTGCTGCGAGAACGAGCAAAAGTCCTGGGATTGCGGGTCCTGCGGCCATTATGATAGTCGTGAAGTGGTGGAGAGTGGGAAGTCTTGATTAGAGATTGCAATAAGACTACGCCGTTGACAGCTTTATAGACCTGTGGAGAGTGGAGAAAATGACGGCGCTGCGAAAAGTCTCCGCATGACGTTTGGTATGTTTCTGGAATAAAATTCAGTTCATGTGGCAGTGTACCTGATGACGATGAGTACGTCATCAAATTGGCTGTAAAATACCTGACCGTGACGCGTGACCGGTGAACCGGTGACTGGTGAGAACTGGTGGCTGCCTCGCACGAAGGACTCAGACCTCCATCTGTTCTTAGGCCCCGGGCTTCAGAGAATATAGTGTGTGCATTCACCGCACTGCCAAGGCTCTGGAAGCTGCGGAAGTCGAGAGTGAAAGTTGCAAGTTTAACAGCTTTTTTGCTCTAGATAGATCCCGCAGTACTGCGTATCATGCTGTATTGGTAACACGGCAACTTGAACACAGCGACTTCACTAAGGCTCTTGCCATTGCCATACAACCCGCAATGATTTCATCCTGTACATGTGTTGCCTTCTCTAGGTCTACATAGGTAGAGCGACTGGTGAACGGATCTGGGAGGCTATAGCATCGACGTCGGGCGAGCAGATGCGCATACACTCATTCAAATCTAAGGAGTTAATGGTCAATTTGTTGGAAGCGACTGCAGAGGATGAAGCTCTCTATTCGGCCCGTGTTTTTCCCGTAAATCGGGATATTCTCTGCTTAGACTTTTCTGCATTTGTCTTTGAGACGCGCGAACGAGCCTTCGGCCGCCCTATCTTCTCCTCAGAGACAACTAGAAACCACATGAACTCGCCACAAAACAACCAAGACATGCATTTTGGCTAGTTGCAGAAAGCTTCCTTTGACATCTCGTTGTTTCTTTTTGTTCTTTGGACTTCTCCCAGGGACCCACAAAGGCTTATTGTCATCGTACCCGCCCAGTGTCTACATAAGATGCGGAAATCTACCTGTTACACCCTTCGACCTGTCCTCACTTGATTTTCACCGATATTTCCACTTTGTTCGTTCTTAACGCCTTGCAACAATTTACGATTCAGTCGCAACATAATGACTTCTTTGAACCACTCAACGTCCGACACCGCGTCTTCTTCCTCCGATTATAGTGCACCCTTTGACAGCCACAAAGTTGTCGATGTCAATGCCAATGATCCAGCTGTCCAAGATTACGATTACAGCTCGTATGATGAATTTTGTATGATGATGAGAATACGGTGAGTATATCCGTGTTGTCTATGGTGAGGTATAGTCTGATCTCTCTCTCTCCTCGTTATCAGTGCAGGGGTTGAAATTAAAGAGACAGACCGAGAACGATCAAATGAACTGACAACTACTTCCCACTCACCGAAGAAGTTTTCGTATGTCTCGAATTGGCGGGAAAAGGTCGACACTTCGTCTAATCTGACGATAATGGTTCCTCCCTCTCCGTTGTGCGTTCTTCTTCTTCCTACTCCTATTCCCCTGGATCCCTTATCGTGTGGTTATTTGTTTAGATTCCATTCTTTCGACTCCCCCTCATCTCCTGTGGCTTCAATTGACCCATCGCGACTTCATGTTACATCAATCCCTCCATCGTCGGATTACGAACACTCCTCCTATTACTACTCCCCTTCCTCGTCATCTGGCACCGGCCAATCCGAGTTTCTTCATCAACGTGGTACGGTGGGACATCTCACTAAAGCAGACGAAGACATGCTTCCCGCCTTTCATCATGAACTATATGATGCTCCCTATACACCCACACTCGACGATGAAGTTTCTACAATAGAAACATCATCCTCGTTGTCGATGTCTCCTGATCCCGCATTCCCTAAGGTGTACATACCAGTTCCGCAAGGTACGTCTACTGTATCGTCAGGGGTAGACACACGTACTTATCGGACACATCCTTGTCGTATAGTTGGTCCCACAGGTTATAATCATATCAAGCCAACAAAGTCAACTCGTTTCCGGAACGTTTCATCTGCGATTCGATGGTTGCCCACGCGGATAAAGTACTCTATCCTCTCACAGACTGCACATCGAAGAGCGTCTCGAAAATGATTTATTATCATTTTCCTCGACCCTTTCAGAGAATGGGGGCATTCTACATCCACACAGTCTTTACTCCCCATTATTGAGACCTTTTGGTCTAGTCCTCTCTTTGCTCCTCACTCTGCTCCTCTCTTGTGCATCCTCCGGTGCTTTCATGTCTATTTGATGACCTTGTATTATTCTCTCTCTCATACCGTCGTGTCCTGTGCTCCTTGCTATCAGCGATAGTACTTAACGTGTTTTATTATCTGTATGTACGCACCTCCAAAGCACTAGCTGGTACTAGCATCACATTAAAGCCCAAGTGCATATGTAAAAATACAAACAAGCAAAAACGTAAATATGTAAAACCGTGATGTACTGTAAATATGTGTGTAGGTAGGTGGTGGAATATGAGATGGGGATTGGATTGGATTGTACGGGGCAATAATGGACTTAAGACGTGTGATATCTAGATGATACTTTTGCATTATCGGATTAAAATGAGGAGGGGAGTGGAATGGTGTTGATGAGGGTTGTGTATGTGGAAAGGGGCACACAGGGAATGTGAGGATGCGGGGGATGATGATGATGGTATAAGACCGGATCAAAGGCATAACTTAGATAGGGGTAAGCACACCTAAATAATGCAAGAGAGGGAGAGAACCGTGTAGATGAGGGATGGGGATAAAACGAATCATGCGCCCCATCGAAGAATCCCCTCGTAGATGGAGTACATGACAGCTGCATTAGGCACGACACGCATAAGATGAGCACTGAGCCCACTGTATAATGAACGTGCGCCTTCTTCAGCTATCACCAGCCGCAGTGTTTGTAGCAGACCGGTGTATTTCATGAAGCCATTGATACTAGGCTGGCGAAGTCGTGTACGGATAACCTAGTGAATGAAGGGGATTATCAGATATCAATGATATAATATCGATTTGAGATAGAGGGGTACCTCATGAGGATATGTTATCAGTGTTGCTATACATTTAGCAGATCCTGCGCTGCCGAGCATGCTGCACCATGCTTGAACACCACCTTGACTCTCTGCACCGGCTGAGAGTTTCTTGAAACGTTCATAGAGCACCCATTGTATAGTTCCCTCGGTGACACCTAGATAGCTGGCACTCAAGCCTTTGTAGAACCCTCGTATCCCTTCGTCCCGCATTATCTTCTTGATCATTATCCAGCTCCCCCCTGCGAGCCGCTGTTGTGCAGTAGGCGTAGTGGTAGTACCCAAGACAGGATTACTGCGGGAATGCTGTTCTAATTGCAGACGTGTTTTGACTACCCATATTGGATTTGTAGCTGAGCCCGTGGCGATTCCGGCTACAGCTGCAGCGCAGAGGTGTACGTAGCTGTTTTCTTTTCCGTCGTTGAAGGTGTTTGCGATGATTTGTTTGCCGTTGCCGTAGGTGAAGAAGTTGATAGAGCGAGCAGGTATTACGCCGACTAGGGTCGGACCGAGACCTTTGAACAGTGCGCGAGGGGATTCTTCTCGATATATATCTCTGCGAAGAGAATCATGAGAACAGAGTAGGGAACGAGAGAAGGTGTTATTCGCGTACCGTAATATGTGACCGGTCTCCACGAAGTTGTAAAGTAGATTGCTCCGGGGAGCACCAACGACAACTGATCCAGCACCTCCGCCACCGACGACGCTCATTGCATGTTTCTTGCGAAAAAGGTCAGACTGTAACCGGGTCTTGACGACGTCAAATGGGCTCGTCACTATGGCCCCGCACATTCCTCCTAGTCTACAAAGAATGAAAAGTCACTAAATGAGCGGCCTTAGAGTATTTGACAGAGCTTATAGATTTACCCTCCTGCAACAAAATGTTGCCATGACTTGGCGGGCAGGAATCTGGGAGTAGAAGAGGAGGAGACTTCCTGTTGTGACATTACGGTCGACCGTAAAGATGTAAAGTAATACATATTTCAAAAAATATCTTGCCGAGCTTAATGAAGATAAGATAAGATAACCAAATTTTTCATGTCTTCACGTCCATGTTCAATCTCGCAATCCTCAAGGTACGAGAGGGCTTATCCTTATCTTCATTTGAGTCGAGGATCTCACGATGACGGTAGGACACTGTTGCGATCCATCCATCTAATTTCGGAGTACCGCCAGAACAGGCACTCATCGTAGAATTGAACAAAAAATACGCAAATCGTATTCTGCACGATGTGGGCCTCTGTGTGTCAGTTTTCGACTTGTCCGAAGTAGGGGAAGGCAAGGTTCGATATGGTGATGGCTATTTGTGGTATAAAAGTATGTTGCTCTCCGCCAGTTCATGCGCAAATACGAACTGAGAGTGATAACCTTGACTCTTACTCTTAGCCGTGTTTCGAATGGTTGTATTCAGACCGTTTACATCCGAAGTTCTTTTGGGCAAAGTCAAGTCGTCGGATGAGAATTCTATACGAGGTGAACCTTTTCTAATTTACAATCTGGCTATCTAACTCGTTCCGTAGTGTCTTTAGGCTTTTTTGATGACATATACATACCAGCCATATATCTGCCACAACCTTCCTGCTTGTCAGTCTTTCTTATTCGTATCATTGCTGAGATGTTTTTAGTTTTGATTACAGTGACCCAAGCGAACGAGCGCATTTTTGGATGCCGGAATCTGAACTTACGAAGCCTCACGAACTGTTGGACACCCCGACTGTAGGACGCATGTATATTGACATGGGTGAAGTAGTGCGAATTCGGGTAGAGGCTGATGAGTTTTATGACGATGAACCTGGTCCGCCGAAGGCGCTGGAAGGTGTAGCAGTCGCGAAAGAGGCACGGAGAGCGCCTTATAGTATCATTGTAAGTATCCCATCTTTGGCTCGCACGTGGAGCTCATTAGCTGCATAGGCCTCAATAGCGGAGCAAGGTCTTGGTTCTGTCTCGTGGTGGAATGGCGCGGGGGCAGAAGAAGAAGACGCTATGGAAGAAAGTTGACTACTCGAGGACTTGCAAGTTCCCCAGTGATAGTTGGGCTATCGCGTTGCATTGTGGATAGAGTCCAGCACTTTCTCGGACTATATCTTCGACACGTTGCAGGATCTATCCGTCAAAAGATTTACTGTAGTGATGCAGTAGCTACGCAGTTGATATTCATATTGAATAATATTTTGGTTTTGCATCCACAATTACTTAAGCAATATACTGGTGATGCAGACTCTGTGCAGACTTAACCATTTTCACTTCTACTGCGTGTTGAGTAATCGAATTCTTGTCTTCGAGAGTGCTACATTTCACTGCTCTGACCTGGGGGACTGTTGGTGGTCTGTAGGCTAACGGAATGTCCGAAGGAATTCAAATTACAATTCCCGGTGAGTTGAGCAATCCAACTTCGTATTGTCTTCCTTGTTCATTCTTCTTCAGATTTTGACGATGAGGACTATGGCTCTTCTACAATACCGTTTGGACGCTCCGCTGGCAATGCATTTGGAGCAAACTCTTCCGGGTTCGGTAGTGCAGGAGGTTTTGGAGGAACCAGCTCTGCGCCAGATTCGCCTACTTCAATAACACCATTAGCTTCTGCGTTAGATGGAACTGAAAGAAGCTTTTTCAGCTCTCACAACAGAGGCGATTCCATCACCTCTATTGAGTCGGCTGGTTCTGGCTCTACACGTTTCCCCAATTACCCCCGGTCAGCTACCTCTTTCAGCACCTTTACTCACTCTGCTCAGCCATCGGTAATAGCGTCCAGTGCAGGCTTCAATAAAAAATCCTCCTTTGCCTCCTTTCGTAATGCCTTCAAAAGCGGGAAGTCCAACGAACTTCCGCCAGTTCCTCAGCTCGATAATTACGTGTTCAAGAACCCTTTCAACAGATCCACGTCGTCTTTGAACAGCTCTTCTATTGGAGTCACTGCAAAAGGGACTATCACCACTAGTACGCCTTTTGGTCGACCACCTACTCCTGGTTCCGTCGATACGAGATACGGTCGCGCCAAAAAGAGTCATGCTCAAGCTAAATCGTTTCATTCCCAGTCCGGTTCCATCTTCCACGCATCTGATGGTGGTAGTGAAGGCCATGGTATATCCTCGTCCCCTCCTCCTGTACCTCGCGTGCCGTATATCCGCAGTGAAACTCCGGACTTTGAAGACGATAAGGTCGTCATGGACCCCAAAACACCATCGGATTATGCATTGCACGCTGTCTTTATACGGTTCGCCTCTTCTGCCGAATCCAAGATTGACGCATTTTTGCGGCAACCACTTGAACAAGATCCGCTTCTTCCTGAGCTTATAGGGCCTGACGTCGACCCCAAATTGGACGAGACACTTCTTTCGCTCGGGCAAATAGCGCAAAAGCATACAAAGCCGGTCATTGACTCTATTCTTCGGTGGAGGCGAAGTCAAGTGGAAAACGTAGGCTCAGACGTGATTCGGTACCATATGTCACATTCGCCAACGGGAACAGCACGCGTTATACGAACGCACGACGTACCCGCGCTCTTGAATGAACGCAAAAATCTCGCTGCTATCTACATCATGTGTCGCGCACTCATCGCAGTGGTAAAGACACTTTCAAAAGACGCAATCGGCGAGAATTTAGGATACTCGCTAGAGAAACTGACCTTCGATCAGTTTCAAAAGCCTGAGTTGAAACTCCTTATGCAGAGCACAAATCATCGGACAAATGCAGAGCTCTCTGCTGCATTGTTAGGACATCTGGCTAATATCAGGTACGTCGTAGCCCTCATTGTATATCAGAGGACTATGTCTCATATTCTGTACAGGTTTGTCAGTGTAACAGATCGTTTCCTGGCGGAACTTGCTCCAGTTACTCGAGGGCAGGTACCTAAGGACCTTGACATGAAATATGAGAACCTTATAAATAGTATCAGACACATCCAAATCAAGGTGCATCAAATCCGAAATCCGACACACGCAGTTCTTTGTTCACCGATTATTACCTTTAGGTTTGGCCTTCGGAAGCTTTTGAAGAGGGAGCAGAGTTCATGGAGTCGTTATCCAAAGCTTTCATGCAGGCACATGGATTTCGACTCAAGACCGCTTTCGCTGAAACGTTGATCCACCTTTTGCACCCTATAGGAAAGGTTCGCATGTTCGGCTTATTTTTTCGTTCAAATTTCAAATTTCACGTCAGACTGCTCAAGCTGAAACCAATTTTCCATTATGGGGCAAGGCTATTGAACTTATTTATCCTAAAGCTCGTGATATGGCAGCCAAACCACGGTATTGGAACGTCGCCTTTCCGTTAATGATAACCAGCCTCTGTGTCGCTCCGCAAGACTTCTACCGAAAACATTGGGTCGCCTGCTTTGAGGCTTCAATCCCCAAATTGAAGGTATTTATTTATCTACTTACTTCATGCGTCCACCGCTGATTCGCTACAGGAAAAATCTCTGCGTATACCGGTTCTCAATGGGATGATGCGCCTCATTTGGACTTATCTTTATCGTTGCCAAGAATCCCCCTCGACTACCACGACCAAATTGGAAAACCTCTTGAAGCACTTTTTTCCACCGAATCGGACCACCGTCTATCCAAACGAAGATCATCTCGAGCCCTTTATCTATATCGTTCATTTCGTTCTTTCGCGGCATTTTGAATTTGGAAGAGACTTATGTTTGGAGCTTATACAAGAATCGTCCATCAATTTGGCTTATCAGACTAAAGGAGGGAGTATTGCTCATACCTTCGCATCCGAACGGACATCGATTGCCACTCAAGCTATTCTAATGTCATTGCATGGCATGGAAAGGGACTCTTCAACACCCAGTTGGCCGACCACTGTTGACTTTTTTGAACCTTCTTGCTGGTCCGACTATCCTACTTCGTCCGATATCCTCCCCGCGTCCATCTTATTGCGTCCTGGAATGCAAGACTTTTTTGATAGATATGGTTCCGCGCTTGCCAATATTGCTAGTGCGTGTGGGAACGGTGTTGGTCGAATGTCGATGTTCGACGAACAATGGTCCTGGGCACGTTTGAACCCTTCTTACGAAGAGTCGCACAATTATATTAGGCGAAAACGCCTCGAGGTTGGAAACGTAGGGTATCCGACGAATTTGATTTCCCAGATCAACCTCTTGCAGACTTGCTTCATGTCATGGCCGAGGTGTCTCCATCCTTCCTTGCCTGTAACCGAAGCCGTTGACATGCTTTTGCGAGGCGTAGTCCATGTGGAACCATCAGTTGGGGATGTTGCATGTGAAGCACTCCGACGCTTTTTATCGGACCCTTCCCATTCTCTGTCAGTCGTCGCGCAGTTTACGCAATTCCTCTTCAATCCGTCAAGACTATCACAAGAAGGTTCTGGAACGCGAATGCTGTTTGAATCACAGCAACTCCTTGACCTCTGGCTGAATGCTGTAGAAAGTTGGATTGGAAGATTGACGCATCATTCCCCTCATGAGCTAGCACAGGAAGAAGACATAATCACACCTCGCTGTCTTGAGATCGAGGCTGGTGCAATGTTCCTTTTGTCACATGTAAAGCTGCGCATCCGTCTCGCAGGTGTAAAGGTGGTTAGGATACTAGGAAGTCTGATGTATCACTTGTCTCCGGAGCCTTCCGGTCCGACAGAATCTGCACCCTCTTCATCTTTCGTGGCTTTACTGCATGGTAGGGGAGGACACACCCCACTGCTAGATGGGTTTGACGAGTTCCTTGATAAAGCCGAACTTTCTAGATTACAGTATTGGCAAAAGTCCAAGGAACCTCAAGTGGAACTACTGATAGCAGAGAGCGAAGACGAGAGGGACCCTAAGATCTGGCATCATGTTTTTCCGAAATTTGTACAGGCTTGCATGCATATAAATGCTCAAAACCTAGTCATGTTCAGAGACGTCTTGGTTGCTGCTGGAACGCGGTATCATGCAACTATGACCCAATTGGCCGGTCTCAGTTCGAAGTTGTCCGGTAGTCGCTCGCCGATGGGATATGACGGACCACGACTAGTGGAAGAAAATATGCAATTGATAGAGCAATGGCACATCTGGGTGAAGATTCTATGCGCCACCGCGATTTCTCCGGAAGTTGCGCGACCAGTTTTGACGCAGCTTGCCCGCGAGCACTCTCGTGTACCGTCAGACACAAGCTTTGAACGTGAACGACTAAATACAAGTCGTGGGCTTTTCCGGTATCTCACTCCCTTCCTCGACTCTGAATACACTCCTTTCTGTGATGCGGCTGTTCTCTGTATTAGCTCTTTCCCTCCTGAGGCTTATCCTCAATTACTCGAGGACTTGAGTCTATTAGCAGGACGCCAATTCTATGACGACCCCAGATTTAAAATGGGTCTTTCTTTGTCCACCTCTCCCGACGGACTGTTGTCTACGCGCCAACCCCATGATGATACTCGCTCGAAAGTCAATGCGATATCATTTGAGCGTATCCGGCGACAAGAACGCCTTCATTCTGCGGTTGCAAAGATTTATTATATCACTGCTCATTTCCTCCAATATCAACGATCTGCAGGAAGACAAGCCGCTCTCGCTAACGTTCTGAAATTCGTTCGTAACACACAAACTTTTCTTACATCACCAGAGATGCGCGAGAATTTTACGTTACAGCGCCTCCGACGCTACTTTTGTGGAATAGTCGAACGTCTTTTCGAAGGACTAGCGACACTCGAAGGCGCTGATCGTTTCATTCCGGCAAACATGCATCTCACATTGTATCGTCTATGTGAGGAATGGTGTCATTTTGGACCTCAACCAGAATACGTAAAGCAACGTCTTTTATTCATGAAGAAGGCTGCGGCTTCAAGTGTATCCGCTGATGGTGCAACATCTGCTGTAGAGCAATTTCAAGAGGAAACGCTGATGCTGTCTTATGCTTCTGTAGGGGCATTATCTATATTATGTGTATGTGCATTCATACTGTTAGCAGGATCTTATTCATGTTGTGTTGTACTTTATAGCAGAAGGCCTTTTGTCCACCCGGTGTGTCATCGGGATCCCCGTCCGTCCGTCATAGTCCAGATTATCTCAAGCCATTGACTCCGAGCAACGTCCTAGAGCGTTTAAGCGCTATCCTTACGTCGTCTCACCTGCCCACGCAAGAACGAGGAAAGTGAGTATACGTCTTTTTTACTCCTGAATCTGTTCATGATTAAATGTATTGCGGTGCAGAAAAGCCTTGAAGTCTCTACTGGCCTCGAATAATGCCGATAAGTCACTGTTGGACGAAGCAATGAAGCGAGCCGTCGTCACTACCGATCAATCTGATACCAACAACGGTCGATTCTTCGAAGTCATTTCTCAAGCAATCGCTTCTTCCGGAAACCATGGTTTCACTTTTGCTCAAGCTGTATGTCTTGCCCTGTCAAATCTGTGCCACCCTCTCTCGGAGCCCAGACGAGAAGCCTTCAATTTGTTGGAAGCTATTCATTATCAGGCTTCGGGAATATTGACCATGTCCCAGTTTGAGGCGACCGTGAGCAGCTCAGCTTCAGGCGCCTATATTCATTCCCATCGACTCATGTCGGAATTCCTTGCTGGCGAACACCCCGATCATGCAATAACTGTGCTTGCTCAAGTGGCTACATGGTTGCCCGCGTTTCCCACCACCTCCGCTTTCAGTATGGTCACTTTGTTGTTATTACAAAGTCTGGAATTTTGGATACCTCACATACAACTCATGAAAGATGATAACCGTTCACTATCTCAGGAAGCTTATACTGCGCTTTACCATCTCATGGCTTTGACCTTGCGTTATGGACAAAGTCATCCAGAGCAAATATTGATGCTATGGACACGACTTGTTGAACCTCCCAATCAATCCAACGGCCATGCTACGATGCGCTTTTTACTAGAACAATCGCATAAAGTTGGCAGTACGGTCTTCATAGATAGTGCCTCTAATATTGTGGCCTGTATATGTCAAGGTCCTTCGGGTCGCCAAATCTTCGAGGAGCTATGTTCTTTGATAGAGCCTGTACGGATGCTACCGACCCTTGAACACAAGCTTGCCTTTCCAGATGCGGTAGATATGGAGTTATGGTCCGACCTTGATGCTTTATTCGTGGATGGGCGTCCGCGTCTATCTCTGGGCGCCGCTCAATTTGCTTGGTTGTTTCTGGCAGACGTCGCATTACCTCGCTATTGGGAATTAAGAGAACAATTGCCTTCTTTACTTCACGCACTTTTCACGCACATTGACAATCGGACTTCCTTTGTACGACTTCGGGCTCGTTATATGCTTTTCCAGTTGTTGCGAGCTTGGGCCCCTGGGTACGATGAAATTCCGGAACACGCGAACTTCCGTAGTCGGGCCATGCTGAGGAATGAGCTATTGGAAATGGAGACAGAAGCTGAAAAGATGTATTGGTCAGAAGAAGAGAATACTTCCGAATCCGAACCTAAAATGCATTCGTTCTGCTCTCGCGTCATTCAGTTCCTTGAACCGTTATGTCCCTCTCTAAGAGAGAAATGGGGAACCGTAGCTCTGGAATGGAGTACTTCCTGTTCCATCAGGTCTGTGGCATTCCGCTCACTGCAAATATTCCGCGCTCTCCTACCTCGTTTGAAGACTCAGCAGCTCGCTTTGATTATTGGACGGCTATCGAATACTATCTCAGCCTCAGACGACGCCGTCAAGCTCTTTACCACTGAATTAATTTTGACAGTGCACGCCATCGTGTCATCCAACAACTTCGATATGTCACTACTACCTCAAATCTTCTGGTGTACCTGTGCAACTCTGACCACCACTGTAGAACAAGAGTTTGCTGAAGCTTTGAAGCTGTTAGAAAGCTTACTTAAAATTGTAGACTTCGACGACCCATTCATTATAGAGCAATTACTTGCTCGTCGACCTCTAGAATGGACTGGATCCGCTTCTCTCCAGCCCAACCTTCTCAATGGCCTTCGTTCCTCGGTCACAACCGCTCGGACTTTGAGAATCCTGCAGTCTCTATCGGAGTTCAAAGATGCAAAGATAATCGATTCATCCAATGGCCGCGTCCGTGACCTGTACACACTTTCTTTACCATGGTGTCTGCACTCCATGATAGCCGAGAAAACTGGAGGCGACAAATCCACAGATGACGCGCTACGTCGATTCGCTGAAAATATTGGTGATCTAGCTAAACAAGAAGGTCGTGTCAGTATACACAAAATCATGACTTCCTTCGCCAAAGGACACTTCAGGACGAAGGATGACTTTCTTCGGCAGTCGGTTGCCAGTCTTAGGGAGCATTACGGCGTCGAACATTGGACTGAGATCGTGACACTGCTGATGGGACTCGTTCTCAATCGGGAACGCTGGCTGCGCATCCAATCAATGCAGATCCTCAAAGTATTATTTCAGCAACGAGAGACCCGGAATCCAGTAGAACTGCTGGGCTCTGAGTTACTTATGCCGTTGTTGCGACTATTAGAGACTGATCTCGCGTCCCAGGCTCTGGATGTTCTGGAGGAACCCATGGCTATGTCTGGTGGTTTGGCAGCTAAACATGTGCTTCGTATGAGCATGCACAGCCGGACCCTCCCGAATTCTCAGGAGGTCGATTCAGTCGCCACTGTCTTTGGTGTACCCGAGGAGTCGGGTTGGTCTGTTGTGAAGGCAGACGAACTTCGAGATGCCTGCCGCTCCAACTTGATGGAAGTTTTTGATACCTGTTCGATGCCTACCCGGCCCTCACGAATCGAATTTGAACCAGAGGAAATCGAAGTCCTTGCTGAACCGTCTCGTGTAGAAGACCTTGGTGGTCTGGTGCAGAACCTTCACGACCTCACAACATTCTTCCAGGACGATATCAAACCGACATCTATGAATGGCGCAGTTCCCAACAGAAGATTGGAAGCTCGAGTAGCCGCGATTCTTGCGAAGTCGACCGCGCATGAGGAGACGGTGATGGATATTCCTTCCACACCATTTGTGGATGTCTTTCGTGTGGCGGGTATGTCATCTGATGAAGACTCGGACCAAAGTTCAGTCAATAGTGACGAGGAACTTGACGCTTTTTATTTTGATTCGCCCACTGTATATCGTTCTGCGCCTAATGGTTCTCACTTTCCTTGATTGATTTACCTTTCATATATCTTCAACTTGTTCTGTAGCTGCAACCTGTACCTATATCATATTCCTGAGGCATTCTACTGTAGTTAGATCATATCATGTATATATACATAGAATAGGATGATACAAACTTTATGCACCAGTGCCTTTGTCACGGTGGCTCGCTCTATGTTCGCACCATCTACTACAATCAGAATAGTTTGACGTAGATGTGCTGGGAGCTTCTTTCCTCATTCCTCTCTCTCTCGCAGACAAGTTCTCATACAATTTGATATGTATTGCCTCTAGGATGGACTTTTGTCTGGGTCGCAGTCATCACAATACCATGTCTCCGACTCATCAGGTAACTGAGATAGACCAGTACAGGTTAGGTGAAACTATAAGGGCATCATTAATGCCAAAGTTGCAAAATTAAACAAAAGCTCACCCATTGATTTGTGCAATCCTCATTATCGCATGCAACCATCTGTACGAAAATGAGCATACATGATTCTGTAATGTTGATACACAACTCACTTCTCCATCAGACGGTTTGTTACAATAACAATAAAGTCGATTATCGTACATTGCAGGTAAAGTGATCTTCAATGACATGGGTTGGTCTGTGCCAAGGACACTAGATCGTTTACCTCTCCTTGCTCTGGTAGATCGTTTGCTCGGTCTCTCTGCTTCGACTACGAGATTACCCTGCGTAGTAGGAATTGCCTTGACAGGTTCCTCATCCTCATCGTCGTCAAGAACAAGTCCGCCAGCGGTATTCTTAGTCCAACGAGATGGTGGTGCTACGTCAGGAAGGAGTATTGGCGCAAGTTGGGTTCCAGGACGGATGCCAAGCGCAATGGAAACTTCTTGTTCTTTAATTGACTGTCCGAGTACTTGGATTTGGCGGGATATCTGAGGTACGGGGGATGAATTTAGGTGTGGGAATTCATGCAAAGAAAGCCCGACGAACATAATCATGAGCAGCTCGGGCAAGATTGACCTTCTCCTGCGCCGCGCTTACCAATTCTTCCGCGAGCCAAGCGACGTGTGATAGTATTTCTTTTCCAGTTTCAGGTGGTTTGATACGCTCTGCAGGTAAAAGTAGTGGTGTGGAAGGCCGTGGAGTCAGAATTGACGCTCGAACAGAGCGGAGAGGAGTCTTCGGAATTGGAGGTGCAGATGTGTTGTTAGGCGTGATTGAAGTAGAGGGAATGGTTGGCGCTGTTGAGGCTTCGACTTCGAAGTTACGACGATAAGCAACGTATTTTTGCAATAGCGGTACCAAATCATCGAGATAACCTACGACGGGGTCAGTGGATGGATGGATTGATGTGTAAAGCAATGGACTTTACCGTGAGTTTGTTGGTCCAGCTCCGCCATCAAATTGTATTGCCTGTGCAATGTTAAAGGGACCTGATCAATAACTATAGAGCTAGGTAGGTGAACATAAAAGCAAGCTTGGTTTGTTGACACATTCACTTTCAAAGTGCTCCTCCTTGACTGTCTCCCATATTTCCCGTTCTTTCTCCAATCTGCGATCTTCGAGCCCTTCTCCTGCGAGTACGGCTTCTTCTTCTTCTTCTACATCCTCGTCTGGGTCAGGAAAAGCCTGAGATCGTCGTCGTTTACGGGACATGGTGGATACGCAATTCCATTCAGACGGATACTTAGCGTCAAGTTTTACCAAACTAATCAGATTTGAAATCCTTCGGTTTGAACACGTACAATACATACTATCGTGCCTGCCGGCTTTGAAAAGCCACCCGAGTTTGAAAATACATTTTGAAAGGTGTTCCCTTCATTTATAACTGCATGTACATGTATGTATCTATTTCAAAGGAAACAGCTTGTATAGTTGTGGATTTTTATTGAACAAAAATGGTTGTGACGTTGTTCCGCAAGCTTTGTAAATCGCAAAATCCAATTTTCAAACACTGGTGATTTCAGAGTCTTCATCGGCAGCATTGACATCACATTCATTGTCCACATATGTTGGGCATTATAAATAGCCAGTCAGCTTAAATACATGCTATGCTATGTGTATGCCAAATCCGAAAGCAATCTGAGCCAATACAAGGCGTTTACAAAAGAATTTTCAAACTCTGGTGGCATGATAGTACAGTCCTCCCGGCGAGGCACATCACCATTATCCCCAGGATGTGAGGTTGATGACTATGACGGGCTCGCACCTGGCTCAAGAGCCGTTACTATAAATCACCATTCCGAATACACAAATTGATTGGGCACATCATAGAGAAGTGTGTAGGTTGATTACAGTGATTTCAACTTCTCCAAGCAATCAAGGACGCTTCCAAGAGCTATCAGTCTGAAGCTGTTCACCCCAAAGACATTATCTTGTTGACTAATCCAAGCACACCACGCCTTTTCCAGCACATAAAGAAGACCATCCTTGTCCTCGATAATATCACCTTGGCGATTCGAAGGCTGGAATCCCAACTTGGTTTGTTTGACCAAACTAGAAGTGTGTGTCCGCATACGATACATCCGTTCACGCCTCCATCGCTTTTCAGAACAATTTGCCAGGATGACTCCGAGCACTATCTCTTGCTCTGTCAAACGCACGGATGCATCATCAGACAGCGTGTGTATTGCAGATATGTAGCGTAGGTTGTCAATATAGTTTCTGAAAAGAAGATCAATGTCATTCTCCTTGCGATCTTCATCAAAAAAAGGAAGATATTGCAAAACACTGTCTTGCAAAAGTTGGGTGATCGCCTCTGTTCGGAACTCTGGTGGTTTTTTTGAGTTCGACAAGTCTGCTGGCAGAGTGATATCCTCTGGTTTGATTTCACGATACATATACCCCAGAGCTCTGGTAGATTCGTAGTAGTCAGATTTCCTGGGGTCTATCACTTCAGCTGCGTGCCAGTCAGGTTTGGCCCGGATGAGTGAACGAGGTAATTTGTTGCCACTGATATCCACACGGACGCCTTTTTTAGGGTAATCAACGGCCTACACGAAACGCATCAGTTGCAGAGCTTGAATCAGAGATGTATCGGCTGACTTGGGAGCATAGTGTTGCAAGCTTTACACAGTCTGGGTCGAAGAAGCCTTTCTGGAAGCAATATGGTAGGAATGGTTGATGAATCAGATAACAGTTGTCTTATATGTACCTCTGATTGATCTGAGGGTAGATGACCTCTGTTATATAATCAGAACAAAAGGACACTAAAAGACTCACCAGCAATAACCAGGAGGCGATCCGACAAAATACCCTGTAATTAGATAGCCTTACAACCATACAACTGAAATGTGGAGAAAAGGCTCTATGACTCACCAGGACGTCGGAATTGAAATACTCTATGATAAAATCATGGATGTCCTCAACTGTACTGTTCCTTTCCAAATTGAGATCAGTTCCGGGGGGATAGGAAGCCGCAGCTGCAGCTATCGTGGGGAGAATGCTGGTGCAAGTAGACACTGTGAATGTGTCACTAAGAGGTTTCTATCAGATGTAATAATTTGGTCAGAGACAGAATAAAACATCACCCATCCAGATCACCCCCACCCAGACACGACGCCAGCGATCGTTTACCTGTATTCTCACAATTAAAAGTGAGTAGGAAATAGGCAAGGAGGTGAACGTGCCTCGACTCGGCATGACCACAACGTTTTTCAAGTGACCGAAAAGATTTCGTTTATCAGCAGGAGGCTCCCCGACAGCATCGACACGTTGAGCTGAGGACACAGTTTATATATGTGACACTTGGTTGATTTAACAAGTCAAATACCATCTCCTAAATGAACGAGTGGGCTCCTCCATATTAAGCAAGGACCAGATATCCAGGTAGGCTTCTCGTCTTCGGGGCGCTGAATACATGCTTGCAGAAAGAAGACTGAGAGCAACTCAATGTATATGAAACGAGTGAGATGGCATACCATAGATGTGATTTTCACCCAAGCAATACGTTGATTCGTCCGTAAATTCGGGCTTCGATGGATCAGCTACGTAGGCAGGCCCTTCATCAGCTACACCAACAAGAAGATAACTGTCAGGAATGAGTATACGAGCATCGTGCTTGATTTCTTTCAAGGCCTGCATTCGAGCAATGTTCCGGAGTCCCTTCAGGAATTTGCTATCAATGTTAATCTTTTTAGATAACCCTGAGCCCGATTGGACAATTTCTGCTCCACGCTCAGCAAGCTGCTCCAAGATCCATGGTAGGTAGTATGCTCTACCGAAGGAATGAGAAGCAACAAATTTGTGGCAATCGGAAAGCGAATTATCAACAAGTTGGGCATCAGCGACGGCAGCACGAAGAAGGCGGATGAAGGTTTCGCGAGGGACTCCGCGGTCCTCGAGAATCATAACTAGAGCCCTAGAATAGCTCTCAGCTGGAACAAGTCATGACAGTCCTGAATAGATAACATACTTGTTGAAGTATGCAGCCATGGGGGTTTCGAATGCCAATGCAATCTCGATATCCGCCTCTTCTGCATTGCTGTTTTCGAATTTACGCATGGAGGGTCTCAGACGCATGCGGATACCTCCGGGGATTTTGTCGAGCTCCTTGTCAACGACGACGATTCCTTTGAATCCCAAGAACCGGATTTGATACTAGAACACATTGTAGTAACATGATCATCGTACAGCGATTCACTAGTAGAATAGGGAAAATGCTCACTGCAGATGGTTTGACCGCATGTTCACCTCGATTCAAGCGAGCATTACACAACACTGCCCAGATTTCATCTGCCAAGCTCTCAGAAATGGTCCCAACTCCATCCGTGAAAAGATATGGTTCTCGTCCCATATCTGCAACAACTTCCCATTCCCATTTATGAATCTTTACACTACTCTCAGTAGCTGTGAAGGCTTGAGCTAATCGAGCTGCCCATTTTGATGGGCACCAAAGTAATGGTGGTTTTTCAGGATTTATTGGTGTATCTTCTGGTACTTTGAAATCCCCAATGGAATCACGAATCTTCTGGCTGGTAACCTCACCTACACTTGGATCATGGTGTCGGAATGGATTCACGAACCATACCGAATGTTCACGTAGCGAGGAATTTGAGTAAGCCAAAAATTCAAACCGCCGGCCCGCAAGTTTGAATCCTTTCAGTATTCCACCAATCCGCTCCTCGAGGAAGGACCGCCCATCGAATTTACGATCCCATCGAAGTTGCAAACGGTTCTCGTCAGAAAAGGCGACGCGAAGAAAATGGTCTTCATAGCCGGCATATTGTCGAACTATTCGATTGGAGTCACTTGCATATGGCCCTTCGAGGATCATACGAGTTGGCGTAACGATGACACGATAACATGAAAAAATCCCAGAAGAATGTATTTTTTCTTTGAAGCGGGTGAACTCGCCCAGTGCACGCTCCAAGCATTGGATGGGGGTGTCATTGGTAGGACGGTTTGGGTCACTCAGAGACTGGGGATATCTGCGTAAAAGCTCCCCCACATAATCCGAGCCATGTTCCTTGCACAGTGTCTCAAGGCGAGGCGCCATTGCCATTATTTCCTTAGTGTGTAGAAATCCATTATGTAGTAGGCTCTCCAGCTGGAATGCCACAGGCCAATCGCATTTGGCAGTATATGCATCCCATTCACGAAGTCTGTCAACTGAAAAGAACTTCCAACCCGCAGCTTCAACTTTGGCTAGTCGAATAGTCGTCTCCATTTGTGCAATCTTACACAAATCGCGGAATTTCGAAATGACATCGGAACCATCGCTTTGGTTGTTACTAGGCAATAGTAGTCGGAGGGTATGAGCAAAGGGAGCCACTCGAGCATGCGTTTCATGACGCTCGACGCTTCCAATTCGGCGCTTGAAGCGCAGATTGTTTTTGTCGTCACGTTCGTTCCCACTTGTAGTGCGATAAAAATCCGCTTCCTCAAAAAACGGGGGGGTGTATGTGTCAAAGATGATGACTAAACAAGTGATCAATTTAGATGAAAAAAATGGAAGGAACAAGACTTACAAGCATTCCCATATTCATACCCCACCGCAATTTTTGAGATGGACGCAAAGTAAAGGACAATATTTGAACCAAAATTTTCCGAGAGACGGTCACCAACCTGAAAGTTTAACATACACCTATATGACACGAGGGATACCATAAAACTCACCTCAATTTTGAGTAGCTTGTGATCATATTCAAATTTTAGCCAAGCTTGACCTTTAGAAGCATACTCCTTCTCCCATTCAATGGAATACGCTCTGCTTTCACCTGGGCGAGCTTTTGGATTCTGGAAGAGCACACCAAATTGCAGGGTGACTACTCTTAAGCCAGGACCCTGCTCCAGCTCGAACACTCTCCACTCTCGATCTTTCTCTTTTTCTGGATCAACCCATGGAGCTTTCTGCAGCATTGCAGTCTCCTGATCTGTCGGGGTGCTGTGTTTGTCCCCAAATGTGATCTTCTTTCCATGAATCTTGACCGGATATTGTTTTACATGCTTCAAGAACCGTTCACCTATCTTCCTGAAAGGCAGTCTCAAGATCCCAGTCCCATTATGGATGCCAACGGCTCCGCCGTCGTGGCAAAAAAGATGAACAGTAAAATTCAGCTTTCGATCAGGTCGAGGTTGCTCGAACGGATTGTTATGTAGAATGTTCGCAAGGGCAGTAATTACCTCCCATTTATCGACCTGATATGGGATATAACGCATGTATATCTCCATAGCGGGCTCTGATTTCTCAGGTGGCATCTTGTTCAGCGAGTAGATATAGTATTGGAGACTTGACAAGTGAGAGAGATGATCGATGATGATTCGGAGTCAAGCGTGCAGTAGCGCCGATATTTTATATGAACTGAGGCTTTCATTTATTAGGAATTCGAAGCTCTCATGTCTTATAAAGTTGATGTCAGGAGATATCTGCGCCGTAGTAGAGCGCAGTACTGGGCTGGTAAACGACAACTATTACACAGGTTAAAGAGTACCCAGCCACAGAGAGAGAAATCGTAAAATTAGGAGTCCACGGCGTAATATATGTATATAGGCATTACTGACACATCTACTCAGCCAATTGTCGAAATTTATCCTGAATTTCTGAGTGGAGGTCATCTAGCTTCTGTTTGACGTTATCCTTTCCTTGCGAGGGGGACTAAGAAATCGGATGATCAATATTCTGTCTATAAACCATGTCCAAGATTACATACCTCAAATTTCATTTGGGAGAGCTTGAACATGAGATCAGACGCCGAATCTTTGATCTTGTTGAAAGTCATGTCGCTCTGACTAACCAACTTCAGTGCAGCATCATGGAAACCGACAAAATTTCTTATCATGCCACTGGTCTTGTAGAAGGGGCAAAATCTGTCATATTCGCTCATACCATTTTGCTGAAGGAAATCATCCTTCAACATACGAGCAACCTCAAGGGTGATCTTGTCGTTTTCGCCCAAAGCACTCTTTCCGACCAACTGTACGATTTCGGCCAAATCCTCCTCCTTTTGCAGGATCTCCTTCACTTTAGTGCGCAATTCAACAAATCCAGGTTCCGTGGTCTCATAGTACGGTTCAAGAATTTTGGTGTACTTGGAGTAGGACACTGACCAATTCACAGAGGGAAAGTGTTTTCTCTGAGCGAGCTTCTTGTCGAGACCCCAGAAGACTTGAACGATTCCAAGTGTAGCTGAGGTAACGGGATCGGAGAAATCCCCACCAGGAGGCGACACGCTGTGAAATAACGTCTATCAGTCATTATATATATTCGTAATGGGCAGGCAACTTACGCGCCGACAATGGAAACAGTACCCTGTCTCTGGGGGTTACCCAGACACACTACCTTACCAGCACGCTCATAGAAGCTGGCCAATTTGGTACCAAGGTAGGCAGGATAACCGGAATCAGCAGGCATTTCGGCCAAACGACCAGATATTTCGCGAAGAGCTTCGGCCCAACGTGAAGTTGAGTCAGCCATCATTGCGACGTTGGTCCCTTGATCACGGAAGTACTCGGAAAGAGTAATGCCAGTGTAGATAGAGGCTTCGCGAGCAGCCACGGGCATGTTCGAAGTATTTGCGACCAATGTGGTACGTTTCATGATAGGTTCTTCACGATCTCCTACTTCCATTGTGAGTTCAGGGAACTAGAAAGCAATCAATGACAAGATATCCGAGGAACGCGAGCCTCAATATACCTCCATTAATACTTCAGCCATCTGCAAAACAAAGCATGAGTCGTACGTTCAACGAAGAGCATAAAGCGACGAACTTCATTACCACGTTCACCACATCCGACATAAACGATGATATCACTATTGGAGAATTTGGAAAGGGCCTGAGAGATGACTGTCTTGCCACAGCCGAATGCTCCAGGAATAGCTGTAGTCCCTCCTTGAACACAGCTTCGAAAAGACATAAGCAATAGAATAGGTATGATCCCTGAAATTGGAAGTCTTACGGAAAGAGAGCGTCCAAGATACGCTGACCAGTCAGTAAAGGATGATCCGCAGTTTGTTTCTCTTTAACCGGTCGAGGGGCACGGACAGGCCAAAGTTGCATCATGGTGTGTTTTGTGGTTTTACCCTCGAACTCAGTTTCTAGAACGATATCCTAGATTGCTGATGAGGATCGATTTACTACAGCGATCAAAAACACGTACATCCACGGCGTAGCTACCTTTCTCGGCTATGTGTGTTATGGTACCGAGAGCCCGAGGGGGAAGCATGACCTTGTGGTTGTCTACAAGCGAGTTTTCATAGACACTTCCGAAGATGTCACCGCCTGAAATATGGTCGCCAACCTTGAAAATCCCCACGTAAGTAAGACGAAAGAGATGAAGAGATTGTGCAAGAAGTTACAGAAAACGATGCTGGCTTGAAGTCCCATTGTAACGATCGATCAAGAGCATCGGTATTGATACCGCGGGGAATGTAGATAGATTTAGAGAGTTCTTGGATGGACTGGAAACCAAACGGTAAGAGGACGTCAGAAAACCTGCTTTGGCTAGAACGCACTCGTAGAGGTCGTTGAATACCATCGACGATATTACCCATCAAGCCTGAAAGAAGAGTGTTGGATGTCTTTCGAGTTCATAAGCGAGATAAAATCATACCTGGCCCAAGCTCGACACTAAGAGGCTTTCCAGTTCTGAGAACAGGGTCACCAACTGTTACACCAGAAGTTTCCTCGTAGACCTGAATAGTTGCTTTGTCAGATTCGATACGAATAACCTCTAAGATAGAGTGAGTAGAAAATTTCCCAATACACGAAAAATAGGTACCTCCAACCAGCTCGTCATGTCCAACTCGTACAAGCTCATACATAGCAGCCCCGATCATATTTTCGGCAACAACTACAGGTCCAGAAACGCCAAAGACCTGGCCGAATCTACTTTCTCTGTCCTCATCGGATATCTTGATTAATTGTCGTTTGGCGTTTTGAAGAGCGCCTGCCATTGTCGTTTAAGTATTAGGGCTGATAATGGGGTTCCGTTGCAAGGTATGATGAACGGCCGGCATCCGAACTACGGTCGGAGACTGTCCCGAAAGTCACATGAATAGGACGCGTCGCCTACGCAAGCGCTTTGACTTTGAGGTATACCACTACTTGTCCTCTACCTCCTCTACGACCGATTGGATCATGGCACCAAAGACGTAAGTTAAACAAAAGTCTAATATTTTGCTTGCTCATTACTGTGTCCAGTGACTGGGAAAAGTGTTCGTGTTGATTCGCGACTTGCATGCATTCACTTATATTCTTATTCATGACTGCAGTCGAAAAGAAAGTCGATGACAAGGAAGAAAAGATTGTTGGTACGTTTGACGCCTATCATGGTCCTGAAATCTACTAATGGACCTCCGCAGCTCTGGACGACAGTGATATCCAGATACTCAAAACCTACGTACGCCTCCTCGCTGACACTTACACTAAGAATCGAACTTACCTCCGAGAACAGGGTCAAGGTCCATACGCCCGCCAACTCAAGACGATTGAGAATGATCTCAAAGATATCCAGAAACGCATAAACGAGAAGCTCGGTATGTGTTCGTAACACATTGGCACAGCACGCGTTAATTAGGAGTATGATATGTTAGGTGTGAAGGAGTCCGACACTGGGCTTGCTTCTCCAAATCTATGGGACCTTGCAGCAGACCGTCAAAGAATGTCCGAAGAGCACCCGCTTCAAGTTGCACGATGCACAAAAATTATTCCTGTGGATCCAAAGTTGGCCGAAGCGGCCAAGGCTGTTAATGCATTGGGTGCGCTGCAAGGGCAGAAGGGTGCAGACGAGCAGGATAAATACGTGATAAATATCAGGCAAATTGCCAAGTTCGTGGTTGGCCTTGGTGAACGTGTGGCGCCGACAGATATTGAAGAGGGTATGCGTGTAGGGTGAGTCTCGTCGCTTGCTCGTGTTTCTCATCGCTATTAATACTCAGTCCACTAGTGTCGATCGAAACAAATACCAAATTCAGATTCCTCTGCCTCCGAAGATTGATGCCTCTGTCACAATGATGCAAGTGGAAGAGAAACCAGATGTTACATACTCGGATGTTGGAGGTTGCAAAGAACAGATTGAGAAGTTGCGTGAGGTGGTAGAAACACCTCTCCTTTCTGTGCGTGTACATTTGTTCTTCGATTCTTCTGTTGACTTTTTCGTCTTCAGCCTGAACGGTTCGTAAACCTTGGTATTGACCCTCCTAAAGGGGTCTTGTTATTTGGACCTCCCGGAACAGGGAAGACTCTTTGTGCTCGCGCAGTAGCCAATCGTACAGATGCAACCTTCATCCGTGTCATTGGGTCCGAATTGGTACAGAAGTACGTTGGAGAAGGGGCACGTATGGTCCGTGAGCTTTTCGAGATGGCAAGAAGTAAGAAAGCATGTATCATCTTCTTTGACGAGATTGATGCTATCGGTGGTGCACGTTTCGATGATGGTGCCGGTGGTGATAATGAGGTCCAGAGGACAATGTTGGAACTTATCAACCAGTTGGATGGTTTCGATCCCAGAGGAAACATTAAAGTGTTGATGGCTACTAATCGGTCAGTTCAAAACAACGGAACGAATGGATCCTACTCACACAGCTTGTAGTCCCGATACGCTAGACCCCGCTTTACTGCGACCAGGGCGACTCGATCGTCGTGTGGAATTCTCACTACCTGATAACGAAGGAAGAGCACATATCCTTCGTATTCATGCTCGAAGGTTTGCTACTGTCAGACCCGCAAAACAAGTACTCAACATGTGATCCATTCAGTATGAACGTTGAACGAGATATTCGATTTGATCTTATTGCCCGTCTATGCCCCAACACGACTGGTGCAGAATTACGGTCTGTTGCCACTGAGGTAAGATCTTATCCCTGAACCCTCTGGAATGCTCAAGACTTGGAATTTAGGCTGGCATGTACGCTATTCGTGCGAGACGGAAAGTCGCATCGGAACGTGACTTCCTCGATGCCGTGGAGAAGGTCGTTCGACAGGGCACCAAGTTCTCTAGCACGTATGTCATTTATATCGGATTGCTCATCTTCAATATTGACCTGTGTTTTCCTCAGGCCACTGTATCAAGTGTACAATTAGATCTCTCAGCTTGTGTTATGACTCGTTCTTATAATATAGTTTTTTTTTCGTCGTACGTCCTACTACACAACTTGAAAACATAAATCTTTTGAACATTGAAACGTGGAATATCCGCGGGCCGTCATAAGCTCTGTTCCGTAGTATTAATAGATAAATACGTATTTCATTCATTATCCTCGATGAAGTCGTCATGAATACCACATTTCGACTGTTCAAAAAGTCTTCTTTATCGCACCAATTTCATCGTTATTACATTCGACGTGCCCCTGCGCCAAGTCCCAAAGAAGTCACGGAACTTTTGGCCAAATATGCATCCTCTCCGCATCGGCCATTGAATCTCTCGGCGTTATTATCATTTGGACGTCCTCTTACACCCAGTTCGGTACTCGCATCTGTGTCCTATGCACTAGAGGAAATACCCAGACGCCTTGCTACTAGGGTTCAATCGCTGGAAGCGCTACCTTTTATTGTTGGTACAAATCCGTGCGTACAATGCGGTTACTCTTCGGTACAGGTAGCTTCATAGCAAACTCTCTAGATATGTAGCAAGCATATTATCTGCACACAAAGAGAGCTTTATGTGGCTTGCAACTTATCCTACTCCTCATACCTTGGAAGAAAACTCTAAATTTGCTGAAACTTTGGAAGATCTGGTCGAGAAACATGCAAATGATATACCTACGATCGCGAAAGGGTGAGCCGGCTACTACTCCTACTTTGTACAACTGACCAGGTGAACCAACGTTGACCAGCTTTCAAGAATGCTCCAAGTATATGACCAATTCTCAAATCAGTGAATTTCTGGATGGCGCTATTCGGAACCGCATATCGGTACGGTTAATTGCAGAACAGCATATATCTCTATCCAGGGCAATACACGATTCAAACCACCCTAATGTTGGAGTTGTCAACACTCAATGCTCACCGGCGGATATGGTTCGTATGTGTGGATCTTTTGTCAGCGAGCTTTGCGAAGCCACGCTAGGAGCGAGCCCTGTCATTACAATCGAGGGTGACCGAGATGCTACCTTTGCGTGAGCATTTCTCAAAGACGTCTTCCTTTTTCCCGCACTGAAATTTGAATAGTTATGTGCCGGTTCACCTTGAGTATGTCCTGACGGAGTTACTGAAGAATGCGTTTCGTGCCACAGTTGAGCATCATTCCAAAAAGAACAGAGGACGAGGTTCAATTCCAGCTATTCTAACAACTCTATCCGCTCCTCCCCGACTTCCGGGATCAACCTCCAACTATTTCTCAATACGCATTCGAGATCAGGGTGGGGGAGTTGCTCCTGCCAATATCTCACAAATATTTTCTTACGCTTTCACGACGGCGGGTCGAGGGGCTAGTGGAGACGATGGAAGTGGCGGAGGTCCATATGCTGCCCAGCATGTTGGAGGAAGTGCTGCTATTGGCGATGGGGGAATGGGAGAAGGTAATCTTTTCGGTGAGATTACAGGCAAGGGTTTGCAAACTGGTCTTGGTACCATCGCTGGCTTGGGATACGGCCTTCCTATGAGTCGCCTATATGCAAAGTAAGTATAGTTAGTTAATGAGAACCTCGCTTTCGGCGTCTGATCTTGAGTTTAGGTACTTTGGCGGCTCTCTGGACCTCATGTCACTTGAAGGATGGGGTGAGCTTATTGGGGTTATTTCTTTAAACGTTCTGGGGCTGACCTGGTTGTATTGTAGGATGCGATATATATTTAAAGTTACGTTGCTTAGACGAAGCTGGTGATTCGAAGATTTAGTGTGATTAACTTACCCGATCGAGTACATCCACGCTGAGAGTACTTGAGCCTCCGATATACGTATAACTTCATTCATCTGTAAAGCGTCCGGGGTACTGCCAGGAACCATTTTCAATTTAGACCAGTAAATATTATTCAAGACGTTATCGACAGCATGATAGGTTTTCTTTAGATCGCGTACCAGAATTTCTTCAAATTTGGCTGAGGGCGTGATGATAGCAAGAACTGTGCGGGCCATTGTACGAAGTCAATGCAATTGGAATATTATTTTTATCAGTGCCTCTCAGGCATCTAAAATCTCGATGCTCACATACTTGGTCTTGAAAATCATCTTGGTGTGAGACCGATTGTGAGACGAAGAGAGCCTCGAAGTGTTTGATGTCAAATTAGCCTTTTCATGGTGAGACAAAGGAAACATTTCTACCACGCGCCACCATTATTGTCGATCCCTCGGCCCCCTGTCGTTCCCTCTTAGGGTCTTAAATCATGCCCGCTGGACGCTATCTATTCCGAGGGACGTGCTCCCACTGTCAAAAAAATTTACAACGTCGCGCGGAGTCTAGCGAGACAGAGAGGTAAGGAAAAATAATACAACGACAGGAGTCACTAGAAAGTAGGTTCAGACACCAGAAATTCCAGTGGGGTGTTAGGGTGTCATTGGCTGTTCTGTGCGTTTCAATGCGGACTTGCCACCTCTATCATATGTTGACGATTGACTGCAGAATCTCGAATCAATATGGGACATGAAGGACTTGTATAGGCACCTACATATCTCGTTCAACATTCTGTGTCTATTTCTTATTCTTGGACCCAGGGTTACTGCTTCCCGAAAGACAAATACTACACCCTCACCCTCCTTCGTGCTATACTCGCAACCTTGAGTTGCAGTTGGTGTTGCTTATGTTACCCTCGATTTTCCACCTTCGCCATATCGGACTAATGGGACGCTAGTGAACAAAGAACTTCATGCATTTGCAGGGCCTGGGACTCAAACATTCCTATCCCAATATGCGTTGCAAATTTTCCCCGCACCTCCGTTATATAAACACGCGACCAATATCACAAACCTTTCTGCCAACCCGAACGATACCGGGAACAGGCGAAAAAGAGCACAAGTCAGCTTCTTGACCAGTGTCGTTTAACCCTCGAGGTTCAAACATGAAAGAATACACCGGGATTGAGCTCGATTGGTGGATTCATTTACACGACAAGAGGCGAAGGAGCTCAGTTGATGGATCGAGTCATTTGCCTGCAACGACCTCGACGATTCCACTACATTTGAAAGGCGGATAAACATAGCCATTCGTCGTCGGTCATATTCTAATTTGCGGGCAGTCGTTAACAATCGGCCTTCAGAAATGGCATGCTTTCGTACCTAAAGATCCTGATTTTCGTCGGAATGAGCTCTCTTCCTCGCTATATTTGAAAGTAGACCGCACGGTTTCCACCCCTATGCAACGCACGTCGTCCGAAAAACAGACGTCCATTTTACTTCACTCCGTATAGAAATGAGCCGGTGATCCCAAGTGTCACGAATCCCAGAAGACCTGACGTCGTTCGTGCCACTGCATCCTCTAGGATCGCAATGGGCCCGTAAATGTCATAACAGGCCTCAAACAAAGTCAGACGGAGGATGGTCTACGTGTGTCGGAATGTCGATAATCAAAGAGCCTCGGTTAAGATGTGCCAAACTGAACAATGTTGTCAACGGAGATGGACATAGAGAATTGTCGTGGATTGCAATACGAAGGTTCTGGCTCTCGGTGTTCTGTCTCCTGGTCGCCGAGACTTATATTCTATAATCCAGTACCGTTCGTATTCGAGGATAACAAGACTCTTGGTTGGTACATGGAAGGTCGTACATGTCGATGCCCTAGATTCTGGCTCAAGTTCCATAGAGATAGCACTGGCTGCACAGAGCTCGAAGCCTGCCAGCGGATAGATGATATTTTTCATTGTGGCAGGTGCTGCGATAGAAGAAAGGCAGTAATGTGTCCGGGAGCATCTCACCAGTCTACAACGTCTAAACTCGGCATAGAAGCTGTTGCTCGCATGCAGAGAAACTCTGCCTGTATAGTTGATTATCGACCAACCATTGAGGCCTTGTGTGCGAGGATGACTGCGCCCTGATTCACCCAAACATGTCGAACTAGCTTCGAACTCCGTCAAAAATTTGGTCGTGATCTGCATATAAATTGTGGGCCACGTACATGAAGATTTTTTTGTCAACATTCACTCCCTCGAGTCCACTCTAATGTCTCGACGATGTGCAGCCTGCTGAATTTCGAGGCTCTAAACCTTACAAAAAAATTCATTTAGGGAACAAACGAGGCTGGTTACTAAAACGAACTGTTTGATATCTATACGGGTTCCATGGCTGTCGCCGCCTTGGAGAAGCAAAACATTTCGTACGCCTTTCGAGAATTTGTGGACTGGTGCAGGTTGACTCTACAGATTGGACCTCAAAATCCTACCCGATATTAAATCGAACATTCCTGGACATTGTCGCTGAGAACACGCAGGCCACATCATCATCTGTGTGTCCCAAGGATCTTTGGCAGAGGACGTCAATTAATGTCCAGGGGGTAATCCCGACGACGAGTTGCTCAGCTCGGATCCCGTTGAAACCTGTGTACCTGGTCCAGGATTATTCTTTCAACTCACCAGCCTCCACAATCATGTTCTCCTTTTTGCGTCTCATGCGCTGCATGCTGGCTTTATTGTTTGTGCAAGAACGGGAATAGTGGAAACTTCAGAGTGAGTGGAGGGTGACGCTGTTGAATCATGGACGTGCCGTGGATGGAGAGCCTACTCCATCTTTCACGCAGTTCGAGGCATTGATATGTCCTATGCCTTTACGCTTCCGGAGTGCGCTATGTGTCCAGGGAATGAGGATCGCGGGCGGGGCATGAGGATCGCGCGGATGGTGACGCTGTTGGGTAGAGGCACCTGCGGAAAGCTTACTCCACGTTTTGCATTGACCAAGAATTGATATCCGGCCTATGTCCTTACGCATTCGGAGTGTCCTATGCGGGGAGGGAATGAGGATAGCGCGGAGGGGTGAGACTGTTGGACGGAGGCACCTGCAGAAAGCCTAGAGCACAACGTCTGGGGATTGATGTTGGTCTATGTCCTCTTGCCTTCAGATGTTGGTTTGTATGGTGAAGCATTCATTTCCGATCCACAGTCTGGTGGCTTCGCCATCTTGTCTGTTCGTTGAAGGCGAAGGACTTTTCTATAACATATAATTCCACAGCTCTCTACCGTCTTATGTCTTTCCCAATAATGACGGCTTGGCCATCCGACTCAGCATGGTGACTTCGGTATATCGTGTGCTTGCCAATGACAATGAACTGATATGTGGTTCATGTCCTGACAGCCTTGCTGCGCCCTATGTCGTGCGTGTTTCCCAATTGTTATGGCTTGTTCAGCAACGCATCCTGGCGGCTTCTCCATGTTGTGTCCTTACCAATGATGAAGGGCTGATCTAGGACCAAGACGTTGCGTCTTCGTTTAGCCTGGTAAGAGATAGGCATTGATTATTCGCACCTAGGCTTTCTAATGTTCTATACCACATGTGCCTTCAAACAATGGGGAAGAGCTAGTCTCTGGAGTACCATGCGAGGAATGGCCCATTCTTCACATCTCCGTTGCGTTTTTTCTTGGTGCTGCAATGAGTTGATCATCTTTCTGCTCATCGCAACCGCCCCGTGAATGAAGTAGAGGCAAAGGGACGATGCTGGGGACGTTGAGTTTCTGGATAGGAATGACGGTAGTGTGGTATCTCTGTAGGGAACATTTTTGGTGTCGTTCGTCAAAGCCGCGAGGTGTCTCTCGGCCGACAAAGATCCTTCGCAGACAAAGTTGGAGCGTGGAGCTCGGAACGATAATGCTGAATACCGTCGAGTAGAACAAGCTGTTAAAAGACAGGTTAAACACACATAGCAGCAAGCCAGGTAAGCACGTACTAAGACGACCTCCGTCTTCTACCCTTTTTCCTTCTTGGACGTTTGAAGCTCATGTTCTCCTAGTTATGAATAATTCCAAGCTCAAGATGAGCATGCTTGAGTCAAAGTATCTTTAATTACTGAAGGCCGTGCGGTATTGTGTCGGCGAGGTAAAGCAACGGCGAACAGCCGTAATGAACGTTGTACTGTGACTAGATAAGTGGATTCAGGAAGCTGGATTGCTCATATATATCGCTTTGCGTGGTGCTCCTCAAAGTTTGTTAAGGTATTATATATCCTTTGGAATACTTGTTGAGTTATCTTTCCTAGTAGCAAAGATCTATCGAACGTCCCCCGCATTTGGAACGCTGTGGATTGACCAAAAATCGAAAATCCAGGTTTGTCACTGTGTCACCTATATTCCCGGCTCCATTATACTCGGACGGAGAGTCCTCCAATTATGGGGACCATGATGTTCTTTATATGTACACATTTCGTTCAAAATATTTGACCAAACCACGGCAAATTTTCGACTGTTTCTGGCTCTAATTTACGGATCGCTGAGCTCGAATCTGAATCATTTCATAGCCCTCATCAAAATTCAAATCGAATAACGGGCGATCGGAATGAAAATGGAGGCAATTTCTTTCTTCGACTTGGTAAATAAGCGCGCACTGCACGATCAACGCGACGCGACGCGTCTCGTTGAGAAGCCAAAGTATTTGCTATGTAGTAGACAGGACTCACATAATCACCACTTGAAAGGAGATTTCCAATTCCATAAGATCGGTACGTACTTTCGCTTCTAATATATGATAGTCTCCCCGACGAGTATATTCCAATGAGCAGAGATATTCGAAAAATGAACAAGATACATTCGTTCGTTGCGAATCCAGAGTAAGTAAAGATCATACAGGAAACCAGAGTAATCATCCCCACGATAAACAAGACAAGTTACAGATAGCAGAGGTAGGGTACGTAGTAGTCAAAATGATATGAGTATGTACAGCACTGTTCGTTCAAGCAAGAAAGAGCAAAGATAACGACAACTTGACGGAAGACTATTTATTTCCCACCCCCTTGACCCTCAAGGTATGTCTCACCCTCAGGCTTGCCATATGCTACAGCCATGTAAGGATAGCTGGGTTGTGTCATCAGGTGCTGTTGGTGCGGATCTGCACGAACGTGAACTGCATATGATGGGTATTGTCCGACGTGGTGATATGCGGGCCTACTAGGTCCCCCTTGATAGTAACTGGTAGGCGGCGACGGATATTCCTGGCCTGACAAAGCTTGTGGCAATTGCGATGGGTAAACAGCATAGAGCTGCGAATGGATATGGCGTGAAGTCGGATGCAGAGAAGGAAGAGGTTCCTCCCTGCGCTCCGGTGGCTTCACAAGTGGAGGAGGTAAAGGTGGAGGAAGAGAATATTGATTGATATACGTTGTGCCAGTGTATGTGGTGGCCGGACCCACATAATGAAGGCCCAAGGCTGGATGAAAAGATGACGATGGATTATCAGGTCCTTCACCATTGGTAATCGGCATCACCTCCTGTTGGTGAGGAGGCGCATCGAAATTTCCGACGCTGCCGTTACCTGCGCGATCTCCAGAAATCAGAATGTCATTCTTTGATTGCTCACTCATAGAAATGTGGCGAAGAATAAGGAAAGATAGGAAAAAGATACATACCTTTGCAATCGCGCTTCTTATTATAAGGCCCTCTTTTGACGCCTTTTTTGCGTTCCTTTCGCTGAGAATCTATGCATTCAGATGGAATTCCATACTTGATGCAACGTAGACAAGGTCGAGCATCATCGCATTTCTTGCAAGCTTTCTGACAGTTGGTGCAAGCATTCTTGACCTGCCTACGTTTGGCATGAAAGGTACGTTGTGAGCTAGGCGTAAGAGGATACATATGCATGGGCATCGTAGAGTATGTGAGAGGGTGTGTGTTTAGGAGAGGGTAGTGAACAGAGGGATCCATGGTGGTAGTATCGATATCAGTACTATCCGAGACGACAGCGGCCATGGAAGAGAAGGGGATGATCTAGCGACAAACAAGAAGCTGAATTTAGCCTGCCACATGACAGAACATTTCTAGTACTTACCTAACCAGTGAAAACGACGAGGTTGAAGAGGGAACTTAAAAAGGCAAAGATAGGATGGTTGTGGAGGGGGGGATTGAAACAAGTGATCCAAAGCAGAACGCGGTTAAGTGGCTTGGAACAGTGACTGTTGGAGAGAGAGAAGATCAGCTTCTATGCAGGCTCTGAACATGCTTGAGCCTCATGTATCACTTTCTCCGTGTCTGAAGCCTCGCATTGGGAGATATTGACCTACGTTGAAGATCTAAGCCAGGCATAGATATATCTGAGTCTTTAGGTACAAAACCTCATTATTTTCTGGCCCAGAAAATGACAAAACAGAATCAAGTCCGAAAAATGGACCGAGCCCGGCCTCGAGGCCTTTCGGCGAATTCACGGCAATCACTCAACTTGTTTGTTCTGCACAAACTCCATGCCGCTTTGGCTTGTGAGGGGAACACAATTCCACCAAGGTTCCACCATCGCTGACACTGAAGGCCTCCATTAATTTCTTTTTCTTCTTTTTGATTCTTTCACTCTTTTTTCTCTTTATTACCTTCCATGTCAACTCCGCCGTCGCCGCGCGCACATAACAAATCTTTGCAAAGGAAGAGGGATCGACCGCCGGCTCTTGACATCCACGAATTGCAACAAAATAAGCCTTCTTCGGATACCGATGTCTTCCTTCGTGCAGCAGCCGTACAGGTACCTCTCTTTACTTAATTGTCTACTTTCTTTCATTATTCATCACGTCTGCAACAGCCCAGTGTCCATGTTGAACTTGCACCTTCAGAAGAGGAACAGCCTGTAGATTCGGATTATCCTCAGTCGCGTGCTGGCTCGGCAACTTCTTCTTTAGATCCTTACTACTTTGGGATCCAGTCTCCTTCTGATTCACCTGTCCCTCCGCTACCTACAAGTGGCGCTTTCAGTATTCGAACACCCAACCGGTCGCCCTTACAGGAACCATATACACCGGCAAAAGATCCCTCTTCAATTGACAGACGCGGTTTGGTCGGTGTGGGCGAACTCACTACACCAAGGTGGACTCGGAATGAGCAAGCTGAACGAACTCCAGCAAGTGTGGATGACAATGAAGACTATCAGATAGTAGCATCTGGCAACGAGAATGATGAACAGGACGTCCCGGACAGTCCTTGGACTATTGAAGCAGTGGATGGGGAAATGTCTGAGAAGGAAGAAGTGCATTTTCCATTTGCCACATCTCAATGCACCTAGCTGACCTGGATTCTGTATAGTTGGTAGAGGCCAAATCAACCCATAGGCTACGAGGGAGGCCGTCGATGACGGAAGAAAGCGGGGGAGAAGAAGTTCTCTACCCTCGAAAGCCTTCGACAGCCGTCCCAAGGCTACCTGATCTGCCACCTGCAGATACTTTCAGCTCTGCCTTTTCCATTTCATCTGCTCCAGTCGATGCCGTTGTTGTCAATTCTCCTCCACCAAGCGCCTTCTCACAACCGCAGCAGCGCAAGGCCAGGAAACGATCTTCAGACGAGTTCGAGATGGACCAAACAGGGTTACTTGTAACCAGGCGTGTTTCCTCCACAGATAGATCCAAGGAGGAGAAACCCGTTTCACGCAAGCACCGAAGTGTAACGGCTACTGTCTCGCCGCCCTCATCGCGTGATGGGCGGGGCAAAGAGCGACGTAGAGAGAGCTCTGGACTGACCATGAGTAGTAGCAGTATGAAGTTGAAGCCCCATAGTCGGCATGCCTCACTGAGTTCATCTTCCTCTAACATGGGAGACAACAAGCGCGCCACTACAGGAGCAGATTACTCACATCTGCCCCCTTCACCATCAACTTCCTCCATCCAACACTTCTTGAAGAATACTGGTGCCGGCCCCAATACACCTCCATTAAGCGCATCAAAGGAATTAGGTCATCCGTCGCCTAGCGTGGCTCACTCCCTTCTTCGAGGTACCCAAGAAGGCTGGTCTGGGATGGGTGACGAGGCCACTGCTGAAGCTTTGCGAAAATTAGACGGATTGTCTGGGAAGACTGCTCGCGCGCGTGCCAGCATTGGTAGTTTCGGACGTCCGCATAGTCAAAGTCGGCCCGGTACGCCGGCCAGTAGGACGGGAACGGGTACTCAATGGGAAGGTGTAGGCTCTTCCAGTGACGGTGGGGTGAAGCGTAGAGGTAGTAGTCATCGGGAGAGCGCGAACAGTGTCAAGGAGAAGGAGTCACGCTCGGTCGTTGGTCTGGGCCTTGGTATCATGGGTCCTAACCTCGACGTGGAGCCTATCGGAAGTGCAAATCCTAGCAGCGACGAACAGCCTTTGAAATATGCTCCTTCCATCACTGTTGAGAAGACCCCAAAGAAGTCAGGGACAGCAAGTGCCCGATCCAGTTTCACACCGAAACGAGGTTCCACTTCTTCGGCAACTAATACTAGCACCCCTACCACGAGTTCTCGGGATTCTGTGACCATGTCGGCAGCGACGAGCATGACTTCCATGTCATCTGTTCGACATTCTGTCAGCAAAACCAGGAGGAATAGTGCCGGCAGCGACGTCTCTAGTATACATTCCAGCGATGCAAACTCTCTCAAGGACCGCGTTGCTTCCATTGCTTCTAACGGTGATGGAAATGAAGATGATATTGTGCCTCCTGTCCCACCTCTCCCCAAAGATTTGTCAACATATCGTACACCGCCAGCGACTGCAGTCAGTCTCTCCTTTCCTCATATCCAGGAAGACAAGCCGCGTAACAGTCACGACAGCGACCGCGGCGCGGCCTTGAAGGTCGCTCCTTTAAATGATGCGGGAGGGTCATCTAAACAGACGTCCAATCGTCGCCAGAGTCAACCTATTGCCGCGTCCGAACCTCCTCTTGCAGTCCCGAAGACACCTTCGAAGAAATGGAGTTTCTCCAATGCTTTGAATCTGAAATTGACAGGCTCTCCTTCTTCTAAATCTTCAGGATTCCCGGTAAGCTCACAAGCTGTTGCATTTAACAGCCAGCAATCTCAATCGCACCCTTCTCAGTTGCGCAAGTCGACGTCGAAAGAGCAAGCTCTCTCCCCATCTGTTGTTCCAGCTAAGAGTCCTTGGTCCCCAAGGCATCCTGACGCAATGGGATCCGCCGCTTCATTGACATCTCTCTCATCTGTCGGGTCTGTACGTACCCCAGCCGTTGCATCTACTGCTAACACTCCCTCGTTATCAAAGACTCCAGATCGGAGTGCTGTTTCGAGTAGAGCTGGCACCAACTCTAGTGCAAGTACGAGCCATACTTATGCTGGCCTCTCAGCTCCTCAAACCTATGCTGGTCCTTTGAGCCCTTCCTCGTCTATTCATCGCAATCAGTCTAAGCGGCTTACACCTTCTTCGATTCCTTTCTTCCGTCGGTCATCTTCTCACTCAATTCAAGTACCTTCCAATACCATCTCAGCAACATCCCCGATTGACTCTGCGGTCACAACACACCCGCGAACAAAGCAGACCTCTCCGATGCCGGATTATGCCACTCAATCCACCTTAGTCCCCGGATCTGCGCATAAAAAGTCATCTGTTCTGAGCTTAGGGTCCCTTCTGAAATCTAGCTCGAGGAAGAGTCTGCATGGCGATTCTTCAAAGGAGGTTGCGAGAGAATTACAAAAAGTGAGAGATGCTGCCAAGGAGTCAGAGAGGGAGGCTGTTCGAGTAGACAAGGAGAGGCAAAAGAGAGAAGATAAAGAGGGAAGGATATCTGTGCTTATGGGACGCAAACGCGGAAAAGTAAATACCCTATGTTGCGCTCTACATTACATCATCTCATCTTCACTCTACAGACTCTTTCAGCGGCTGATCCCAAAAAGCCACGCTCTCCTCCGGCTTTGCCACCTATGCAAATGTCTGCTTTAGAGCCTGCAACGGCTCAAAGAGTAGCACGACTAAAGGCTCCTGGTACAACTGCCACTGCTCCGACTGCTTCCAGTATTTCGCGTGTTGCCTCGACTTCGTCTCGAGCCACGTCTCAGACTGCTAGCTCTATGCAAAAGCTCTCAGATACCTCCCTTCGCACACGTAACCAGCTGCCGACCATTGCTGGTTCGCCGTCTGTTGGAACAATAACAGCGACTACTAAGGAGAACAAGGAGCCGCCACCGTCCACATTGATGAACACTGTTTCAGGAAATCCTAAAGAAACCCCCACGAAAATTCCTCGCATCTCAAGTCGCACATCTGCTATTTCGCCTCCATTGAAAAGTGGTAATACGACTCGCCGTGCGAGCGGACTGGTTTCTTCTACGAATCCGTCTCCAACTGCCAGTCAATCTACTAATGAATTCGGGGTAATTGAGAATGGCGATGGGCCGACTCCGAAAATGACCTCGAAGACTGCTTCCACTAGGAACTCTCCTTCAGCAGCTGCCAATACCTCTACTTCTCGGGTACCGCGGCAAGTTTCTATTAGCACGTCAACCTCTGGAAGTATCCTTCCACGAAAAAGCAATAGAGAGTCGATATCATTTGGTCTGCGGAAGGCTTCAACTGGCTCTGTGGCTTCAATGTCAACAGCTGCTAACACTAGTACAACAGCGATGAACGAGACTTCGACTTCTCACCACCGGTTTTCCGCTCTTTCCCCATCAAGAGGGCTCAAACTGCTCAGTCCAAAGATTTCTTTGTCATCTGCTCGTTCTTCGCACGCGAGCAGCTCACAAAGCGTTGCTCCTGCTGCCACTCCGACATCTAGTAGGCAGTCATTGACCACGCCTTCACCCGCTCCGAGCTCGGTAGATGAAGAGGAACAAGCCGGCGATGAAGAAATGCTACAATATATCAAGCGACAACAGTCTCACAAACTGCAAGCTGGTGCCACGCAGGAAGAGCTTGACAAACTTTTGAAATTTCCTGAACCGATTCCACCTACTAGCCCTAAGACACCTCCAGGTAAGTACTTTCCATGAATACACATGATTGATCATCTAATTGCCTTTTAGCGGTCTTGAAAAGTAGCCAAGATCAATACCTATGCGATTTTGAACGAACGGAGATCCAGGATTATCCCAATGTGTATTATATCGGTGCTCGCAGCAAGAAACATGACGCTTCCCTGGACCACACGACCAACAATTATGGTTATGATGATGATCGTGGAGATTATCTAGTGGTCAACCATGATCATCTCGCATATCGATATGAAGTCATTGACACTCTAGGAAAAGGTTCATTTGGGCAGGTTCTTCACTGCAGGGACTATTGTACCGGAGAATCAGTCGCTATCAAGATAATCCGCAACAAGAAAAGATTTCATCACCAAGCTCTCGTAGAAATTAAAATCTTGGACAATCTTCGTAAATGGGTATGTGACATAACGGTCATGGCATGGTCGACTTGGGCGTGTTCTGATATGTAGCTTCTGGCATATAGGATGCAGAAGAGAAACACCATGTCATCAAAATGACAGAACACTTCTACTTCCGAAATCATCTGTGTATCGCGATGGAACTACTAAGTATCAATCTTTACGAACTTATCAAGGCAAACGGCTTTGTAGGCTTCACTACAGCACTTATACGACGTTTCACGAGTCAAATGTTAATGTCGCTGACTCTCATGCGCCACCATCGCATTGTTCACTGCGATCTCAAACCCGAAGTGAGTGCTATGCTACCACCACAAATTACTGAACATTCTAATCATGCCGATCCTAGAACGTTCTACTACGTCACCCTGCAAAGAGTGCCATTAAAGTGATAGATTTTGGTAGCAGTTGTCTGGAACACGAGAAAAGTAGGTTTCGCAGTGCGTTTAGTTCAATTGCTCCTCTGACCGTGCATGCTTTGTGTAGTCTACACTTACATCCAAAGTCGGTTCTATCGTTCGCCGGAAGTTATTCTAGGCATGAACTACCACATGGCCATCGACATGTGGAGCTTAGGGTGTATTCTTGCGGAACTCTATACAGGCTATCCAATATTCCCTGGCGAAAATGAGCAAGAGCAACTTTCCTGTATCATGGAGGTTCTTGGCGTTCCGGATAAGGAATTCGTTAATCGTAGCTCTCGCAAAAAGCTCTTCTTCGGTTAGTTGCCGCCATTGGTTGTGTTTGTTCATCAGACCGACATTTCCACAGAAACTAACGGCGCTCCTCGTGCGGTGATAAATTCGAAAGGCCGCCGACGTCGACCTGGTACCAAAACTCTTGCCCAAGTCTTGCGTTGCAACGATGAAGATTTCATTGATTTCATTGCGAAGTGTCTTGTTTGGGATCCGGAGCGCCGTATCAAACCTCAGGCTGCCTTGCGTCATCCTTTTATCACGGCCGGCCGTAAACCAAAACCTCCACCGTCCTCTAGCAAGAGTACACTGTCCTCATCCACTCTAAGTGGACGTAAGAAGGAATTGATGGAGACCCCGAAAAAATCTCTCATCGGCGCTCCCACTCCTCTTACTGCGCGTTCATCGAGGACGACGGGCAATGTGCTAACTACACCAAATACCTCGACACATAGTTCGACGCTCACCTCTTCATCTCGCTCTTATCGTACCTCACAGGCTCACAGCCTATCGTCTCATCATTCAAATCGTGTCCTGAATGGCTATGTGGTGCGTTCGTCGGTCTCCTTCCTACAGGTTTCCACTAACGAGTTCCGTAGGCAGCTGGAAAATAAACTTTACTCATCCCTAGTTCAATAACTCATGCTATGATTATTCTTGCCGTGCTTCTGGTAAATGTTGCTTAAATCGGATTTTCTTCATTCTCGGTCAATACTTTTCATACCCTTACCAGCTGTATTTTGGCTAGTCCTTTTGTTATCCACTGTTCTGACTTCTCTTGCACATCTTTGCATCGTTCTTTCTTGCAATTCCAACATAATTCATACGCAATTATTGTCAACGCTGCAATCAAATTGAGGAATGGTTTTTAAATGAGTGGAAAAAGATTTGCATAATCAAAGAAGGGTCTAATTATAAGGTTGTAGAGCATCGTCTTTCCTGTTCATGTAGAACATTGTGTTGTGACATTGAAATAGTAAAAAATGCCCTTTCTGATTGACCACCATCGAGCTTGACACTCGGTTCCCAGTGTTTCCGTTGCTTGTTTCCTTATCTTTCTCTGACGGGGCTATTCTGACTTTCGGCTTTTTGGAATGGCCTCAATGACCAGCACGATCCCCGCCTATCTTTTGCCAAGTGTCCCTGCATATCAGCCAGCCCACCTTGAGGGTGATTCAACTTATGCTACGGAGATTCTCCCCGGTCCTCCCTCTCTGGCTGCTGTTCAAAATCCTTTAGCTAAACGAGATCCGCGAAAGGACTCTGTGATTTATTCCTATTTGCCCGCTTCAGATCCAGGTACTACTTATTCTGGCGCAATGCATGGCACCTGGATTGGACAGGATTCCAGGAAAAGCAAGCGTGCCAAAATGGATAAAGGGTGTGTTCTTGTCGTTTTTTTCTCCCGTTGCCTAGCCTTTTGTCTGACGGACGTTTCTCTTCTAATTGATATGTTCTCCGCACTTTGATTCTTCGCTTTTTGTTGTGGTATGGTTTCAATGTCACTCACGTTCAGAAGATCCTCTGGTCGTGCTCAGCGTGCATCAGCCAGGAATCAGAATGGCTCATCTAACGCTGTGGAGCTTGTCGCTAATCCTGAGGGCGCGAGTGGCTCACAGCCTCCTTCAGCGGACGATTCAGATGTAACCATGATTATAGACGATGAGCCGTCGATATCACATTCTGATTCTTCACAAAACATCTTGGATCAATCACAAACATCCCAAACCATGAGTACCAGAGGGAAGAAGAAGGACAAGGGCAAAGGAAGGGAAGTCGAGGTACCTGTGAGGGTCAAGGAAGAGCCACAGACGGTGTCTCTGCGTTCTCCTGAGCCCCAGGTTGATCTGGTGCGTCTTATGCACCTTCTCCCCGCGACAAAATTCTCACACATAGTCACATCTTGCAGCTCAACAATAACGACCATTGCTCTGCTTGTCGTTCACAAGGCGCACTAGTTTATTGTGACGGTTGTCCACGAGCTTTTCACCTATGGTGCTTGGATCCTCCCATGGAATCTATTGACGATGGAGATAGCAGATGGTTCTGTCCAGCTTGCACAGGACCCAAGGTTAGAGGGTTCACCTCTTCACTTACTCCGGCTTATAATTTTGAATGCCTTCATGCAGCACCCGCCACGCAAGCACCCTCCTGGACTCTTAGCGCCACTGATTCAATCTGTGGATGTCTCAATCCCCACTGAATATCAATTACCCGATGACATCCGAAATTTCTTCAAGGATGGTTCGTTCCCTTTTATTAAACAACTCTTGCTGTCTGTCTGACACGTACGCTCAGTTGGAACAAGCGATCGAGGAAACTATGTCGATATTTCGGAGATAAAACCTCCTCGCCTCAAGTGAAACCACTTTTTGCTTCTTTACTAGTCTTTGCTTACGACTTTCTACTGTCCAGCCGACATGGCCAGCTTGAGGATCGTGATGCCCATCGATTACGTGACCGTAACGGGCAGCCCGTTCTTTGTTTCCGATGCGGAACTTCTGCTCTACCAGAATCAATTGCGGCTGCTCCTCCACCCATGAAGCGTGCCCGAAAAGCAACCGTCAAAGGCGAACAATACGAAATGTGGAAAAATATCATCTCATGCGATTATTGCGACCTTCATTGGCATCTTGATTGTCTCGACCCACCCCTCCCCACCATGCCTTCGTTTTCCAAGAAATGGATGTGTCCTAATCATGCGGAGCAGATCATTGTAAATCACGCAAAAATGCGGGCTCGAACCTCTGACGATAAAATTTTCCAGGCTCCCAAACATCGTATACCGAAACAGAATGCCACGCCTATAGAAGTTACAAAGCCAGGACAACACAATAATGGCAATATTGAGGTTGTTGAACCACAAACTGTCAAACTTCTCAATATCCAACCCAAGGTCAATGTTGATGAAGTGCTCATCAACGGACGCCGTTATCGGGTCCCAGAACGCATCATCCTATTGGATTTTTGGAATAAGATCAGCAAGACCGGTGGCGGGCAGTGCGCATTCGTCCTTCTTATTATACAATGTATATCTTGACATCTTTATAGAGATGCGGATTCCCGCTCATCCTCTCCTTTGACCTCTCTAAGCTCATTGGAAGACGAAGAGCCTACACACCCTCCCTCGCCTCCAACGGGCTCCTCACTGCAATCAGATTTAGAAGTCGCACAGGTCAGTAAATATCGATGCTTCGAACATCTAGCATATCTAATTCTAATTCTAGATGCTCTGGGACTTCAAACGAGGTCTCCATCTTGATCCTTCTTCTGTTTACGGGAACGGCTCGAGCTTCCGGCAGAGTGAACAGACAATGATTGTTGATTCCCCTGTCTTTCTGTCGCAACCCTCATCGAAGTTAGTGCAGACTTCGAAGTCTACTCCTACCGCGAAGGTAACCTGGGGCTCAATTGAAACTCACCAGACGGAATGCTTATAAACTCAATAGCGCGCCTCAAATAAAGCATTGGCAGCAGAATCTACGGCATCCACTTCTTCAGCACCTGTCGTCGCCGACTCCATGGTTCCACCTATTGAAACCCTTTCTATCATACCTTCTACCTCAAAACGTCAGAGAGCTAATACAAGCAATCCAAACAACACGCAGACGGAAAATGGTGCTCGAGGATTACGTTCCAGAAGCAAGGCTGCGGATAGGGTGTGTATCCACAGGCCTGTCTCTATCTTCTTTGAATTTACGCTATAAAACAGTCAAGAAGAAGTGGAGATGAACTCGAAAATGTCTCTGCTCCTCCGGCTGCGTCGTCGTCCAAACCTCCCAGAATCCGTGTCAAGGTTGGTTACTATGTCTAATTATGAAAATAGATGCACACCTGACCTGGTCCATATATTGTTCAGCTTGAAGAGCCTGATCACAGTTCTCTACTGTTCAGTAGCGGTCCTGCAACTCTTGAGCCTGACGTCCCCGTGTCAGTTTCCGCTACTGCGAAACCTCTCAAAAAACGTGGCAGAAAGAAGATTTTGGTTGCTGCAGAGCCTGGAGCTGGGGGTGCCGGCGTGAAGCAAGAAAACGAATCGCTCGCCCCAGCGCCAAAAAGAGGGAGGAAGCGCAAGGACAGAGACGACGAGGCACCATATATCGATCGTTCTGAGCGAAATAACAAAGCAAAGGAGCAACGACAATCCAAAGCCCGGGCCGCTAAATCTGTGCCTTCTTCGACCTCTGTATCTTCCCTGTCTACAATTCCTAGCTCCAATCCAACTCCAGGCACTTCAAACTCGACCCCTGCCACACCTTCCCTGAAAATCCGCCTGCCTCGCATGAACGCGCTTGGGTCACCAATGAAAACTGTCCCAACGGTCTCTTTAGCTCGTTCTTCATGATCATTCGCGTATTGGATCGGATGGCTTTATGTCGAATGATCATGAATTCTCAGCTCAATTCTGGTTTTCGGTAAATCAATCATCGGATGCACACCGCAAACGTCATAGTTACCATCAGAGGGAATTTTGAAGAGAGCACACTTTTTATTGTGTGTTGGGGGAACTATAAAATTCCCTCAGAAGGAAATCGCCTGAAATCGCCCGGACCACCATTTACCTTCGGTATTTTCGATGATGAGTCGCCTGTTCAGACGTTACATTAGTAGTGCAAATTTTGTACAATTGACTACGTATACTAGTTAAAATCTCTTTTTCTATTGCAGATCTGCGTTGTTGTTATAACACACTTGTCGTAGTTGTGAATTGAAGGTCTTCAGTGGCAGTGCATAGGCACTTAACATTTCCTTTCATGGCCAACACTACTGTCAGTGGTGCCAAAGCCATTCATGGACAGAATCCCCAGGTGCGCAGTATTTAATCAGTTCAGAGTAGCATTAGTCTCTCATTTTCGCAGTATCTAGTTGAAACTGTCGTCCGTAATCGTATCTACGAATCCAATTATTGGAAAGAACATTGCTTCGCCTTGACTGGTCAGTTTTTTCTGACAGCCGCGGTCTTGTTTTTTTTTGTTCAATCGACTTTCACTCTATCTCAACTATAGCGGAGAGTCTCATTGACAAAGCTTTGGAGCTCAAATGGATTGGAGGCGTATACGGGAACCAGCGTCCGACAGAGTTTATGTGTTTACTGTTGAAACTGCTGCAGATTCAACCAGAGAAGGAAATATTGATAGAGTATCTTCGTGCAGAGGAATTCAAGTGAGTAATTATCAGTTTTTGCTTTCCTATTTTCTTGCCTGATCTGGCTGATCGTATTTTGCAAACAGATATTTGAGGGCATTAGCCGCGATCTATATAAGGATGACATTTCGAGCTGTAGAAGTGTATGAACTGCTGGAACCCCTACTTAAAGATTATCGGAAACTGCGGTTGCGAAATATGGGTGCGCTGATAATATCTATTGTTTGGAAACTCTTCAAACTGATCTTTATTGGTTTTAAGCCGGATACACGCTGACATTCATCGACGAATACGTGGACTCCCTTCTAACCGAAGAACGCGTGTGCGATATAATTATGCCTCGTCTCATCAAACGTCAAGTTCTGGAAGAGAATAATGATATCGGACCTCGTAAGAGTCGTCTCTTGGACGCGTTGGAGGGGAGAAGTGACGATGAAAGTAACAGGAGTAGGAGTCGCAGCAGAAGTAGGAGCAAGAGCTTGGTTAGAAGCCCAACTAGGAATAGGAGCAGGAGTTCTTCCTTAAACGAAGAGTCACGATATATTTCTCGCAGTCGGTCGCGTTCTCGTTCCCGGTCGGGCTCCGTGACATCCTTCCGTTCACGCAGTCGAAGCATTTCACCTGATCGTATGGAAACTGATCTACCAACTTGACTTGACAAATGACTTCCATGGATTAGAGCAGTATATGTATGCACTTGACGCTATCATTTCTTCTTCTTCTCCACGTCAAATTCCTGTTTCCGCCATTTACCCAGTTGTCGGGAAAGTAATTTCCACCGTTCTTCCACAAAGGGCGCGTCGTCGAGCTTTTTGAGCAAGTCTGGTGAGAGAAAACCTCGGTTTTGGTATTTACTGTACCACACTTTGGGAAAAAGAATGTCGTCAAGAACAAAGAGAAAAAACAGGGCTCAATTGCTTACTGATGTCCTGACGCCGTGTAGGAGCAGCGGCAATACGATCTGTGCGGCCCTTAACACAATCCTGCAAAGCAAGAGGATTATAATATTTGCAGACAACTTGACCTCCACCATCCTCAATGGCTCTGATTGCGCTTTTTGATGCTCTAGAAGGTGTGATGTATATTTTGGAGGTTAAAAACTCGGCGCCCTGGAAATGTGAATTGAGATACCAAGGTGTAAAAGAATTGATGTATCGCACATCGCCAAGAATCTTGATTCCGTCATGAGCGTCGTGGACGCAGCCACTCAGCAGCAGTTCGCGAGCTGTGATGGGGTTTTCAGGCGAACAAGATAATCTGCCTAAGTTGATCCAATGTTGAATCCGTTCGAGATTCACAGGAGCCCAAACCCTTTCGTTTCTGGAAAGCAGGAAAGTCAAGTCAGAAATACAGGATTAAAGGAAGAGTCTTGACACGAACTGGTTGACAAAACCACGCTTCGGGAAAAGCTTCGTGATAGGTGTCTGACCTCCTTCAAATCCAGGCTTAATTCCAGCTCCAGAACGCGAATTTTGACCGTTGTGGCCACGGCCAGCAGTTCCTCCGTGATTTGAACCTTGACCCCTACCAACTCGTTTTTGCTGTCAAATCAAATTTTTAGGGTTAGGAGAGAGCGGATATCATATAATGCTGACTTTGTGCAAAGACCCGCGAGCTGGGCTTAAATTGGCCAGCGAAATCCGAGACCTTGAACCTGCAGACATGGCAGAACAACAACTACTGGAGCTAGCGCCCAAGAATTTCTAGCGCCAAAAGCCAACGGCCCGAATCTGCCCCGAATTGACCATCTTGAAGTTCTTCGCGTTTCGTACAGCGATAAAATAGGTCGGCGCAAAGGTGACGGTTCCACCTCACCAGTCAATGCTCTCTCATCCCTTGAAGCCAGGGCTTGCCATACTCTGCGAATACCTACAGTAGAGGATTGAACACATATTTCAGTACACATTTGCGCCGACCCTATTCATTGACCACTTCGGTATCCGAAGCATTTACTGAAATGAACATCTTTCCATTGAATATTATCGATATGAAGCTTCGTGCCAGTAATACTTAGTGTGGTTGAAAAAATGATTAAGGGCCTGATGTTATATAGATGAATCAACTATCTACGGTAAGTAGCTGACAGTGACACTACGTTTTCCTACAAATGGTCTCCTCAGATTCTGACGCATTTTCCGAGTGTTTCTTGCGCCCCTGCCTTTTACGTTCCTCAATCTCCGCAGCACTTAGAGGTTTGTACGCTCTGCGTTTGTGAAATCGAGATTTTTCATGTAATTTCCATTCATTTTCTTCCACCATGTAAGGTTGTGTTGGGTCGGACGTGCAGATAGGACATATGATTTTTCGACGAGCGTTCAATACCGCACTGGGACTGAGGATTACCCATGAAATGAGTGTCTGTTGGTGATATACGTGAGGAACGGAACTTACTTGGTGTCTTTTCGTTCAACGTTAAGCATTTCTTTTGCAACGTCCGAAAGAGTCGATGGATCGGGCAACGGTTGGTGATCTAAAAATGCTAGAATATATCTTGTTAGTAGCATTTAGGCTATTGTAATGTGGTTATATACCGGTAGTGATATCCACAGCTGGCTCTCGAACGTTAATATCCCAGCTTTCGCCTGATTCTGTCAAATACGAGTAAATCGAGTTCAAGAATTTAAAGGTGGAGAGACAGACCTGTGGCATCCAACAAGTATGTGAATGTGTCTGGAAGACCGCTGCTATCTCTGGTTTCGTTCGCACCGTAAAGCATCGGTAGCAATTTATTTCGTAGCCAGGACGTTTGACGCTTTGCATACTGCCGAGTGGAAGTTTTCATATTCTTTACTGCTGCCAAGAATTCTTCTTCGGTGGGATTTGGCGATGAAAGATACTTGTGAAATTCTCTGTAACCTTGGAATTCATTTAGCTTAACATATTCACTTTCACAATGAGGCTGCCTTTATTACCAATTGACTGGAAAATTCCAAACGTATAGTCAGGAGTCGAGTTTATTTCTTCTTCGTTGTCGTGTTTTTTGAGAAGCTCTCCAAGAGCGGCAACCTCGTCTAATAAGCCTTGCTGTGGCCAAGTATTTAGAAAAAAATACGTCGCTCCGGGGAATTCGTATTACCTCGAGCATCTTATCGACTCGTAAATCCAAACGCGGTTTAAGAGTTTCAGGCTTCGAGTAGACCCAAAAACACAATGTTCGAAATCTGCTTGTGTATCATGAGGAGCAGAGGAACGTCGGATGAGACTCATGTACAGACCGTGCCTGAAGTATATCTTGGGATTGCTCATGAATGAGTTCACTCGGCTTCCGACCAGTTTCTTGGATGATACGAATACTACGCAGAACTTTTCGTGTGTCTTTCCAATGCCATCGCACTGCGACTGATTTATCGAGTGCTTTGAGCAAATTGTACAATCGAAAAGCCTCTTCGGGATCTGAGTCAGCAGAAGGTGCAGGATTAGGCAAGCAGTGGAAAAGGTGAAAGAGATCTGGAGGGAGTGTTTCTATCAACGAGGCAAGTTCTTCAGATGTTTCGAACGTTGAAGATGTGAATCCCTCGTCTACCGAGTGGATGTTCTTTGCCAGTCGGTTTGGAAAGAGTAAGTGTTGAATCCAGTAGGACGTCCCTCCTACAATTATTGGAATCTCATTCTTCTCGTGAGCACCATCGATCTATGACAAGGCTGAAGTTCATCAATTCAATGTCAACATAGAGAAAACAAAACTCACCGCATCTATTGCGTCTTTCACCCATTGCCCGACTACATATTGTTCATTAGGAGACTTGAACCCCATCAGGGCATGTTCGACTCCTTGCCTTTCTGGCACTGGAATTTTATTGGTTATAACGTCCATCCCAGCGTAAACCTGCATGGCATCAGCATTTATAACTTTTGCGTTATTCCACGTTTGACGACCGGAATTCGCAAGGTGTAGAGCAATTTCAACGGCCAGATTAGATTTTCCAACACCAGTCGTGCCAAATATAGCGATAATTGGTCGAAGAGCCTTCATCGACATCACTGGCTGTAAAAAGAATGCGTGCCATTTTAGCGCCGGCAGTTAACACAATGTTAGGCGCAGGTTAAGTATTTGAGGACGAGTTCTTCCGAATCCTTAAGTTCTTCATTGAATTCGTCTGCTCGGTCAGTCTCCACACACCATCAGGATCGTCGTTGTTTCTCTCTTCGTATCAGACTTCTCGACGCATGATGCTACCTTCGAGGGCGACCGTGGCTTATACTCTTGGTCAACGTCTACTTAAATATCATGCAGGAAGACTACAGGTCTTTGCTGGTCCAGTCGGAACAACTCCCAATCATCAAGCCATTTCTCGGCCTCGGTTCAGTACCAGTGCAGGTTAGTTAAAATATCTGGTGTTCTCTATCATCAACATTGCTCAACCTGGACGTCACTGTTGCAGCCGCTTTTGCCGGTAATTCTGAGGTCAAAAACGGGCCAAATGCAGCTGTAGAAGACAGGCCACTTTGCAGAGAAGATTTTGTACATCCAGACCATGTGAAGATAGCTTTGGACAAGGGCACTATGTTTGTTTTCGCTGAAGCCAGCGATCTCAAGGAAGTACCGATGGCTGATAACATTAAAGAGTCTGGTGTCATTCCTGCAGGATACTCTATAGGTGCGTGAGTTTTCCCATGTAGACCTTACTGTCCCTAGGATGTCTAAACGCATACCGTAGACTTTGTTGTCAGTCCAGAAAGGATCATTTCAGTCTTGAATCAAGTAGGGATTAAGACGATTCGGTACGTATTTTACGTTGGCATAGGACTCACTGAATGTGAATGTAAGATTGCCAGACAATTGCCAGAAGAAACTTACTACGAGATGCGAGCGACAATCAACGATCCTTCCAACCTGTCAATTATCCCTACACGCATATATGAACTGGTAAGTACATTGATTAGTCTGCACAAAGATTTCATACGATGTCAACCGCTTCAATTAAGAAACGGCAATTGCAAGCACAAACAGATGCTGAGTCAGAGGGTAACTCGTAGGCGTGGTCTCGACAGATTCTTATGCGAATATTCCGTCGAGCAGGATTGTAGCTTTTCGACGTACTGTACATATAAGTTGATGTTGTTCTGATCAAAACTTAACTTGCTTACATACATACCTGGCCTGAAAAGAATGAAATCCTCATGTGTGCCATCCATTGCATTCCGTCGAGCGACATTGCCTGCACTCGGGCCTCGGAAAGTGGTTTTTTGACATGCTCAATGTGTACTGTACTACTACATATGTTGTTTATAAAGATTTCTTTTGAAAGGAGCGAGAACAAGGATGTGCTGTAGTCACGGCTGTCAGCATTTGGGTTTGCATAATCCTCCCGTTAAAAGGCCATTAAGTATCCAGGCATTGTTTTTTCTGCGTTCAATGAATCTATGTATCACGAAGGAAATATTGCAAAGGAAGCAAGCGACGATGAAGACTAACGAGCGCAGCTGCAGGCGAGATCAAGACCACCGATTCATCCTTAGTTTACTTAACTACTATACGATACTTAGTGTTGCTTGTACTTAAATCAACACACACCATACGGCCTGAGATTTCAAGTGATGTCCATGCGTATGAGATTTTCTTCGCCTGCCAGAACTGTCTGGGATCCACTATCGAGAGCATCCATCGCATTCAATAAAGCGTCGATATCGGGTGCGACTAGATAATGCCTGAATAACTCCCCAAGAATTGCGAGTTTGTTCTCTTTCATGTCAAGATGCACCGCATGCTCAAGGAAAGAAGGTTGCGAAGCAGGGCTAACCTGAGCATCTATTGAGCGGCGGCATTATAGACATGGAATGAGAAGCGTACATCAAGAACAATTCCATTTGCTAATCGAATTTTGCGGGCACCACTGCGATAGACTTCGAGATGCCCTATCAATCCGTCGAGTTCTTTCACTTCAGAAGTCGAAGACAGGTCTTCTGTTTCAAGTTTCACGTCTGGCGCGAAAGTCACCTTCTTGGATCCTGGGGTCACTGGCGCGTCTGTTTGCATGGTATCGCTCAGCTGTGCGCTGAACGTCGGGAATGGGCTTGGAAATTGAAAGAGACATAGATATTGTGAATCGTTGTCCGCATCCTGCTTCCAGAGTTAGATAGAGCATTTTCTAATGGTAAAAGTTCGCCCAAGCGCACATAGTTCATTTTGTTGAAGTCATCAAACATGGTTTCTAAGTCCTTTTCATCTGCTTCATCTTCATCACCGTCCAGAGCATTTGCAATATTGACTTCTTGAACTGCATATGTTAGAACTCGTGATAGACTGACAGAGCACGACGCACCTGTTGCATCAGGATCTTCTTTCTTCGGTCTCTTGGTTTTTTCCTTTATTATGCTATCTGGAGCCATCCAATCCATTTGACCGACATTCTCCATATCGATGATCTCCACACCCTCATCCGCATCAGAATATATCTCTTCGTCCTGTTCGTCCTTCTCTAGCTTGTGTTCTTCTCGCTTGATTTTAGGTGCTGCGGTTTGGGATAGACCAGCTCCGAGAGAGGAAGCCTTGGTTTTTGATGGTGCCGGAATTGGAGTAGCTGCTTGAGCGAAACGCCGGGAGCTGGAAGTACCCGCCATCGCTGGACCGAGAGCGAATGGACCACTCGCCACCATCTCAACAGGAGGCCGTGGGCCACCACGGCCACGACCACTTCCTTCTCCCCTACCCCTCCCACGACCACGACCTCGATCATTTGAAGACGCAGGTATAGTATCAGGTACTGGTTCCTACAATACCAGTCAGATTAGCCGTCCTCGCGATAATATGAAGCATGACTGTACGATTTTCACCGCACTGTAATAGAAAAAGTCAGCGTGCCATATGCAGAACTTCAAGAGAAGAGGCTTACTCCTTGCTCCTTCTAGCCGGAAGAGTCGGGACAAATTTGAGTTTCTGAGTGCCCTGCCTAGTGACCTCTGATGGTCTTTTTGCTAAAGATGAGATAGCTTTGGGTTTGGATCCACTACCTAGTAGAGAGTAAGGATTCTTTCTGAGGTTTGAGAAGAATAATCATGGACCTGAAGTAGTTTCCGACATTCTACATCGACGCGTTCCACGAAAGTTATGTACTTTCTGGAATTTTCGGGCCGAAGACAATTTCTGCTTACAATTACTAACTTACCGTTGCTGAATGAAACGTACTCTTTGCAACTCTAACTCGTTCATTCATCTTTAGTTTCTTGGAAAAGTCAGACCAGGAAGACTCTGCAGCAATGGGCCGGATACTGTGCCCAGGGGCTAGTCCCACTGAATTCTCCGACATCTGCATTCGCGAAACCTGGAGTACATTCACTCTTACCTTTTTCGTCTTTTGGTTATATTTCTTCGCTGCCCCACACATTTTTCTGCCTCAATGGGTTACTCGAGCTGCAAGATTAATCAAAAAGCCGTTCAGAACGTTCATTACCATCCATGAAGCGGAAGCACTAAGCGGCGATGATGGGGCAGAGCTCCACGTCGAGGAACACGTCCCTCTCTGGCGCACCCTAGTGTTTGCATTCATAGGCCTTCTGGAGATGATTGTTTGGCTTGCTACAGGAGCCTACAACTCCATTCTGTCCCGTCCAGCCCTTAATCCCTTCCTCAATGTCTTCGTGTGGAGTTACACAGTCGCGCGACCAATTGCATATCCCAGTGCAACCGTCCCATACGATCTCTTTTGCATTTACAGCTTGCAACTTTTTTCGGAAGCATTTCAGCTTGGTGGTATGCTTTTTACCCGAGATGCTTTTGGAATACCGCTTCCTTCCACGGATATTGTCGCTCTTCACGCTGTGAACCTCAGTCTGGTTGTCATATTACTTGCCGTGGTTCTATATATGCCTATGGCTATCCCTAGTGGGAAAGTGAATATAAAGGATATCGTAAGTCTTGGTGTTTGCGTACTGATCTTTGAGTTTAACAAATATTTAGGGTCAAACTGTTACTCCCGAAGACTACACACCGCTTGGTTCATGGATAACGTTTGCATGGGTATATCCTCTCATAAGAAAGGGTACAGTTACGACTCTCAATGAAGACGATGTTTGGGCCCTCAGCCCCACTATCCAGTCGCGTCCAATCTTTGCCAAGTTCATGAGTATACAAACGGTTAGTTTGGCGAAGAGACTGTTCTGGGCAAACTCACTTGACTTGATGTATGTTTTCTTTTCGTTATGAATACATAGACTCATCATAATCTGGTATATAGCTTGGAGTTCCTGATCTCAACTTTGAGCGTATTTTTTGAGTTTCTGAACCCCTTCTTCCTGAAGTAAGTATTCGCACGTTTCATACACAAAACGAATTTCATTCTCTCTCAGCCACATTCTCTCATCAATAGAGACAAAAGACCGCCCTCAAGCCTATGTCTACGCCATTCTCATGTTTCTTGGATCAGTCTTAAAGTCACAGAGCGACCTTCACCATCTGTGGTTCAGTCGTCGGGCCGCTACGCGTACCAGGAGCGAGCTTATGGCAATGATATATGACAAAGCATTAAAGAGAAAGGATCTGAGCGGTATAGTGAGGAAGGAAGAAGAAAAGAAGGACGACAAGAAAGAGAAGGGAGACAAGTCAAAGAAAGACAGCAAGGATACCAAGGAGAAGGAGCAAGTTGGCGCCGATGTAGGCAAAATTGTCAACCTCATGGCTGGAGATGCGAATCGGGTTTCGATGACGATTACAGCCATCTACATGATGTATAATGGTGTGTAATCTATTTCAAAAACCTGCTTTGTGGCTCATGTAATTTTCAGCTCCTGTCGAAATAGTCATCGGCTTGTTGTACCTTTATAATCTTTTAGGACCTTCCGCACTAGTTGGATTATTTGTGCTTATCGCAGGCTGGCCATTGAACACGTATCTCACAAAACGTAGCATGGAAATCTACAGAGGCACCGCTAAAGTGAGAGACAAGCGGATGGGCGTGGTCAGCGAGTTGATTGGAGCGGTAAGATCGCGCGCTGCGATCTATCGTTTTTGAGCTAACATTCTTGTGACCGTTGTATAGATAAAATTCATCAAATTCTTTGCATGGGAATATAAGTGGATAAACCGTGCGATGGAGGAGCGAGAAAAGGAAATGTCCTGGATGCTCAAATGTAGGTTCATTCATCTTGTGAGGATGTATCTTGACTCTCAATGTTTTGCAGCTCGAATCAATTCCATCATGTTCTATATTCTTTGGTCAAGTACGCCTATTCTGGTGTCCATTATCTCGTTCATGACCTATATTCTACTCGGAAACGAACTCACTGTCAGCGTAGCATTTACTGTGCGTTTCCGCTTTGTGTTGTCAAAGGCTATTTCCAGACCTGACTTCTCTATTTAGGCAATCGCTCTATTTGGTATGATTAGGTTCGAACAAAATTTATTTTTGTCCTCGTATTTTCTCAACCTTTCGACAGAACTCCTCTCAATGTGCTCCCCAATTTTGTCATCCAAGTCGCACAAACAAAAGTCGCTCTCGATCGAATTGCGGGCTTCCTTAATGAAGAGGAAGTCACAGAGCAAGTTTCTTCGTTAAAGAAAGACAAATCTACCCCTCAACAACCCCGGGAGTCGCTTAACGAGAGCGCCCTCGGGTTGGAAAACGCCACTTTCAAATGGAACGAAGTAGAGACAGCGAAACCGGCCAAAGGGAAACAGGATGACACGGTCGATAGAGTAGAAAGCGTGACACTACACCCTGAAGGGTCAGAGATTGATGGTCAGACCGAAGAGGACCATCAATTCAGACTGGAGCAAATATCTGTTATATTCCCTGAGGACAAGCTGACAGTTGTCACTGGTCCTACGGCCAGTGGAAAAACCGCACTTCTGGTGAGTGCACGAATTACTTGGACTACATTCGAAGGTGACATTTGTTTCACAGATGGCAGTATTGGGCGAAATGACGCTTCTCGATGGACGTATCTTGATGTGTAAAGACACTTCCACTATCGACGCAAACGGAAACATGCTGGCGATTTCCTACGCTGCTCAGTCCCCGTGGTTGAGACACCAGTCGATTCGGGATAACATCCTCTTTGGTTATCCATACGATGAGCAAAGGTATCAGGCTGTACTCGAGGCTTGTGCACTCAAACCCGATTTGGAAATTCTGGAGGATGGAGACAGCACTGAGATTGGAGCTCGTGGCGTTAGCCTGAGTGGTGGCCAAAAGGCGAGGTATGTGCCCACGTACAAACTCTTCAGCCGCAGCTGAAGGATACGATAGAGTTGCTCTTGCCCGAGCTGTTTATGCCAGAACGAAGTACGTGCTACTGGATGATCCTTTAAGCGCTGTGGTAAGTGATAATTATATAATGATCAGGCTTCTCGGAAACGATGTGACGGATATGGTTTATCATTGGTCACATGATATTCTATCTTGTACCATGGGCTCCTGGTGTACCGTCTTCCTCATTTTGCCCATTCTCAATATGCTTTACAGGACAGTCATACGTCTCGTTTTCTATACGAGAAGCTGCTTCGTGGATCTCTCTTGGCCTCTCGAACAGTTGTTTTAGTTACACACCATGTGGACCTCGTGCTACCTGGAGCCCATTATCTTATACGTATGTTGGATGGGCGTATCGACACCCAGGGAACAGTTGCAGATCTTCGCGCGTCAGGTCTTCTCGAGGATATCACCCACGAAGCTGAAGCTGAAGCTCAAAAAGACACACAAGTTGCGGTCGGTGAAGTTGCGGATGCAGAGGTTGAAGCTGTGGAAGGTGAAAACGGCAACCAAGTCACTACTGAAAAATTGAGCAAACCGCGTAAGCTGGTTGAAGACGAAAAACGGGAGCAAGGCGGAGTGAAATGGAAAATTTATAAGAAGTACTTGCAAGCATCGTACGTCGTCTCGTTTGTTTGTTGTATGTCTTTGACAGTTCTATTGTTAGATCTTATTGGGTCTGGGGTATACTCCTTGTTTTCGTCATATTAAACCAGTTCTTGGCAGTTGGGGAGAAGTATTGGATCAAGGTTCGTGTGTTTCATGACGGCCTAAAGCGATCATAATCTTTGACTTTTTTCTTTAATTATTTTAGGTCTGGGGTGAAGCCTACAATTCTTCAGAACCTTCTACTGCAATGATACAATTTGCACCTATGCACCTATCTGCAGCCTCTGAACATGGCCTATCTCTAGATGGATTCGCGCATCAAGCTTCACCCTCATCCCCAGCCATGTTTTCTACACGGATAGCTTTTAACTTACCAAGCGTCTATGACAATCCGATGTTCTATGTTGGCGTCTATGCTGCTATAGGCGTTCTAAACGCGCTTTTGAGTGTTATTGCTACTGCGATACAATACACCGGCGCCTTGCGCGCCTCCCGGATTCTTTTCAGGTGTCGTGTGTCTTATCCCGGTCGATGAAATGAAACTAACGATTTTACTGCAGGCAATTACTGGTAACCGTTGTCAGAGCCACCTTCAGATTCCATGATACCACACCGGTTAGTCATCATCTTGTGTATATCGGCTAATACTCACTTCTGGGCTAATTTACAGCAAGGTAGAATGCTCAATCGTTTTGGAAAGGTCAATGCTTCTCGTGCTGATCTCGAGTGGGAACTCAATCTGTTAATAGGATATTGAGACCATCGATTCTTCGTTGGCTGGGTCCCTTCAGAATGTCAACTCTTCTTTGGCTAACTTTTTCGCATCTGTTATAACTATCGCGTAAGTGGGCTTGTTTCTTCAGTGGAACAAAGACCCATAGTATGGCAGTGTCATCTTCCCGTTCTTCCTTTTACCAGCCACCATACTGGGCTTCATCTACCGTGAGCTTTCCATCGGTTATCTGAACACTGGTCGAGATCTTCGTCGGATGGAGTCCAACTCCCGGTCCCCTATCTTCTCAGACTTTTCGGAACTTTTGGAAGGAATCGTTACTGTCCGAGCTTTTTCTGCCGAGAAACGCTTCTTGGATAATATACACACTAAAATTGATTTCACCACAAGAATGTGGTATGGATTTTGGATGACCAATCGTTGGCTCTTACTATCTTTCGATTTGCTTGGTACGTTTTGATCTCTTGCCATTTTGAAAAATAGGCCTCATTCTATGCTTCAGGAGGTTTCGTACGTGTTCATCCTGATTTAACACAATATCAGTTCATCTTGTTATAGGCCGTCTTGATAACTGCCCTATTCTCCATTTCTCGGCCGGACGCTAGTTCAGGTCTAGCTGGTATTTGTATCACCAGTGCTCTCAGTTTCACCATGTCTGTCTATTGGTAAGTCCCGAACAAGCTATATTCATTGCCCATGATTCAAGTTCTATGTTTAGGTCATGTCGTTTTTGGACGACCTTAGAGTTGGACCTCAAGTGAGTCATCTCTCACATATACTAGACCTCGGTTTCAATGGTTTCCAAGTTCGGTAGAGCGGATAGTAGAATATCTTGACTTACCTCAAGAACCACCTGTCATTATTGACTCCAACCGACCCCCAGCTTATTGGCCGTCTAGTTCCAAAGACCAAATACTCGTGTCAGTGGAGAACTTGTCTGTGAAGTATGCTCCAGACCTTCCTGCTGTCATTCAAGATGTTTCCTTCTCTCTGAAAGCTGGAGAGCGTATTGGTCTTCTTGGTCGTACCGGTTTGTAACATTCATCTGCAAGAAATTTTTGTTATGTGCATTCTCTGATACAGTATCTAGGCAGTGGCAAGTCAACTCTAGCTATGAGTATACTTCGATTTGTATGTCTCGTTGATCGGTGTTTGATGGATACACCTGACCTGCCTTGCCATTTACATAGGTTGATCCCTCCAGTGGCAAAATCATCATTGACGGAGTTGATATATCAAGTATTGGTATTCATGACCTCCGATCTCGTTTGGTAGGTTGTGAGCTTGAAACACCTTTGCTCATGAACTGACCATTTTCCCAGACGTTTATACCCCAGGATGCGGCTCTTTTCTCTGGGACTCTTCGAGATAACTTGGATCCTTTTGGTAACTTATTCTTCACAAGACTGCAAGTTGCGCGAATTAACAAATTGTCGTAGGTGAACATACGGACGTGGAATGCTTAGATGTTTTGCAACGAGTGCAAATGACCATGCAAAGTCAATTCCCCTCTCGTCGCACATCCCGTGCTCCGTCCACTGCCGCAACTCCGACATCCTCCCGTCCGCCTTCTATAATCGGCGTCGACAGAGAAGATACAGTCAGCTCGGTAGGATCTACTGTCACGAATATGGATGGCAAGACTACGGTGTCCCTTGACACTCAGGTATCTCCCGGTGGGACCAATTTTTCTCAAGGGCAGCGACAACTCATCTCTATGGCCCGAGCACTTTTACGAAGAAGCTCTATCGTTGTCCTTGACGAGGCTACCAGCAGTATTGACTTTGCGACTGATGCTAAGATTCAGGCAACGATTCGTGAAGAATTCACCGGGTCGTTGTTACTAACAGGTATGCCAAAGTACCCTATAATGGATTAACCTTTGCTGATGTCGTTCCCTCGCTGTCCTAGTCGCTCATCGCTTACGAACGATCATCGATTATGATCGTCTACTCGTCCTCGACAAGGGAAAGGTTGTCGAACTCGACACCCCATGGAACTTGATTCAAAAGGAGGGTGGCATTTTCAGGACGATGTGTCTCAAGAGTGGAACATTCGCTCAGTTGGAAGCAGCAGCCAAAGCCAAAGCTGAGGAAACGTCTGCGTCAAGTTGAATGATATTTCAGGTATTTCTGGAGATGTACACAGACCAGCTCTAAACATGTGGATCTTCACTTCATTTTGTGCACAACATAAATCATTGATCTTGTATAACTTACCATTTCATTAATTCGTTTCAGGTAATTAATGATACAATCTTCTTCAGTCGATACGGATTCCCTTTATACACCATTGAGTGCCATTGCATATCCAGCTGCCAGGTGATGAAGCCGTGCGTCTAGAATAAATCCCTGTGTGTTGTCAAAATGAATTTACCATGGCGAGGAACATGTACTACCCTACTGTCATAAGCTATAGAGCATTCGGTGAATATTATCAGCACCGACTACATAGATTCTTGGATCGCGCACCTTTGAGTTCATTCAACAATTCCTTCAGCTCTACAACCCTCCGTACAATAAATTCTCCAGATTCGAGCTTCTGATCTGGGGTCTCAAGTTTGTCTTCCAAGGTGACATTGAGGACGACGAGTTTCATATTAGCATTGGTCATGCCTGTGGGGTATAATTTATGAAATATACCACAATAGGTTATGAGGGATTGAACTGACCAGGATCTGATACAAGGATGGGTGAGGACTCAATCACTGAATCAGCTTTGTATCCCTACAGGCAACAGGTTGGCATGCGAGAACAGCTTCGTTCAGAATCTCACAGTTTCTTCCTCCAGTTCGCGGATAGCGGCCTGTTCAGGGGTCTCTCCTTCATCGATGAGACCTGCGGGGAGTTCTGTGTACGGCAATACTTCACATTTATCGCACAACACGGTCATTGGGACTCTAGCATACCAACGATAAACTTGCCGATCGGAGGACGGTATTGTTCGACTACAACAATCGAGGGAGGGAAAGAATTGGCCTTGGACTTTAAGATGGCGAGAATAGCGACGGCTACCAAAGATAAGATAATATCGAATGAAAACGCGTCAATCGCGTACCATCGATGCCGGAAGACTTGCGCGTCTTGCGTTGGGCAACTTCCCAAAGACGCTAAAGGTGTTCAGATGAGAATCAAAACTGCATGATAGCAAATAATATACTTCGTGGCCCTCTGCATCGGTGTATTTGATTTTCTTTAAAGTGATCCATCTGCAGATAGGTATCGAGACTTCAGTTCTTCCTTGCTGAACCAAACAGATCGGACAATGACACTTGCTTGGCTTCATTGGTTGGAAGGTCTGTTACAGAAACCACTCTGGGTTCCTGTGACATTCTGATTGCTTGTTTCGAGATATTCCTATGAAATTGGAAACGAGGACGGAAGCGAGAGAGCATAAAGTACAACACGTGTGCCTCAGTTCTCTTTCACGCGTTCCGCTATTACTATTAGTATCATGTCCTCGGCCCTCCAAGCAGGTCAGTTCCGCCGTCCTTTCTCCCGTTTTTCTCAGCGGAATTTTCTCACCGCTTTAGGCCCTTTGACATTGTCGAAAAAACGGCCTGCGGCAGACGACGATGCTTCGTCTATGGAAGGCTCCAGAGGGCCCAAGGTAGCAAAAGGTACGTGTTTTGAACAAATAGTATTCACACCTGGCTCATGGTAACGCGCAGTTCACCCTTTTTTCAGCAACTCCCCCAAAGAGCCTAAAACCACTGGCACATTCCAATGGCAGAAACCCCTGGGCGCGCGCGGCAGCTGTCTCCATGGCACGAATCTCACCCCTGTGTGTTCATCGAAGGTCGCCGCCTTCGATCTAGACGGCACGCTGATTAAGCCCAGCTTTGGAAAGGGTGCAGTTAAGAAAGCATCGAAGGGAGCGCCTCCAGCATGGGAATGGTGGAGAGATACGGTCCCACATGCACTCGAAGAGTTACGTTTAGAAGGGTCGGTTCTCGTTTTACTAAAGTCAGGGATCCAACTCATGGTGGGACCATAGATATTCTATCGTTATTATATCCAATCAAGCTATCAAAGGAACATCGCTAACCACTTGGAAGGAGAAAGTCGGGCTCATAGCAGCAACGGTATGTCTTCGGATTTAAGCAGAGCAGTTACATTGACTAAAAACTCATGTTCAGATTCCATCCGTTCCCTTTCAGATATTTGCAGCCGTAGCTAAGGATGAATATCGCAAGGTGGATCACCTCGTTTTGAATAGACGGTTGGTACTGAGACCAAATAATCAAGCCCATGCCTGGAATGTGGAATGAGTTGACAAGAATATTCAAAGAGGATGGTATAGAAATAGGTCAGCTGTTCCCATGTCTTCTAGACTGTTGTTTTTGTTAAGGAAGGTTGTGTAGACAGGACTGTCTCCTTCTTTGTCGGCGACGCTGCTGGTCGAGATGGAGATTTTGCATCCACCGACCGGAAATGGGCTCTAAATGTGGATATACCATTCTTCACTCCCGAGGTGATTATCAACTTTCGAACACGGATCAGCGACCAATTTGTTCATATATTGAATCAGGAGTACTTTCTGAAGCAGCCTGTCCAAACAAAGTTCAAACTCGACGGTTTCAATGTCGCAGATCTTTCTCAGTGTTTGTCCGGCTGCGTTTTCATTATATGTACCGAGTTTCTGAACCCCTTAATACAGTACCACTATTCTCTCCAGCCCATACGCCTGTAATACCGGAACCCAGAAAACAAGAAATCGTTCTTTTTGTTGGATATCCCGGCGTTGGAAAATCGACCATATGCGAGCGCTATTTTGTCTCAAAAGGATATGAACATATCAATCAAGTACATAATACCAGATCTTTGACCACTTGCACTCATTGACGGAAGTTGAGCTCTAGGATACCTTGGGAACCAGACCGAAGTGTGTAGCAGCTGTGGAAAAATCAATGCAAGAAGGCACTAGTTGTGTAGTCGGTAAGGACTCCTTTGTTGTGCCTTTGAATCCCATTTTAAATCTTTGCTAGATAATACTAATCGGGATGTACGGACAAGAAAATACTACGTTGATATCGCTCGAAAATTCGAAGTTCCTATAAGGTTGGTGTTATTGTTGAGCTGAACAATGCAATTATCTCTGATCAATTTATCTTTCTGTGATAGGTGTTTCGTTTTCACTGGATCGATGGAACTCGCATGGCACAACAATCTTTATCGCGCGTACAACCTTCCCCTTTCGTCAGCGTCTCGTCAGGTGTGTTGCGTTCTGTCAGATCAAATATTCATATGTTCAAGAGTGTTATAGGAAAAACGCGATCTTGTACCATACCTCGCGTTCACCTCGTTCAGAAATAGTTATGAAGAACCCAGCCTGTCAGAAGGATATTCAGAAATCAAGCAGGTTAACTGGATCTTCGAAGGGACCGAGGAAGAGAAGAAGAATTGGAGCATGTGGTTGCAGATTGAAGGAAAATGAAAATGAGTATCGAAGGTTGGTATCTATGACTGGTAACCTCCGAGTTTACTGTAGAGGATCGCAATACTGTAAAGACAATGTATTCTATCCGCGTTTATTTCTAATGACTCTCATTACTCCTTAGCAGCATCCATGTAGTGGATTTCGGAGCACTCGCGAAGCCTTTGCGCAGCCTGTTCAGGAGTAATGTCGCGCTGTGACTCGGCCATTAACTCGATTCTAAGGAATGCTGAGTTCAAGGTGTTCAGTCAGGCAAATTTATTACTCACCCAGCCATGAACTTCTTCACAGTCGCGCTTCGGAGTAGAGGAGGAGAGAAATGCAAATGCAAATGAGCAACATCATCCTCGTCTGTTTCCTCCGGCGAGGACAAAGGAATTGGTCGTTGGTGGATACCCATAGAGTATGCAAAGGAGCAAGAGAAGAGATTGTCGTAGCGTTTCGTAATATTGGAGAGAATATCGGCAAAAGATGTTTTCTCTTCAGGCGTAAGATGTAATATCGAGGGAATGTGTCGGCGGTACGGAAGTACTGATTGGGTAGGTCAGTGAGTGAATAGATCATCATCAAAAAGCACATTATCATACACAAAATCTCGAAAGGCCAATATGCCCACCAGGGCACGACAGCGACCCAGTGATCATTTTTGACAACCACTCGGTCGGCACCACTAATGTTGACTTCGGTGTGAGCGTATTCACATAATAAGCAAGGTTTTCCTGCGCAACCGGTGTAAACCTTGTATCGAATTCATGTACCAAATAATTACCATGTGGTCCTCGGGGGGCATCCGAGGGAGGGTGAACAGAATTGGAATAATCGATGAGATTAGCCATTTCGTGCGCAGGGAGCGTCGGGACATTTGTAAAAGACCAAATTTGGCCGTGAGGATGAGGATTCGAACACCCCATCATGGCGCCCTTGTTCTGGCAAGAGCTTTTGGTCGGCGGTCGAAAATGGCATAGACAAACATACCTCGAAAATTTGTACATGCTTGATGCCTTCTTCTGAGCCTCGTCTTACGTAGATCTTTATCCACTCTTCGATAATCCGTTCGATGTCCTCGATAAGTAATCGCGGGATAGTCAGATCGTGTCTTGGATGAAAGATCAGAACGTCGCAGTCTCCTCCAATTGGCTCTGTCGTGAGGAGATGATGAGGATTGACGGGGGCTTCAGGCATCGGAGGAGGCAGGACAGCAGCATAGTCATTCTCAAAAATGTATGTGTGTTCATAAACTTCCGTCTTTTTTCCCCCAGCCCTAGTGTTTCCAGGACAAAGATAGCAAGCTGGATCGTACTGCGGGAGTTTGCCGTTCTGTGGGGGCTCAACTTGTCCAAGCCACGGACGTTTGTTTCGATGGGGAGAGACGATAACGTGCTCATTGGTCAAGGGATTGTCTGCGAAAAAGTCAAATGAGCATTTCTAGTTGTGTGTGTGTGTTCAAAAAAACGCAAGGCACGCACAACGCCGGTGGGGATGCGTGGACGGGTCGAAAATCTCAGCCATCGCTGATGCAGCACAAGAGCCCGGTTGAGAGACCCATGGTTGTGTATAATATGCGGTCTCAAAGAATCAAGTGAAATTAACCGGGCCGTGTTCCCGCTTTCCATCTGCTCTTTGCACACGTTCCCTCATTATGGATTCTGATAATTCAGTCAATCGACGCCGCATTCAACGTTCTCACTCTCCGCCAACCTACAAACTTGAGGATGACGACGATACCTATGTTCCTTATGTCCCAGTTGCTCAACGTCGCCAGGAAAAGCTTGCCAAACTTTCTTCATGGGGTAGAGCAAAGAATGGTGCTCAAGATACGCAGCGGGCGCAGGAGGAGTTAGAGGACGAGGCAAAGGAGGAAGAAAAACGGCGAGAGAAGGCGCGGAAAGAGAGAACATTGTTGATGGAAGCGCAAGACGTTCACTCACGGAAAGCTGCAGAAGGTGTGTACGTTCCGTGGTTTCGCTACTAGTGTTTGTAACCGACGATGCAGATGCGAAGAAGACCGAAGAACAAAAGGCCACCGAAGAAGAAGAAGAAATTCTTGAGGCCATCAGAAGCCGTAAGAAACTCTTATCTGACCTCGAATTGGCAAAGGGTATTCAATACACTGAATCTCTCAAGACAAGGTTTGTCCTTGAAACATTGTGTAAAACCATCTGACTCTCCCTCAGCTGGCGGCCTCCGAAATACATCAGAGATAGGACTGAGCAGGAACACCAGCGGATCCGAGAAAAGTATGCTATCATCGTCGAAGGCGAGGACATACCTCCTCCGATTGAACACTTCGCTGTGCGTAAATGTTGTCCTTTATAATCCTAATTTGGCTGATGCATGTATCAGGATATGAAGATTCCTCAATCAATTCTGGATTATCTGAAATCGCAGCGTATAACAGCTCCAACCCCGATTCAATTACAAGGCATTCCTACTGCGTAAGTCGGCGTCGCACGTCCAGTTTGTTCGGAACTCTTATACGGCGATCAGATTCTCAGGAAGGGACCTCATTGGAATCGCTTTCACCGGTTCTGGCAAGACTCTCGCCTTTTGTCTTCCTCTAATTATGCTTGCGTTAGAAGAGGAGACAAAAGTTCCGCTCGTGCGCGGTGAAGGGCCAGTTGGCGTTATCCTGTGTCCGTCTCGAGAGCTTGCAAATCAAACATACGAGAACGTCTTGACTTGGACTTCTGCATTAGCGAAAGAAGGGCGGTATCCAACACTGAACACGCTACTTTGCATGGGTGGTATATCAATGAGCGAACAAAGCCACACAATGAGTAAAGGTTTGCATATAGTAGTGGCTACACCCGGTCGGCTCATAGATATGCTTGAAAAGAAGAAATTCACGTTCAACAACTGCAAATATCTCTGTATGGATGAAGCGGATCGGATGATTGACCTTGGTTTCGAGGATGATGTCAGGAATATCATGAGTTTCTTTAAGGTATGTATACATGACTGCCGTGCATGCTAACCTATTGACTGGGTCTGTTGTTCAGCGGCAACGTCAGACTCTCCTCTTTTCCGCAACCATGCCTCGTAAAATCCAAGATTTTGCCCAGCAGTCACTGATTCGACCCATTCTGGTGAATGTTGGCCGTGCTGGCGCCGCCAATTTAGATGTGTTGCAGGTGGTTGAATATGTCAAGCAGGAAGCTAAAATGGTATATCTGCTGGAGTGTCTGCAGAAAACTCCACCGCCTGTCATCATCTTCAGTGAAAATAAGAACGAGGTCGATGGTGAGCTCTCTCAAAGATTCCCTGTTGTTTGAAATATTCACTGGTCAATTCGAGATATCCAAGAGTACCTACTATTAAAGGGCGTTGAAGCAGTCGCTATCCATGGATCCAAAAGTAAGTAGAAGCCTAACGACAAGTGAAATCACATTCCGACAGTGCTTTGTAGCCCAGGAAGAACGTCAATATGCCATCAAATCTTTCAAGAGTGGTGCGAAGGATGTTATGGTCGCATCTGGCGTGGCTTCAAAAGGTCTCGACTTCAACGAGATTCAACATGTCATCATTTTCTCCATGCCCAAGGAGATTGAAGATTATGTACATCAGATCGGACGTACGGGACGTAGTGGAAAAACTGGCATTGCAACTACTTTTGTGAACATGAACACACCGGAGCAAACACTTTTGGATTTAAAATATCTCCTGATGGAGGCTGGGCAAAAGTGGATTGCTTGCTACTTCACCTGAGTTACGATTGCTGATGCTCATTGATAGGGTTCCACCGTTCCTTGCCACGATAGAGGATCCCCGGGCGGTCCAGGGTGGATCACTTAAGGGATGTCCCGTATGTGGAGGGCTTGGCCATGGGATTAGTAATTGTCCAAAGTTGGAGGAGACACAGAGGAGGCAGATGGCATCTCATCGTCCGCAGGACGATGGCGGTTATTGATCTGTATCATATATACCACTATTATAAAGGGGGAAGAAAAATTCGTTTTCCTCACATACAATAGTCGCTAAGCACGTGATGGTTGCTCATCAATGTCGGTGACTCACCTGTCTCTGACTGCCTATCATCAAGATTCAAATGAACCTGAAAACCAACTCCGCGTCGACGTCCAACGACCTTGCTTCCACCTCAAGAAATTTTGCGTCCTACATACTATCAGACGATGATTGCTTACCACCTCCGAACTCTCGAGACGCGACTTCGCACCTTGAACGAAACAGAGAGATCCAGGAAGATGTTTATTACGGAAAGCTTGCGTTCAATCACAATATCAGTGCGCACTATCACAAGTACGCCTATACCAGACCATTGGAGATCACCCTCACTATAACTCTAGTTTAGGTTGTGCTCAGAAGCTTGTAGTCATCGACTGCGAATGAAACACGGTATTGCAGACATGGCATTACTCCAAGAGGTCCTGTGAGTATCTATCTCAGCATTCAAAAGTAGCGAGATTGTTGAACTATCAAAAGTCAGTTCGTTGATGGTCGTATAAACGAGATGCACGCTATATTCTTGCCTCCGGTTCCTTTGACACCACGAAAGATGCCAACGCGATTATCTAGGGAAGAGATTCCTCGAGATCCTAATGATGCGAACACCCGTTCGTCATTACGCAGCAAGACGAATATCAGAGGAGGTGCGTTTTGGGTTTGGAAACTTCAGGTCACCGGTCACCTGTCACGTATAGTTGCAGATACAGAGTCCAGGACCGTAGGGAACCCTACTTCAAACACGCCTAAACGCAGCTTATATCGAACAGACGCGTCTCCGGTTCGTTCGACACCTGCTACGCCTTTTGACCTGCTGCTGGAGCATAAAGATATGGCAGTCCCAGATTCCCCACAAACGCCTACGAGAAAACCTGGTCTTACAAGAATTCGGTCAGAAGGCACTCAAAAGGTGGTCGCAAATACATCAAATATTCTCAAATCTGGAAAAATCATATCTACCACTGTTATCATCATATCTGACGATGAAGACGAGAGTGTTCCTGCTATGGATCCCGTGAATGAAATGCCCAATCTGTTCAAAGAGTTGAACCGTTTCCGACGAAAGGTGTGTACGCGTTGGTAATTGACATTAGTCCAAGCATTCGATGACCTAGTACGTAGCTTTCTACATCGCTTGGTCGACTTCCTGAAGAAATAATTCCCCTTCAAACACTCAAGCAACTTAGCATACAACCGCCATCTGGTATGCCATCTAGTATCTGAAAAATGCCGACCTCACGCCCTTTTCTGTTCTAGACTACAAGATGTACCAGAGGATTCTTGCTGATACTTCTGGCATACCACACAATAATATTGAGGAACGTGAAGCATACGTGGCGGAGAAATGGAAGGAATCCGGGAGCAAGTTTTTTGCGCTTTGCACGCAATTTCGGAGGAGACAAGAAGATTAAATTCCATAAATAATTGTAGAGCACATTGATTTCTGGTACAGCTGTAACTTTGAAAGACATTTGCAACACACCGACCCACGCGATTGACATACTTCAGAGCTCTTCAGACAAGTTTATTTAATCAATTCAAGCAAAATATCAATTTCGATGGGGTACCATCTGCTATTATACGCGTTTTTATTGTGGATTATGTATACCGTGTAAAGGAATATTACTTATAACTGAGGCCAGCGAGTCCAGCTCGCTATTTGTTGGCAATGGCATGATTTCGAGCAAACTGCAGATCTTCGAATACGACGTTGATATTGGCACTAATGTCCACTAATTTGTCACCAGAGTTGTTGGTCTTTACACTCCGGTTAAGCCAAATCCATTTGTAACCATGATGATAGGATAAGGCAGGTCCCCAACGCCGCGTCACCGCCTCGGTGGAGTTTGACCATCCCTCCCAATTCATATATACATCGGTTCCATGAAGGCAGTTGCTAATTTCCTCCGTCAGTGAGGGAAACAATGACCGTTATGGATTGGTTGAACTTACAAATGAAGGACTTTTGGGCGGATCAGAGCACCCTGTGCGTCCTTTGTCAGCTCATGGCAGCACCCTTTAGATGGATGAAGTCTTACCTCCTGAGGAGTTCCCTTGACATGACTTTGCCTGGGTAATTCATGGACTTCAGATATACCATCTTCACCTAATGTGATACTATATGTGTCCATTAAACAGCTGGTAACTTCGAAGTCAAAGCTCAATGGTTCGAAAATATCCTTCCTGCTATCAACAATGGCCCACCAATAACCTTGATCACCCAGCTTGACGTTCTTGTACCCATCCGGCCCTGGTTCGCCATACATGGCGCGAAAGGTAGGAGGGGACAACGCTGGAGGATAGGAATCATCCGTCACCTCCCTGTACACACTCGAGTCCATCAAACGCAATTTGCGCAACTTTTCTAGATCCAACAACATGACACAGCTGCATATTCGCGAAGCTTGGTGCCATACAGGTGAATCCTGATCGGGGTGGTACGACATGACAAAGGCGGTGGTGGGTTTAAGTTGGGAAAATACGTTCCACAATAAGGTTGGATCGGAAATGAAGATAGCGTCGGTGTCTATGTAGATGGATTTCTTGACGCTTGCAGGAAGAATCTCATGGATGAAGAGCTTCATTAAACCAGCTTGATCATTGAAACTTATTCAATTGGGAGCGTAACGGAGGAGATTATTACTTACGAAGACCTGCTGCATGATCACTCCGTATTGAACCTTCTCGAGCTATCCTATCCTTCATACTTTGTAGTGAAGGTTGATAGAAACGGATTTTGAGAGGGTAAGATGGACCAGTCAACAACGAGAATCTTGTTTCCAGAAAGTCTCGGGCTGATTGGTCGCAAATAATATGGAGTTCTATTGGGCTCGTGGTATACATTAAGATGGTCTGCCATGATCGTTTAGCGATAATGAAGATATTAGAAACTAAAGACACACACGCCTTGATTAAAAGGGCTCCTTCCATAGCAGAGTCTCGAGACCACATAATGAGTGAGAATATCACTGGCTCAGGCTGTGATACGACTGCTTTGTTGGCAGTGATTGTTTCAGCGGAAGGAAGGGAAGTGTATGTCGAGGTAACCGTGACCGTAGCAGTGACTGTTGAGAGTACCTCTACTGCCATCTCTGCTCCAACGGGAGCAGACTGCCATTCCGCAAATAGAGATGCAGAGACGGCATAATCTCGTCCAAAAAGGTATGTTGTTAGAAAGAGGACGATGACAGCTAAAACAAGTAGTCTTGTACGTCTTCGGTTTGACCGCCAGCATCTTGCAAGTAATGTGTCATCATGTTGGGTACTGGCCATGAAGGACCAAGGTAAAGACCGGAACGAATAAAGCGAGTGGAGATCAAGTGAAATGTATTTGGGCCATATAATAAAGGTCTTCTTGCTGGCAATGTGACATTGAATGGGTGGTCAAATGAACTCAGCGCTCCGGCGCCAAATTAACCACTCCAGAAGCTGCATTCATTTTACCTAACAGAAATACCGACGACTGTTTCTCAAGACGTAAGGAGATGAACACCGAAAAAGACCGTAAAGCGAACATGTACATTCCGTACGGCTCCCGAACGTCGGATAAAGGTCTGCACCCAGCCTTCCCGGGAAAGAGATTTAATGTTAATGATGTCGCTGTACATTTAGAGGAGATCCTTTCCGGTCTAGTTCATTGACACTGCAGCCAAACACTGGCCAAACTACATACATAGTAGTACAGGCATGGGATAGCATGGGATGTGTAAGCATTAAATCAGTATGCGTAAACATTGAAGGTATGTATGTGATTAGTTTTTCAGCAAGTAGCACAACGCCGTTGAAAGCAGATTAGAAATACACGTCGGTCCTCTTGGTTGGAAAAGAGGGTGGGTTCTCTGCGTTGAATACAGAGTGATCCGCACTCAAAATAGTGGGTGCGTCGACAGTTGATGTTGATGGTACACATGCGAGGAACAAGCAAAACTGGAAAAAAAAGCAAGAAACTCAATCGAGAAAGATCTAGCCTCTACGCGACATCCCATAGCTCCTCTAAAGCGCAACAAAACTTTGTACCAGAGAATAAGTATTGGAGCACACAAGAATAGATAGTACATACCTTCCCGCACGCTACGCTAGCACTTAATGCGTATTGACTGACACCAATTTTCTCGTCAACATAAGCGTCGGCGAAATCGTCCTTACCGCGAGCCATAGCGCCTACGAATACAGCCAAGTTCTTGGCTGGTTTACGATCAGAACCTAGAAGGAATTGTCAATGGATGCAAATCTTGCGTGTATTCGAAACAAACCTGCGGGTGGATCAAACAGGGTGGGAAGGTATGTTGAAAGTTTTTGAAGGGGAGCATCTCCAGAAAGTGCTATGTATTCAAATAAGCGGATAGCGCAAGTTAATTTGACAATGACGAACTGATTTTGTAAGTGTCAGGGGGGAAATGGTCTACAACAGGATTCTGTCGATTTCGGTGACACATGAGAAAATCAGGAATCAGCCTCCATGAACAACGCAGGAATTATGACTCACTTTGACAACTTTTAGTAGCTTTTCAGAACCTTGGACACCCCTGATAGATAATTTATGCAGAAGTTGAACTATTTCTGATTAGTATGGTATCCGCGAGAATCAGATCGATCAACTTACCCATCAAGCCGCTGAACCGCTTGAATGTTCTCGGAATCCTCACATGAGGATTGACCTCGATGAGAACACCCTTGGCTGTGTGGATGTAGACTTGGAGTAGGCCAGCCTTGTTGAGCGGTGAATCAAGAAGGGTGAGGAGACACTGTAGAATAATGAATCAGTGAAATAGAATGCTGGGAATGGTTGAAAAACAGACTTGATGAGTGATATCGGGCCTAGCATCAGCGATGTCCCGACCGGTTTTGGCCAAAATACCTTGATGGTCATCGCAGTTCAAGAGGGTGTACTTGACTTCACCGTCCTTGCCTTTTTTGCCGTTGGATTTTGAGCTTGATGAGATACGATACGCTTCGAGGCAAGCTTGTTCAAGAACGACGAAAAGCCGCCTGGGTACCGATGAAGAGGTGATACCTGCACCATTGGCAGCGGGACCCCGAGGAACATGAGCCGTGGCAGGAAGGAGATGAGGATTGGAGAGATTGGGAAGATTAGGATTGACTGTGATACTGAATGCCTGAGCTCGAGGGTTGAGTGATTTGGTGGGAAGCGGTTTGGTGGGCCGGTCCATCGTGGTCGTTGTTAAAAGAGTGTTTTGGTCGGTGTTTATAGCTTCTTCTTCTTGAACTGTCATCTCTATGTCCTCGTATTCACTTCCACTGCCACTCGGACTTCTCTGTCTCCTTCTTAGTGCTGGCCTCTCTCCAGGCGTAGATTTTGGCCTTGGAGGCGGGTCTACCCTGCCGCTACTGTTCGCCTTACGAGCAGATTGTAATGCAGAACGCAAGTCATCTGAATCACTCGTGGTACCAGAGTGTCGTCGTCGTCGAGGAACAGTAGGAGTAGGGGATGATAGCTGGGCCATTTTGGTAGGGAAGAAAGTAAATGGACGTGGTAAGAACTTAAAAAATGAATGTACGCCTTTTTACACAAAACTCCATGTAGAAATTCTTACCAAAACTTTGTTTCTTACTGCTTTCCTGATTTCCGTTCACAAGCTATTTTCAATTCATTGCCTACGTTTTGCTTGATTAGAATCGTCGGAAGTACGCATTTCCATCTCTTAGATAAGATATGCGGGAAAAGACATCCTTCAACGCCACTAGAACTCATTCAACTGAGCCGGTCATCGCTCTGACTTGGTTAGCGCTACTCTTTTAGTTTCCATTCCACCTATCCTGGTCCATATGCATCTCACGAATATTGTTATCGGTAAAATTTTGCCCCGTGCTATCTCCAAAGAAGTTCTTCTCCTAGCAATCCTCTGAGAACATTCCTGCAGTATCACGATGTTAGTCCAACCACAACCAGAGCTTTTCATTGGCAGTTTCTTAAGTTGATTTCGGGGCCAGAGATGAGTGAACAGACCTAGAACAGTCATAATTTCTTTTATTTCGAACTCAATTTTTGTCCATTTTATTTAAATACACAAATAAATCGTTTTTATCCGCCTGCCTAGCTCAATCGGATAGAGCGTCAGACTTTTAAGAGCGGGTTAATCTGAAGGCTGCGAGTTCGACCCTCGCGGTGGGCTAACAACATTTTTTAAGCCGCTGCGGAGCTGCTGTAAGTCTGATCCGGCCTTTTTTTGTGTGGAACGGATTGAAAAGGACAGTGGTTCTGTAAAGTAAGAGGATTCAAGGCACTGGCACGGTTCCCACTTAAGTAGGACTAAATCACAGCTCAGATCAACCCTCCCCTCATCTCTTCTTCCTCTCCCGACTTGCGCGCTCCACGGAGCAATCTTTTTCCTGACGCTGCCGCATACATGGTGGCCCCTGGTGGCCCTTGCAAGAATGAATTCAACTTGACAATGACGCAGTCATTGTACGAACACAATAATTCTCCAGGCAATCGAAATGCATGCCCAATCAGGTCATTTTGGAAAATCCGTTCTCAAAAGTTTTCCCGGTCCGAATTTTCGACCCTGTTGTTGACAGTTGTCGACCCGGTCCAACATTTGAATGAAGACTTGGACTCATTGAATATTGAAGACTCACGCAAGCCCGAGAAAAACATGAAAACAGTTTCGGCTTTCATGTACATATACTAATATGTCACTATATTGGACCTCTCCGTGCCCTTGTCTTCCAATAGTGAGTAATAACTCCTTTGAGTTTGAATACAATAATTGACACCGTTTTAACCACAAAGCTCTCGGCGCGTCGCTCTTTTCTTAGGTTTGTCAACATCTTGCACTTGTGCGCTATTCTCTCTCTCTCTCTTTCAAACTACAATGAGCGACCTCAAGCTCTCGGTTGGTGCTTTAGTGAGCCTGATCATTATGCAGTGCTATGAATAAATATACTCAACATTTTCATGCAGCTTGTAAGCGGATGGATGTCATTCATGAGCTTTGGTTTGGTTCTTGCTTTTGGTGAGTGTCCACTCGCGACGATTACTGACGATGTCTAACATTGGTTTCAGGATGGCAATACTTCTTGCAATTCTACAATGACCGGGTGCTCTATAAAACAATTGTAACGACCTGTCTACTCTTATGTCTGGGAGACACAATTGTTTCCGGTATGTACATGCAGTTCCTGACCGTTGACTGTCCGAGCCCCAATTTCATCCCCGATATCCAGGACTATGGTGTTATCGGTGGTCGTCGACATATTTTGGTGGTATGGCACTGTTATTCCACAACTCCTTCCGTTGTCTGATGCTCTTATTTTTTTTGGAGACGACTCGGCTTTGCTCGCGACTCCGCAGTGAGCATTTTCCTTGCTCAAAAATACTAACAAACACTCACCCCGATCTTGCAGGGAGGCCATAGCTACATTGTGGTTTTTGTGAGCTCAGAGGTCTGGGCTACGGTTCTGTCCTGATTCTTATCTTCAATAGCCCTACGGCGACGTTCCTTGTACAAATCTGGTTCGCGAGCCGGATATGGATGATTTCGATGAGGAAAAATGTGTTGCTTCCAACGCTGATAGCACTACTAGCTTCCGCATCCTGGGGTAAAATTCGTGTATCATTATGCGAGAGTTTTTTTTACCAGCTCACATCTAGCGATCGCCTTGTGGATGTTTTCCAAACTCATCAAACATCATTCGACGTTAATCGATGACTCGAAACTCGTATTGTACGTACCTTCCGTAATTAAGTTTTTCCGAATCCTTGAGGACTCATTGATTCTTGTCAGCCCTGTTGGCTATGCATGGCTTGGAGGTGACATGTAAGATCTCATTCGCTCATTGTAAAACACCGAATTTGCATTCACGCATATACCAGCGTTGCGGATATGTGCATTTTTGGTGGTCTCGCTTACTACACCGAAATTCGTTCCCGGAAGCAACGAAAGCATCATATCCTCTCACCAAAGTAAGAAATATGATCTTGTCCTATATGGATACTCAGCTTACTGCCTGTGTTCTACAGGAGCCTATGGATTGTTACCTGCCGGATGATTGAATGCAATGTTCTACCACTCCTTTGTCAAATTGTTCTTGTTATCCTCTTCAAAACGAATGTCGGATCCTACTATAGCACGTATACATCCTTCCTTTTAGATCGAGAAACTAATTTTTGTTACGTTGCCACAGTACTTTCTGATATGACTATTGCCAAAGTATGTCTATTCGTGCCCATTTATACACGGTCCAATCCTAAATTATACATTACGTGCAGGTCTATACTTTTTCATTGCTTGTATCTCGTGCGTGGAAAAAATCGTCCCCTCTTTCCGCTCGACTCTGATAACGGTTCGCAGTGAACGCGCGGACGCCTATTGTAGAAGCTATATCCCAAGCTGCTGTCACAGGCCAACAAAGGTCGGATCCTATCACATTCACCCGATCGACAATTAATGCTACGGCAGTGCAAGTACGGTGCGTTCTTGATATTCTATATATAAAAGACTGAGATTATTGACGATGATGTCTGCAGACAAGACGTACATGTTGTACATGATGATAGTGACGCTAGCCCGATCTCGCCGTACGATAAGATAGAGATGGAGAACGAGTCGGAGTATGAGGTTGGAAAAGGTACTCTTGTGGATGAGTATCACGATGGTATTCATCGTCATGTCGGTTCAGTGTAAATATTTTTGCCTCCACAGATGTCAGCGGATGTTGTAGCACAAATAGATACCCAGGACAAGATATTTGATGTTGTTGTGAAATGGAAATGGATCGAGCCGTCATTGAGTGTTCTATCGAAGTGGAAAAGTTCCTGCTATGTACACTTTAAGAGGAAAGATATAAACAAAGACAAAAATTAAAAATACAATTCCTTCTAGCCGACTTGAACGACTGACCTCGTCATTTGCAATGATACTAGTGACGCGCTCTACCAACTGAGCTAAGAAGGACTGTAAATGTGGAATGATTAGCATCAAAGTATCTGATGTGGAATCGGTGATAAAGAATTTGAGCGGCGAGCGCCTATCTATCCCATTTACTGTAGGATACTATCCTCTTCTGCAACTCTTCTGTGTGTTAAATGGGCGGCCGTTCTGTCCTTCTCACTTCGAACCTACCCCAACTACAAAATCTGATCAAACGGGATCCTACCTCCTATAAGGATGAATTTCTCCAGCAATGGAACCATTACAACAGCATACGGCTGATTTTCCATTTGAATCCAGACGAACATGCTCAACACTTCAGAGAACTAGTTGCGTTCATCGCCCAGGTCGCCACTTGTTACCCAAAAGAGACCGCAGAGCTTCCTTCGCAAATCTCTACCATCCTGCTGGACAGCTATGGCATGCTTTCGCCTGATACACGGAAAGCATTGATTTCCACCATGGTACTGTTGAGAAACAAAAATGTCATAACGTCCATCGAGTAAGCCCAGACTTGGTATTCTTTACTGAATCTACTCTAATCTGTAATTCAAGACTCCTTCGAACACTTTTTCCTCTCCTTCCTCGTACCACCTCATCTTCTCTACGGTCTAACATCCGCAAAACCATACTTTCCGATATTCGAACAGCCAACATTCGAGCAAAGAACCATAAACTGAATCGTGCAATTCAGGCTATGCTCTTCGGTATGGTCGAAAACGGTTTGGACGACGTTGCGAATTTTGGCAACAAAGGGAAGCAGAAGGAAGTCAATAAAGGAATACACTTCGGTACATCAGATAAAACGGCAGGGAGGGGAGAAGATGCAATGTGGGCTGTGATCTTGACCAAAGAACTCTGGCGGAAGGGCATCTGGTGAGTGTCTTATCAAAAGCGTTCAACGGAAACATGACTTTAGCTCATCCGTGATGGTGAAAGGAATGATGTAAAGCCAGTCTCCATCGTCGCTATCGGGTGCTTGCATCCAGTCCTCAAAGTTCAGAGTGCATCAATCCACTTCTTTCTTGGAGATGATGACGAAAAGGAAGATAGCGACGACGAGGAGGAAGAGGTTCGTCGAAATTCTATTCGTTTGATTTATTCTGTATCCATATGCATTTGATTAGGAAGTTGATGTACGTGCGCTCCACCATCGTCGTGAAATCAACAAAAAGTCTCGTAGTGGCGACAAAAAACTACAGAAGAAGCTCAATGTCGCCAAAAAGAAAAAACATGGAAAACCCGACACCTCTCGGTCCCGGGCAAATTTTCCAGCTCTGCAATTGTTGAATGATCCTCAGACGTTTGCCGAAAAATTGTTTACTATCTTGGATCGTTACGACAAACGATTTACTCTCGACCACAAAATTCTAATCATGCAAATCCTTGCCCGTGTTATATCTGCGCATACGCTCTTCGTCATGCCTTTCTACTCGTACATTCAAAAATGGCTCGCTCCGAAACAACTGAGGGTGCCGTCGATACTGGTCGCACTAGCCCAATCTGTACATGCGCTTATACCACCGCAGACGTTGAAACCAGTTGTCCTCAAGCTTGCGAATGAATTTGTGCATCCAGGAGTTGGAAGTGAAGTCATAGCAGCTGGAATAAATGCGATCACGGAGATTTGTAGGCGACAACCGTTGGTTATGGGACCTAGAGATGAAGACGAGGACGACGTGATGAGAAAGCAGAAGGAACATGGGCAGAAAAATATGGATACAAAGGACGGTGCTGAAAATCAACTCGAAGCTCTGAAGCTCGAACATTTAGAGAAAGAAAAGGCGGAAATCCGTAAGCTGGGGATAGACGATGCTGACGGAAAGAGACCCAGTGACAAGGATGTCGATCTACGGCCTCTATTGAATGATCTAATTGAGTATAGGAAGAGCAAAGACAAAACAGTCATCGCAGCCTCTCGAGGGTTGTTGCATCTTTATCGAGAGACTCACCCGGAGTTCTTGAAGAAACGAGAACGAGTTCGTTTCACTTACTCTATGTGCGATAAATTTTCTGATCCCTCTGTTCACACAGGGCAAAGAAGCCAGTATCAATATGAAGACTGCTGTTGCTCGCAATCTCCCCTACGGCCACTCAGCTAATGCTGCTGTTGATATTGAAGGCCTTTCTGTACGTTCATGTTTAGTGATAGCTTCTTTTACATACTCACCGTCTTCACTTTGATGTAGCTTCTGGAGAGTCACTTCCAACAACTCCGGGAAGAAGAAAATGGACACGACGATGCAGATTCGGGAGAGGATAATAACGAAGCTGGTTGGGACGGTTGGGATATCGAGTCAGATTCTGACTCGGAATCCGATTCGGAGGATGGGTGGCAAGATGTGTCCAGTGACAGTGATGGCGATATCGAGCTCAGCGATAGCGAAAATGAAAACGGAGAACAAAGGGAGCGGAATAAAAACAAAGGAAAGGAGACAGAGCGGCAGGAGAGGCGTCGGGAGAAGAAGGAAAAGCGGGAGAAACAGAGAGCCAAGGAGGAAGCAGTCAAGAGCGGGCGAGGAATCAACGGAGAGATAGACAATGACGAAGTGGATGAAAATGAGTACGGATTCAGCGGTGATGACCAGGACAAAATGGACATTGATACAGAGGAGAAGACGGAAACGAGAAATTTTGACCAAGATGCATCAACTCTCGCCACAACCAAGGTTTGTCTGCAATTGGTGACACCCGATTGTGAAATTGAAATTATTTTCTCCTTTCTAGATTCTCACTCCAGCCGACTTCAAATTGCTCTCTGACCTCCAGATTCAAGCAGCTCAAAAATCTGTTGATATAGGCGGTGGAAATCGCGCGAAACGAAAGCTCGCGGCGCTTGAAGCTGGACGCAAATCTCAAAACATTTCCGACGATCCATCAGCTTCCTTTATCTCCGAGAACGATATCCTTGGGCCGCGTAAAAAAGCCAAGGCTGATTATGCTGAACGGATGGCTTCAATACAAAAAGGAAGGGAGGGTCGCGAGAAGTTTGGTTCCCGCAAAGGCAAAAAGACAAAGGATGCTCCCAGTAGCTCTACAAACAGGGAAAAAGCGAGGAATAAGCCGATCATGATGATCCTGAGCAGTGGCTCTGTTCGGGGAAAGAAGAAGGCAAGTTTGAGAGAAAAGCAACAAAAACTGCGGGCACACATTGAGAAGGGGAAAAGAGCGAAAAAGTAGATAAATGAAACCCACGTACCCTCTCTTCCTAGCTCTTCCTCAGTCTATCTTTCCATCCGTCGATGACATGCCTCATAATGTAGCTTACGACCACATTAAATGTGTGCCCGCCTAGCTCAATCGGATAGAGCGTCAGACTTTTACGGCGGGGAATCTGAAGGCTGCGAGTTCGACCCTCGCGGTGGGCTATGAGAGATTTTTAGTTAGTATCTTTTCGATATTAATAATTGTCCCTCTTTTGTTAAATGTCGGTAATCGCGCTACAAAGGTGAAGAATACATATGCACTCCATACAACACGATCGACATTAGTATTTCTACAATATACGCAGCTAAAACCACTTGGCAGGTTGCAATCCAATCTTTTTCAGTATGTCCTTCATGTTAGTAGTGACAAATGCACCCAAGGCAGTCGATCCTTGCAACTTGACTGGGACGCCGACCACTTCGTACCTAGAGGAGTGGGATGAATGAAAAGCTCTTTCTTTAGGAAGAATTCTCACTGATAGCTAGGCTTTCCATCGATCACGACCTCCAAATTCAGTGTTGGTCGTTCAGGTTTTCTGGTATCAACCTCTATTGATGACCACTTGTAATTTCCTTCAGGAATGTACTTGATCACTCGCTCTTTGGGGACCTCTTCAATAACAAATTCTGTTTCTGTTTTTTCAACGTTCTGCTCATTGGCCGATTCAGAAGAGGTAGGAGGAACTTGCACCGAAGATTCTGTAGATACTGGGATTCCGTCTGATTGGACTACAGTAGCTTCATCAGAAGGGATAGCAGGCAGACTCTCGGGGGCGGGAATAGGTGCATCCACGGAAGGCGCTTCTTTCACTACCTTTCTGGTGAAGGTCTCGGCGCTTTGCATGCTGAGTGTATGATAGATCGGGATGTAGAACATGCTCAACGGGCTGAAAATATACACCAGTGTAAATATATATATGACCAGGTATCGACAATGAAACAGACCTTGTGGAAAATTCGGTGACCGCAAAACTTGATTGGGTTGGGGCAGCGAATTCAATAGCAGCAAACTCATGTCGGTCGCCAGTAATCACAAACACATTCGGGACACTGTACATAGCGTTCAAGATAGTCTGCTTTTCGTTCACGAACCCGGCCCATGAATCGTATTGCGCGTCATGACCCCAGAGCGAGGTGAACGGGACAGAAGACACAATGAATTTAAATGTGGCGGTACTGTTCGTCTATGATAGAATGAGGTACGGGCTGAAGGATGTTACAAAGCACGCACTTTTCCCAGCCAATCAAGCAATCTGGTCAGTTGTTCTTCACCTAGCATTGTCTTCTCCTCTGAAGGGTCGGTTGGGAATGAGCGATATCTTCGAGTGTCCATCACAAAAAATGCCACATCGCCGTAGTGGAAGTCATAGTAGTATGGGGTATGATCGAGCGACTTGGTTGATTGAGGGGGTGAGGGATTTCCGTTGGCGTTATAGATTTGGAAAGCATCTGAGGCGCTGGGATACGGCAGTGTCGAATCGTTACCGGCGCCTGAGAAGTTGTTGATGATTTCATGATCGTCATAGGTATGGAACATCGCTAGGACAATACTTTTAAAATGCCTATCTATTCTAAACGATTAGGAACGTACGAAGTCTTTCGTATATTTTTCTGAAGCTTGAGCTCTGGTAATTTCTTCGGTAAAGGCGCCGGTAGCTCTCTTTGTGGTTTCCGAAGTAGATAGGGACATCGGCGTAAATGAAATCGCCCAGGAAAAGTAAGAAAGATGGCGGAAGCGTCGTAGGTACATTCAGAGCCTCCTCCGAATTGGGAGTGCCGGTATCGTTACGGTCAGTAGTCGAATTCACGGCCCTAATAGCTGGTGATGAGGGGAACAGGTACTCTGCAAGAAGGTCAAAACCTTTAATTCTACGGCGTTGCAGGGGAGCGTAAGGGAAATTTGGAAGTATGCAAGAAGATGCCACAAAGCGAAAATGTGTTCCACCAGGGAGATGAGGATCAGGGAAGGTACGAAATGCCAAAGGGGAACCCGGGTAAGCAAGGAAGGAAGCGTTGGCACCGACGAGTGCGTCTGGTTACATGATTAATATTAAAGAAAGTGGGATCGATAAAGAAACTCACATTCGTACTTGGTGCTGGGCCAGAGACTCGATAGCGTCACGGTGTCAGCCCAGTCATTTTCCTGTGACAAATTCAGAATTTCCCCCTTGTTCCATGCTGCATTCGGTTTTGATTCTCTCCAAATGAGTTGAATCGTTTCATTGAGGTTGGGGTATCTGACGAGTATCTTTGCGCTCTTATCTGATACTGCTCCCATTCTAGAGAACACAACGTCGCTTGCATGATCGAAATAGGGAGAAACGCAGAAATCAAGGAATGCAAGCATTATCAAGGAATTTATGACAATATTGGTCCATCGAATAATTCGCGAAGGGGTCCTGAGGGAGAAAAGAACTGCTGCTGCAGGATTGACATTGCCCCGAGCTGGTTTAGATGAGAGGTTGGCAGATAACAGATATAAGGAGAGCAACGCTGGAATAGCAGATTGTAGCAGCGGAGAGGGGATCTTTATTATATTTGAAAAGGTATTCTAATGCTTGAGTTGAATTAGACCTACCACTCTAAGAAAGAGAAATGAAGCAACTCTAAATGCGGTAGCAAGTATAGATGAGATGGACGTCATTCGGAGAGGGGTGTAACGCGAGGTAACGCGCGACGCGTACCGTAACGAGCGTCACAAGTGCCTGATTCGGACCTTTTCGGCCGGGATGGGTCTTCAACGTTGAACATCGAACCTTCGAAGAATTGTGAATACAAAGCAATTATTCACACATGTTACCATTTGAAAAAAGAACAAACTGCAACACATAGACATAGATATAAATCATAAATACAGCATAGATTTAATGGTATCAATATCATAGATAGAAAGGTATTCCGTAGACAACAGGTGCTGCTCCGGTAAGGTACTTGAGCTTGCAGGAATTTCTGGATTCCGCGACGGCCTGTACCACCGACATGGGGGTTGGGCGCTCGGGTGAAGATTGATTCTTGATTGCCTCCAAGGACAAGTTCAACTTTTCGAACACTGACTGGGAGAAAGTATCGATGTCTTTGTCTGTAACATCCCACAAATTCGCAACCAGCGTGGGACTGACCAAAGAAAGTTAGTTGATGGAAAGGATATCAACAGCAGCGACCGAGACTAACCATCCAGCTAACATATAGTTCAACGGCGTGCCCACTCGATCAAAGTCGCCCATATCCCGGAGTGCACCGGAAGAACAACCCCAAAGCATTACAGCCGCACATCTGGGTAAACTCCTCAATCTATGCGAGCGCACGTACTGTTCAGCTCCTCCATGTCCGAAGTACCTTGGGATATAAATCAGCTCCAAGTGTCACGTATTGAGCTGGGAAGAAGCCTTACACTACGAGATCTTTTGTTCGAAGCGCATTAAGAACTTGGAGTTCACTTGGGGCACGCCCCGAGATGCCCTGCCATCCAGCCTTCTCCATCTTTTTCAGCCAGGGCTTAAATCGCTCCTCTGTTCGTTCCAAATCACCGCTGGGATTTATGATATAGTAAGCATTTGTGGGATCGCAGACCGCGCGATCGACCGTGTTCGATGAGCTACCCAATTCCGATTGTCGAAGGCGTGCAAACTGAACGCGATCAAGGAGGAATGAAATACTGGGAATGCGGCTGACGCTTCTTCCTCGTAGGATCGGGATGTTTTCCCAAGATAAACCTTGAACATTCTTGTCCAAAACCAAGAATAAATGCTCGTCATGATGATCACGTTCGTTGTACCCAAACGCTCCTGTACGGCCATGTCCAACGCTTTTCAACTTTTCGGCATGCTCCTGCATAACGGATCGTAAATCGACAACCACTTGGTCAATGTCAATTTCTGCGATAGCAACAGGAACGCCATGGAACTGATACAGGTCGAGAATAAAATATACCAGATCTTCCAGTTCCTCATCTCGACAATCCGGGGATAAAGTTGAGAAACATTCAATCAAGCTGTCGTCCAAGGTGACTCGATTGGGTGTCCAGCTTTCGGAAGGCATCTTCTTGTGACCTATAGCTCGTTCTTTCGTCTTCCTATCTTGCAACCTAAGACCGCGCTGAAAGACTCTATCAAACTGGATACGCAAGTTGCTGATTGCATGGAGGGATAAATGGGGATTTGCTGACAAAATTGTCTGTAGAGAGGAATCGTCATTGACCCGAGGTGAGAAGTCAATGTATACATACCTTGAACGCTCCCAGCCAGCAAAACTCAATATTTTCCAGTAATTCGCGGAGACGACTGTCCAATGCTCCTCGCTCCTTCCACCATTTGGATCTAGCAGCCGGATCATGTCGAATAGACGCAGCAATCTTAGTCGTTTCATTGCTCGAGGCTACTATCTCATTCATCTCTTTAAGCGCATCCTCAAAGGTAAGGTGTTCGTCAGCTGCATCTTCTCTTCTACCTTTCAATGGAATACAAAAAACAAGAGGTTCGGCCTGGCATCCGCCACGTTGACGAGATATAAACATCGTGTTTTTGTCCTCGGTCACGGAGATATGAACAACTGTCCAATGTCGGGGAAGCTCGGAAACCATGGAGGAAGCGAAGGTCTCTTCGTTCATGGAATACGATTGATGCCTCTTTCTAACGCTCTCCCAATAGTCCCTGAGCGAACTTTCGTCAAGTTCATCAGAGTCGTTCAAAGCAGTCTTTGCTTCATTGAGCAGTGGGACACCGGAATCAGAGAGATCAGAGAGCTTGGGCCATGCTAACTCTTCGTGACGAGGGATTAAAGGAAATTTGTTAACGATAGCTTCCAGCATTTCACTGCGTAAAGTCAGTGACGATGAAGCGTCTGAAGGTGTGTTAGTACTTGATTAGCTGGCAACTCCACAGAGCTTACCTAGAAGACCAGCAGCAAGTAGCGGCGTTTTTGCATCAAATTTCCCCAATGAGGCCTGGAAGGTTTTGATTATCGCAATGGACATGGCAGACTCTCGGATGTCTGGCGCATAACCCTTCTGACCCAAGGCACCCAGGTAAGACCAGAACAATTTCTCCGCATGCTCCAGATTCTTGGCAATATCCACTGAAGTGGGAGATACGGAGACACTAAGGTTGTTCGAGCCTGCTGAAAGGGCGATTGCTGAAATAGGCGTAAGCTTTCCCGCGATAGCATGAAATTGGAAGTGACACCCACTAGTCTCTCCAATTGAACTCAGAAACATGTCAGTCCGACTTAATTGATACACATTATGAAGAGCTAATCTCGCAGTGACGCCTCTTTGTCGCGACTAAAATGAAACATGAAACACATGAAATGTCAAATCACAGGAGAGCACACCTGAATAGTGAACGTTGAAGGTAAAGAGCCGATTTTATCGAGTAAGATTGTACATATTTCTACCTGTTCACCGCGCAGTAACCAGACTGACGAGAATGTTAAAAGTTGAAAAGTATGAAAGAGTAAACTGTGCTAACCATAACGGCACAGTACTTGAGCCAATAGCTCGGGGAAAAGGGTGTCAGAGAGTTGACTGGTTCCTACAGATAAACGAGGACTAAAATCAAGATTAGCAGGAAAAATTAGCGTAAGTGGAATCGTCATAATACCCGAATTCGACACCGTCCAATAGCCTGAAAGTTTGGTCTACTCTTTCTATTACTTTGATGGCATCTTCATAATGCTTCTGAGCCTCAATCACCATGGAATCCCTTTGGTCCAAGTCACCCTTTAATCGATGAAGTTCGGCCAGATCAGCGTGAACATCTCCGTCGCCGTTAATCACGCATAGCTCGATTTCCTTGAATTGTCCGGATCCTTCCGCGATCAAGCCTTGGAATATTTTAGCTTCAACATTCTTGACCATCGCACGACACATTCCAGAGGGGGCGTTCACCGAGGCAGCGAGCTCCTTCGCTTGTTCTGCAAAGTACTGTGCTTCTCTAGGAGAACCCCGCTCTAGATATGCGTGAAAAAGGGAAAATAATGCATTGAGAAGGCCCTCTCCTATCCGCCATTCTAAGCCTGTAGACAGAATTCGACGTTGTGAAAAATCACCAATCCGACGGGAAGTAGATGGCGGTTGGGTTTGTGAAGAAATGGAGTGCAATGGAGTGCCAGACTTGGACAGTGCGTTCTTCATAGACGAAATGTCGAATGGATCGGACTCCTCTGTCTCCGTGGAATTAGATTTCGGCGCTGGCGGTTGAAAGCGTCCTAGAGACTCAAATGCCCGATTCCATAAACGAAGTGCTTTCAATAAACCATCAAATGAGCCAGAAATATTGTTCTTATAGTAGTCAGAATGACTTCCTTCAGTTGACAAATTCACTTACCGACATGCATTGTATTGAAGAAAAGACTTCGTATGCAAGGGCGGTTTTCTCAATTTGGACTACGTGGGTCTGAATTTTCTCCATCGCAGACGCTTGCTTATTTGGTAACTGCGAGCGGTTGACTAGCAGAAATCCCTCCTGATAGAATTTGATGCTGTATGTGGCCCAATTTGAGCCTTTGCACTGAGTCGAGAAATTGAAATCGTACCTCTGTTTTACGTCCGCGTCAGCAGCACAAGATGCGGCAAAACTTAAGAAGAAGCGCGCACGGGCATCATCAGAGGCTTGGCTGCTTCGTGCGGCAGTCAAAGCCTGATTCAACACTTTCTTCGCTCGCTTTCCCTTTCCAAGCCTGAGATACTCTAAAGCGAGCTCAGAGGAAGACAATATATAATCTATTCATGGCTTTCAGCGACTCCGTTCGAAAGGAATTAAACTTACAGTCGCTATTTTCCCGAGAATGAAATTCGGCAAGTTTTCTGAGCACGTCAAGAATATTGATTTTGGGAAGCGTTAAGGACAACATGCCCGAAATATGAGCACATAATTCTGCAAAGCGTTCAATGGAAAAATTCCGACCAGGGCAAAATATAATTCATACGGAGCAAATTCATTAGAGCCTCTATAGAGTCAACTGAGAACGTTAACGACGAGAAATCTAGTGGGATGCTTCCTGAAATAACGAGGTTAATCAAGGCTTATCATGTACGACGAAGAAACCCACGTGTTTCATCCTTACGCTTAAAAGGCGTCTTCGTGAGCTTTCCTTTGGGTGGTGGTGCTACTTTACCCTTTGATTTCCCCGCACTTGAGGTAGTGACTTTAGATGACTTCTTGACACCTCTACTGTCTTTGGGAATGGAGGTTTGTTTATCGCTGGTTGTCGAGAGCATAGTACGAAGGATGGTACAAGCAGATTCCGTATGTTTACTTGCCAATGAAACCTGGTGAGGACTTGAACGACGGTGCGCGTGCAGCGCAAGCCACAGATGTATTGAAGCATAATATTCGAAACGATAGCGAACTAGATGTTCGTCCTTTCCAAAGCTCTAAATCTCGATGTCAATGGAATGGAATGATTAAGGAAAGAGTGGTAACCTTCGAATTATACAACACTTGTGCAGCCTCTTCAGCACTTTTCACTCCCAGCCAACTGTCTTCCGGCTCAACTAGTGAAAAATGGTATCGAAATTCTAGAGCTTTGGCAAACACCCGAAGTGACCGTATGGGCATGCTTTCTTGTCGATATATATGTAGAATTTCCTTCAACAGAACGGGTAGAACTTCTCGAGCACCCTCTTTCGACCGGGACATTTCAAGACTTTGCACTTGCCATTCCATGAGGATACCCATCACGGATGTACCTATATTGCTGTGCAGTTCCGTCGACTTCAAAGATACATCGGCTGCTGACAACATCAACTCATATGTTCCAAGACGAGTTAATTTTTCGATAACGCCACGAAGCTCCTTCACTGTCGGCGAAATGCCAATGATTTCACCGAACGAAACCTTGTCCACGTTTTCAAATGCTGAGTAAGGAAAATAACGAACGCTCTTGACAAAGCTATCGAACGCTGGCTGTGTGGGGTATGTCAAGCAATTAATGGGAAAACATTGAAGTATACTTACTCTCCGATCGCCAATCTTCATGAAACATACTGCCAGTAACTGAAATCTACGCCAAAGCTGCTCTTTCAACGGTAGCCAAGAATTCGTCTTTGCGTCAGGTATATCTACTTCGCCTTTGGATCCTTTATCGCGCTCAACGAGGGCAGCTGTCCCGAGGCGGCACCCTTCTTTGAGAAAGGGTATTGCAGAACTATATCTTCCCGCTTGATAGAGCGTACCTCCGATGTTATAAAACGCACCGGAAGTACAGCGAATGAATTCGGAGCGTTCTGGACATCGTGAGGTAAGGACCTTGGGCGATGAAAGAGTAAGATGATCCTGATCTCTAGATAACGATAGTATATCCACCGCCTTTGCGAGAAGATCGTAGACCCTGTTGTAGGTCCGAGGATCCAACAAATCAAGACTATTACGGGCAAGTTCGAAGACTGTATCCAACATGTGTGTTAGATAATCTGAATCGTGATGGGAATCGGTCTATACCATTAATGAGACGAAGACCATAGAAGATATGGGAATGTAATTCACTCACTGTTCGTATCACATTCTCGTATAAACCAATCACGACCTCTAATAGCCGTGAGCACTCCTCTCTCACTTCCTTGCCCGTGGACTGCTCTGCTAGAACATCCAAGGAGGCCCTTCGAACCCTTCCTAAAGCTCGATTGGCCTTTCCTGCAATGCGCAGAATATCCTTATTACAAACTCCATCCTGCATCGACAGTGCAAAAAGGTTTGTGATCAAGGGATCAATAGCTCCTGCTTCGCTGGGAAATAAGGCATTCCTGACGTCTCGGAACAGTAAAATCACTGAGTCGTCGTTTTGCTTTGATTGTTCCAGGACTGCGAGGAGTTGGGCAAACGCAGCGCATAGTCGCGTCCCTTGCCGTATCATGTCCCTATCTTCGCAAAGAGTATGGGGGCTGTCAGCTGAAGCGCTAGGAGGGGAGCTCTGGCCCATCACCTGCGCAATTTTTTGCAAAATTCGCACATCGTTTGTCTAACGGAACGTGAGTAGTGAGCGTTAGAATTATAGATTGAAAACTTTCTACATACTTTGGAGGCATACCCGATCCAATTTTCGCAATAAGAGGTAAACCCATTTCCAGATACGAATGTATCTTTGTCTGCACGAGCCTCACAAATCGTGTAGAGCGCAAGGAATGCAGACGACACAGTATAAGCTGCGTCGGATACGGAATGCCGATTGGAAGAGCCGGTAAGCGCGCTAGCGACCTTACATGTTTGATCCCAAAGGCTCTCTGGGTTTTCTATAGTACCCACAGACGTATGCGCCAAACATCGTAGAGCGTACATACGGATTTGGAAAAGATCATTCGGTGGAATATCTGACGCTGAGACCTTCATCAGCACAGAATAGACCTTCGTGAGGGTAGAATCCAATTGCTTGTCAGATAGTCCGGACGAAGAAAAGACGGGGATCCATTCGATTAACGAAGAATAATTTGGTAGGTCTTTGCATAAGCTGAGACGACGGGTGTAACTTAGAATTATGATTGCATATGACAAATATGTGGAAACAAGTGTCGCTAGCACTGTGTTCATCTCCGACTGGTTCGAGACACGCGGTATTGAGAGTAAGTGAGTTGCATGCACCCCCATGAGACCACATATCGGGGAGTGTGAACTTGTAAGGGCTGCTAATGCTAAATCGAACTACAGTTCCACGCGTGTTACTATTATTCAGCAGGTGTGAGAATGAAGGACGTACCAATTCCAGCGCCACCAGCTTGACCATAATGCTCATCGCTGCTCTTTCAACGTTCAAGTCGCCCTTCGAGGCACTTCTCAAGAGAGCCAAATATCGAGCTGCGGTTGAACTCGCTTCAAGAGCCGTGGTTGACTGTGACTTTGACTGGTGCTCAGCATCCAAAGATTTCTTCCACCCGCTCTGCGCAATGGCAGAAAGTTGCTGCGACGCGCTGTTAATCTTTCTCATCGCTTCAAGCCTTTGCTCCGGGGTACACAAAGCCTTCTGTTTTCCCTTTCTCTTCGTAAGATCTTCAATATTTAATGTTTCGGCGAGTTGGGTAGCAAGCGTGTCCGGGTCAGAAATTGGACTGGGAAGGGGTCGAGGATGGATGGCATGCTTCCGAATGTTACTTGTGGTCGTGTGTGTTGTTTTACGAATACGGGAGGTAGACGGGACTGGCATAAGTATTTGAACAGTGGGTGAACAACTGCAAGATCGTTCAACTTTTGAAGAGCGCGTGTGAGTCACGTGGTCGTCGATGAAAGCACTAGTAGTAGTACAGGGGTCTTGTCGGAGCCATCATGTCCTCATCTAAAGAAGATTTACGCGTGTCTATAGAGACCATGAGCGATTGGTCCCACATCAAAGCAAATTGCGCTCAAGCAGCAAAGACCTCGCTCGCGAAAGAGCTTGTATTGGCAGGTTTATCAGAAAGCAGCGCTCTCTCTCAACATTTGGACCAGGTAGGTCTTTGATGACTTTTGCAGGTGTTGTAATACTCATAGCTCAAGTTCATACAAAACACATTTCGACTAGCCCAGCCCAATCTACGCGTAAATGGGCAGAGCTTCGATGAACGCGTTGAAGATGGTTGACGGTTTTCAAAATTTATGTCACAGTCATACTTACTTTTTCCCTTCAATATAGATATAGAACCTTTTGATGAGGCTCTAGACAGACATGTTTGGTCGCTACATGATCAAAGACTCGGGCTTCATAAGACAATTGCTACGAGTCGCCGAACTGAACCTTGGAAGATTGAGAAGACTCTGTTGGGTTCATTAGAACAGAACCACAAGCTTGATGGTCTGGAATCCGAATTCAATGATTCCCAGGAGAATTTGACCATGGACATTGATGGAATCGAAGGTGGGTGAAGACATCTTGAACAACGTCTACATGACTCATTGAATAACGAAAGATTTACAACCGGAAGTTGAAGACGCTTTGCTACAAACTACTGCTTGGGCCCAAGAGCTATCACAGGTAGGTTGTTCATCGAATCTCATTCTCTTGAATCCTAATATGATTATCGTAGTCTATTCCCAACCAGACAGAACGAACCGCACGTCTACAAAATGTGACTACTGAACTGAAACGGAGATAGCCAATTGCGCGACTGAATGCACAGAAATAAAAATCGTAAAACCCCTTACTACTGGTCATATGGTCTACCAATATCATTGTTATAATCATTCAATATAGACTCTGGAGGCAACGATTGCAGGTCATCTGATACTTTTAGAATGGTTCTTAAGCTGTATGACTGTACCTGTCGTCAGTTCCTTCTTCTCCATCTATTCCCATGTCGCTTGCTTCTCGTTCCGCCCTTCGTCTCAACAACGTCGCCCAGCGGGTGCCGCAGCTCAGCCGCCATCTTCATTTCAAGAACATTAACGGGGGATTGCAAAGCATTGTAGCGCCGGGTCATGTACACGAAGGGGGAGTGAGTACTCCATTTGAATTCGTCGTACTTCGCGATGTTGACCGTGCTGTTCTTCAGCATCTGCCTTTCTCTTACCGGAGAAAGCCAGCTTTCTTCGGGAAATTCGCCGCATTTTGCACAGCTGGGTTCACCATTCCTTTCGCTGCAGTACTGTACGTCAATCATTATATGTGTCTTGATACGCTAAATCTAAACTAGGCCCCAGGTATAAGAGAGCGCCGCAAGTTTAAACGACATAGATCAGGTTCAATCAGCTCGTCTATATCGTCTTGCCCAAATCTTGTAAATTTTACATCTGAAACTAAGCTACTGTTCGATCCTGAAGGTGACTTCGAGCATGAGGCTGTCAAAAGGTGAACTGAAGAAGAGTGAACCCGATTGTATCGTTCAATGTCCTCAATGAGCGCTCTGTCTAGAAGCCCCAGAATAGACATCACCATTATTGCAGAGGATGAATCTCTTCACTGTAAACCCTGCCACTAAGTTCCCACATGAGTTATAGTATGTTGCAGCCATGCAGGGTGTGACGGTTTCACCTCCGACCCACTTTCATTTGAGCGTCGTATTATGAAGTATTATGTATGATCGGGCACATGCGTGCGGGTATCATGTTTTCTCTCGGCTCCGTACGGTGTAGAGAGTAGAAGCCTGTAGAAGCTTGAAGTTTTTGCGAGGCTTTTGAGTAAAGGCACTCATCGACATCTGCGGGACGTGACGAATAAATATGTTTTGAGTTTGCCAGTACTCTGTCGGTACTGGCTGGTACCGGTATACACTGTAACACGCACCAAACCTTCTAGATCCGACCGAACGACCCCAGGTGTCGGCACCTCTGAATCGTGCACTTTTATTCGATGGTCCTAGTTGTCACGGTCGCGGAGGGTCGCGGATACCAGAATATCCCAAGCAAATCTCCACAATAGTTGTGTAGTTGATTACAGCGAAGAAATACGGTAAAGGACTATATAACCAGCTGTAATTACCTTTGTACTGTACTACTTACTGTCGAAGGAAAGAATTTCCAAAAACGTTCAGAAAAAGATCGCTTTGACGTCGGATGGATATCCGCGGATGACTGATACTTATACGAAGGTAGGCTTGATCATCTCTGACCGCCCTCGTCGTCGTCGTCGTCGTTGAACTTCGAAGGTTGAAGCTTTGAAGATGGAAGGTGAATTTAGAAACGAGAAGAGCGAGAAAAATAGACCAAGTGAGCGTCTGGTCCTGGAAGTAAGAAAGCCCGGTCATCGGCCTTGTTTTGGTCTTTCCTTTGTCAAAAGAGCAGGGCTGATGGTAGCCTGTAGATAAGTATTTCCATTTTTGTGCAACAGACCTAGGTGACTCAGAGCTATCAGTGAGGCCTCAAGTCTCTTATAGCTCGAACTGTTTCTCACTACTTCAGAAAGATATTGCTTTTCCCCCAATCCTACCCGGAAAGCCAGGGAAAGCCTCGCCGTTATGGTGGCGTTACATATCTAGTATCATAACATGCACTTGGCGAGTATATGCATTGATAACGGATGGTCCGATCGTTCTATATAAAAACCGAAGGCCAAACTTCTCACATAAAAAAATTCTTCCGTCAAGTGCTCCACAGCAGTTGACCTCTTTCCACGACAAGCTTCCAGTCGCTGTCCACGATCTTTACGATTCTCAAGGCTTTCTTCATGCTATTCGTGTGCGAATTCAATAATTATCGTCATACACCATGTCCTTCTATCCCGTACGTCTCTTGTTTCTTGACCTCCACCATGGCCAACTTAACAATGTCTTTCGCCTTTCATAGTTTGAGGTCACTATTCCGCACATCATCTACACAATCCTAGGAATGTTTGTTGTAATATTCGGCATGTTTTCGCTCCTTCTCCGTGAAAAAGTATTGTGCCTCAGTTTTCTCCATTGGACCTCAATAATGCTTATCAACGTCTTTTTCACCTAGCTATATATAGGAGAAGCATGTTGGGCCTTCTTATTCGGTATCATTATTGGTGTGTTCAAGTGCGAGTTGCCCATATTCCTCGTTTCTCAATATTTCTTTTCAAGGTCCTTACGGTGCAAATATCTTCAATCCGCGCAGCTGGGGCAATTCTGACGACGAAATTACCAACACTATAACACTCGAGTTTTGCCGCGTTGTATTGGCGATTGGTGTGTTCGCTATAGGTGTCGAGTTGCCCAAAGCCTACATGGCAAGACACTGGAAAAGTCTTTTCTTTCTCTTAGCACCTGTCATGACCTGGGTAAGTTCATTTCGTTCGCTCTACATCGTACTCCAATCAATGCTGATGCCATGTTGTTTCAGGGCTGGTTCGTGTCTGCGGCTTTCATTTATGCACTCATTCCCAACTTGAACTTTCTTTCCTCCCTGGCTGTCGCTGCTTGCCTCACGCCAACCGATCCTATTCTCGCAGCAGCAGTTGTCGGCGGTAAATATGCCGATAAACACGTTCCAGCGCACATTCGACATCTTTTGGCAGCGGAAAGTGGCTGCAATGACGGCGCGGCTTTCCCGTTCTTGTATATTGCCTTATATCTTGTCCTTGATCAAACCACTGGCTCGGCGATTAGGGATTGGTTCTTGTTACTTTGGTTATGTGAGTAAATGTGTCTAACATATACTTGCGATTCTTGCTCATAATATTTCTCGCTTTTTAGATCAGGTAACTTTGGGAATAGTTATTGGGTCTTGTCTTGGCTTCGGATTCCGTCACCTCATGAAGTTCTGCGAGAGACACAATTTGATAGATAGGCACTCCTACATCGCTCAATATATTTCCTTGGCATTGGGCACAATTGGGGTTACTACTTTGCTTGGCTCAGACGATCTGCTTTCGAGTGTGTCTCATTCTACATTCTATCTCATCGAAGTTTTTGACGTACTATCAGCGTTCGCATGCGGTACGGCCTTTGCTTGGGATGGATTCTTCAATCGCCAGACCGAGGAATCTGTATTTTCGTCCGTCATTGATCTCTTGTTCAACATTGCGGCTTTTATCTTTGTGGGAGCATGGATGCCATTTCATGAATTTTCGAATGCGTAAATATTTAATTCAAGCATTGAATGACTACTAACCTCCAGTTCAGGGAAACTTCGCTATCAGTTTGGCGCCTGATCGTAATTGCAATCCTGGTACTGCTCTTTCGGAGGTTACCTGCAGTTGTAGCATTGTACAAATGGATTCCCGATATCAAAACGTTCAGGGAAGCTATTTTCACAGGTCATTTTGGACCAATGGGAATCGGTAAGACGCAACAGAACCTGCCGATTAATGATGCTCAAAATCTCCTGTTTGTCCAGGGGCCGTTTTTATTTCAACGCTCGCCGCTGGGGTACTTTCTGAAAATTCCACCGCACAACAGAATCCTCAAACTGTCATACTTACCCAGTCCATCCAGCCTATCACAGCATTCATGGTGCTTTGTTCGATCACAATTCATGGTCTATCCATTCCGTCATTTTCTCTAGGACGTCGCGTCCACTCTGTTTCTCGTACTTGGAGTAGACATACCAGCGGACTCCCAGAATGGGCGACTCAAGCCCGCCATGTCACTGACAGAGATGATATCGTGATAAATAGGGATCGAGACGAAACCGATGAACTGGAAAGGGGAGAACACACCCCACACGAAAAGCTGAGTCCGGAAGGTAGTGTTGGGAGCTCTCCAACAGAGGTTGAAGCTTTACGGGAAGGCGACAAACGAATTCATACTTCGATTTCTCCGCCTCTTTCTCCGCTCGCTTCTGCCTCTCCCGGTGTTCAAGGTATCGGTGAAGAACCTAGCGCCGAAATACTGCCTCCTGGTGAGGAGCCGCCGGATGGAATAGAGACATTGTCAGAATGGCAAGAAGGTCCTCACCGTGTCATAGAACGGCGTGCAGGTCCCGGGGAAGAGGTCGAAGTTGAAGTCATCAAGAATTACGGTTCACCGGATGCCCACTCTTCATTGTTTCGGGGCGAGCGCGCGGAAGCCCAAAGACACTTGAAAGAGTATCTAGGTCGCCTACGAAAAGCGGTAGATGACAATACGGCGGAGACTAGACAGAAGGCAGAAAAAGATGTGAAGGAAATGGAAAACATGGCGAAAGAAACCTTGGAACACGGAATAGAAAAGGTGGAACAATCTGCGCATAATGCCAAAGAGATGGTGAAGGAGGTAGTTGCAGAAGGCCCCGTAGTCGCAAGTTCTGGTCATAATTCTTCCGAACTACCTCTAGATCAAGTTACGAACACTGCACACGAGTTTGCCGTTGAAGACGAGGAAAGCGAGGACGAAGGTTGGGCGAGCGATGCTGACGCAGCTCTCACAGATATTATTACCGCTAAAAAGCAACGATCTAAGTCGCCTAGGAGCAAGACCTTAAAAACTGGTGGAAGAAGGAGAAATTCTATCCGAAGGGGTTTGATGGGTAGAGTTATGAAGTCTACAGATACCTCCTCTAGTTCGAAGCCGTCAGCAGTCGACGAACTGGATGAGAGAGGCCGTAATTTGGGCCATCCCTCGTCCGTTCAGCCTCATTCTAGTCCCGGTAGCTCACTGAGGCACAACCGCATTGATTCATTACGGACTGTGCATTCTCAGAAGTCGAGGGAACAGTCGCCTGCACGGTCTATACGGTTCTTTGACGAGGCGCCAAGTAGTCGACCTGGTTCTGGTACTACAACCCCTCGACATGAATCTTTCAATCTTCGTTCAACACTAGAAACACAACCTAATGAACAGGAATGAGGGAAGCGGATGAATTATTTATTTGTCGGAATTATCAGGTTATCGCATATCCCTTCATTCATAATTCACCTATCACTGTGCACTGTATCAGGTATCCAATTTCTCATAGAAATATTTGTGTATAGTATTCCAATCTGCACTTATGCGATTCCTTCAACACAAAAAAGGACATGGTCGAGAGAGTCCATCTAATATATGCAACAAACACTTATGAGTACAAAAAGCTAACCAACAGGATTATGTCTTTTGTTTCTTGACCACTTTGATTCCCAATGTATTCTTCTTAACCTTCTTGGCAGTGTTGTGTTGGACATTGGCTTTCAGGTCCAGCAACGAGCGGGACGATTCGGAAAGTAGACTGTGAACTGAGGGTTCAATCGCATCTGCCTTCCGCTTCACCGTAACGATTTCTGAGGGAGAGTCCGCAGACATTGAGGGAATTTTGGAGAACACCTCTCTCACTAACTTTTCATCTTCCTCCTCTAATCTCTTCCGCTCCAAATCCTCTTCATTCTCTATCTCTTCCATGTCAAGCTTCGCGAGAAGATCTGCCGAGTTGCCTACCCTCTCATTCCGAGCATTCCGAGCTCTGATGTCCTGTAAAGCATCGAGGATGTCCATCTCTCGTTTTGAATCCGTTGTGCGATTCTCTAACACTTTCATGGGATTGTTCTCTTCCTCTTCTAACTTCGCAAGCCGATCCTCCTCTTCACCTGCCTCTTCCTCTCTCCATGGTTCAAAATTCCTAGATGCTCCGTGCTCTGCTGCATAATCGGTGTTCTTGGGATCCGTCTTGAAGGTGATTTCAGCAGAACATAATGTACTGCATAGGATATAAATATCAGTCGAAGCTCAAGGGAGGATACGACAGACCATTTGATGTAGAACCTAAAGATCTTGATTCCATAGTAATCCTCTTCTTCGACGGTTTCTTTCCGAGCGTTGAACTTTTTGCCCTTATAGATATATTCGCCACACGTATTACATCGCCTGAAAAACGAAGTTACAAAAAATCGGGCCAAATGTAGTTGGAGATGGACGTACATAGAGAACGGAGCCATGAGACGGACAACCTGTTGAGAATTCCTGGGTTGCTTTCGTCGAGGAATCAAATCCGGATCGAAGTCCGGAGGGAAATACTTGTTGAGGACTGAAATGAAGATTGATAGACCGAACCGATGGAAGTGCAGGGATAGTGCTCATACCTTTACGTTCAGACATGGTAAATCAGAACGTATAGAGATGCAAGTGTGAAGTTGATAGACGAGAGCTAAGAGAAAAGGCAAATGCCGGCGGCAAATCAGTACTACAGTACTCAGTACTCAGCGCTCAGCAGGTGCTCAAGCGTCCACGCGCACGACTTCAACATGTCTCTCAAATTTTGGAAGCCAGGAACAGCAGGCCCTGGTAGCTCCTTGGACAGGGATACTCAGACTGAGGAAAATATAGTGCAGTGTGCTCCGGCTTACTCTTCTTTATCTATCCAAAGTCAGCGGGAAAGATTGCCTATATATAAACACCGTATGTGTATGCAGGCGCGCTAATTCGTAAATCTAATTTCCTTCCGAAGGCGAAAAGCTTCTTTATTGCGTGGAGAAATATGGTGTGATGATAGTTGTCGGGCAAACAGGATGTGGAAAGACCACCCGTGAGCCTTGTATGTCTTCTTAATACCAAAAACGCCTGACGAAAATCCATAAAATTGTTCAGAGCTTCCACAATATCTCATGGAAGCCGGCTGGGCTTCAGAAGGGAACATCATTGCTTGTACTCAACCTCGACGTGTTGCCGCAACATCCGTCGCAGGTCGCGTCGCCACCGAAATCGGATCACTTCTTGGGGATGAGGTAGGTCTGCACCACAGCTCAATCGCTTCTCTCAAACGGTCCTCCAGGTTGGTTACACTATTCGATTTGAAGATGTTAGCGACATCCAACGGACACGGATATTGTATATGACGGACGGTATGCTTTTTCGTGAAACTTTGATAGACCCGCTGCTGAGTAGATACAGCGTGATCATGGTGAGCATTCCGTCCGTAATATTTTGATAATTCCATCAGACCATCGCTCTATCAGCTTGACGAAGCTCATGAACGAACTCTCTACACTGATCTTCTGCTCGGCGTCCTAAAAAAGTAAGTTATTATCACTGATTCTGACCTGCTAACACATTTCCAGAATCCGACGTAAACGACCCTCCTTGCGTTTAATAGTATCTTCTGCGACAATCGATGCCTCATCATTTTTGGACTACTTTACTTCTGCAACGTCGTCAAGCGATGCCACCATCGTCAGTCTGGAGGGTCGTATGTTTCCTGTTGAGGTGGCATACTTGCAAGAGCCTGTGTCAGATTATGTCGCCAAAGCTGCAAGTACCGCAGTTGAAGTCAATGCCAAGGTTTGTTCTTTCTTATTTCTTATCTTTTATTGTGCTAATCAAAAAATCTTTTTCATGCAGTATGGGCCTGGGGACATTTTGATATTTTTGACCGGGCGTGAGGAAATCGATCGATGTTTGGAGGAACTGTCAGAGCTAGCACCCAAGTGGAGAAGCCGGTCTACTTGCTGGGAATCAAATTGACGATATTCGTAGGACTACGCGCTCCATGCCGATTCTCGTACCTCTCCCTCTTCACGCTGGTTTGACAACAGAAGAGCAGCTTGCGGTTTTCGAACCTGCACAACGAGGAACCCGCAAAGTCATCGTTTCTACAAATATTGCGGAAGTATGTTCCATCATTTTTCTTGTGGGACAGTCTGACTGAATCCATTAGGCTAGTGTTACTATTGAAGGTATCAAATTTGTTATAGATAGTGGTTTTGTCAAGGTATTTCACTGCTTTGTCTTCAGAGCTGTGTTCATCATACTTAGATCCTCGATAGATCCGAGTATATAACCCAACCACCGGCCTTGCATCCTTGGCCACGGTCCCTACCTCTGTTGCTTCTGCCACTCAGCGCGCGGGACGTGCAGGACGCACATCCTCCGGTGTATGCTACCGGCTCTTCACTCAAGAATCGTTTGCCAAGCTACCGTACTCTACCCCACCAGAAATTACCAGAACTGATATGACCACTCCGTTGCTTCAACTGAAATCTTTGGGAATCGATAATGTAATGAAGTTCGAGTGGGTGTCTGCTCCTCCAGCGGAAAGTGTTTTGAGGGCATTAGAGAATCTTTTTGCTGCTGGTATGGTGGGCGAAGACGGACGGCTTTCACCCATTGGTCAGAAAGTCGCAGAGTGCCCTGTCGACGTCGGTATAGCAAGAATGGTGTGCACAATCAGACAAAATTCATACGTCAATCGCTAATTAAATATTTTACAGCTTTTCAGTTCTCAAGAATATCAATGTGGGGAGGAGATCCTAACAATTGCCGCAATGACTTCTGTCCAAGTGCGTTTGAAAGTATACTGCCCAACCATTCCAGACCTTATCGTTTGTGTTCAGGACGTTTTCATTATACCCGATGGCGCACCAGGAGCACTAGCTGAACTTGAACGTCGGAAATTTACCGCAGAAGAAGGGGTATATTTCATGAACCCTTTGTCCTAAGTAGGCATTCTTGCTGAAGCAAATTATCATTAGGATCACTTGACGCTGTTGAATGGTACGTAGTCATATATGGTTCACTTCAATAAAACTCAAAATCAGATGCTCTCAAGTATACAATGCTTTTACGCGCTACGGACGTTCTTCCAGTTGGTGTAAAACCCATGCACTATCTTTTCGAGGGTTATCCAGGGCAGTCTCGATACGCGCGCAACTCAAAAAGTATATGCAAAGGTTCAATCTACCCCTGGAGAGCTGCCAAGGCGATGCAAAGAGATTGAGAAGATGTCTTATCAGCGGATATTGGCGAAATGGCGCAAGATGGGTCGGCGATGGAACCTATAGGTCGGTGAGGGGAAATAAAGTGCGTCTCTATCATATTCCGGTTCATTGTCCTCACACAAGTTTAGACATTGTATGTGCATCCGACCTCTGTACTCTTCACGAGAAAACCACGATCCGGCTGGGTTATTTTTAATGAGATGGAGGAGACGAAAAAAACCCAGTAAGTGTATACACATTTCGATAGCTTTTCCTTCATACGTTGACTTTTCAAAAACCTAGAATCAGGATCATCACTGAAATAGAGCCTGATTGGTGTGTTCTGTTTTGAATAATCTGTCGAATTGCTGTAACGATGTTCTATGAGAAGGCTTATAGATCATGGACATCGATACGAAGGCAAAGGTACTAGCAGTGCCGTAGCTGTTGGGTGACGCGACATATGAACAAACTCATGGTCATAGCGGCACTGTACATGTGTTCTACTTTCACTTTGATATTAAACATCCTCTATGTACTATACTACCAAAGCTTTCATTATATAGCTCTGTCAAAATGCAGCTGGTTTAGCTTCTAAAAAGGGGAGGTAAATTCGACCCCCCAAAGGCAATAAGTTCTCACCATGGAGTATATACGGAGATGCTCTTGACCCAGTCTTGACCAATCAAATTCTCTTTGGTACCCTACCGTCATGGCTGTCATTGCAATATACAACCCAGTCTGCGGTGATCAAACTGCAAAGGCAAGGTTGGATTGATTTTTGTGAATCGGGAGCTCACTCCCCCATAGTCCTTCTTTGAAGAGCAAGTCCTTCCTATCTGTGTTACTTCCTCTGTATTGGTCACAACTGTTTCGAGTACCGAGCGAGTCAATCACGTTGGAGAACTAGTTCTTGCAGAACTGGAGAAGACTCCGATCAATGAGGCTCTGACTGTTATCTTGGGTTCAGGAGATGGAACACTGCACGAACTGATCAATTACCTCTCGAGCGCTGACATCAAAGGCACAAGAGCTGGAGTTACCAGTGTTCCACCAGAAATACATCTTGTACTCGTTCCTTGCGGTACTGCAAATGCGCTTTACTCCTCATTATTTCCTCCAACCTCCTCCGTCACCCCGTCGATAGAATACAGACTACAGTCTGTGAGGTCGTTTTTACAAGCACCAGACTCCCATCTTTTACCTTTAACATTGGCTATCACGACGCTGTCTTCACCTCCTGCCGCGAAGATACGCCCCAAAGGTAGAGTAGCCTCAATGATCAAACTATCAGATTGTTCACCTCGAATTTTCTAGCCGTAGCGTCGGCAGTTGTTGTATCTACCTCTCTCCATGCATCCATCTTGCATGACTCTGAACTTCTGCGCGCGGAGATGCCAGGGATTGAGCGATTCAAGATTGCCGCAAAGCAAAACAGCAATAAGTGGTATAATGGTTACGCCAAACTGCTTCCTGTGGCATCTCTCGGAGTAGTGCAATTGTATGATCCGGACGCCAAAGAGTTCATCAGTCATCCTGACGCAGATGAAGACAACCCAGTGGTGGATCTCTACGGGCCATTCGCATACTTCTTATCTACGGTCAATGTGGATAGACTAGAGCCTGCATTTCGGATTACCCCTCTCGCTAAGGATATTCCCTCTGCAAATGATGCCTCTTGCGATCTAGTAGCGATTCGTCCTTTTTCTAACCCAGTTGTGTCGATAGACACGCCTGAAGCACGAGACAATTTTGTGAGCAAATTATGGGATACATTGCAAGCAGCATATCAAAATGGTAACCACGTTAATCTTCGATATGACGAGGAGGGTAAGGTGACTACGGAAGGTGAAGGGCCTTTCGTCGTAGAATACGTTCGCTGTGGTGGATGGGAGTGGATCCCGGTTAGTCTGAAATTCCCAAGAGTTTTGAGGCTACTAAAGCGAATGTCTTTAGGATGATATCGACGATGATGCTCATATAGTCTGTCTCGATGGTGACATTGTTACCATTGAAAAGGGTGGACGCGCAGTTTGTGTAGCAGCTACCCCTCAAGCCAAAGCGGGATTCATGGTCCATGGATGAATATTTTTGATTTAATGTATTCCTTGTATGGTCCTCCTTGATATCAATGCAATCCAGTAATTACAGTAGCTTAGGCGGTAGAGCCAGAAAGAAGTTTAGCTACAGCAGACCTGGTTTTCTGGTGTACCTCTTCAATAGAGACAGAACTATCAATCTAACAGGAGATGAGCATAGTCACCGAGTGGAATGTTGGTAACACATCACACACCTCTATCACTTTTCCGAGTTTCTCATAGTGTTCAATGACCGGCATGGTCTGTTCCTTGTACGTATCTATGGTAATGTAGGTACCCCAAGGAATCTCATAGGACGAAGAGGTACTTACTGAAGCGTTTCTTGATACTCTCAACGTTGTCGTCCTCCCTCCCGCTAGTTTTGCCTCGTTCAAGAAGACGATCAAGCATGACCTCTTGGGTGGTAGAAAAGAACAAAACCGCAGTTGCTTTTCCAACGTCGTGTTCAAACTTCTCTGCTTGGTCCATTTTTCGAGGAAACCCATCGATAAGGAAGCGACCTCGACCGTCAGTCCATCCCTCTCCAGATCTTCGTTCCGCCAGAGTGGCGGTCATTGCGTTCTCAAGGAGTTTAACGGTAACTTCCATTGGCACTATAGAGCCTTCCTTGATACAGGTTTGAATGAGCTGGCCGTATTCAGAACCTTCGCGGTGCTGTTCTGCACGGAGGAGGTCTCCAGCTGCAAGCTCCGAATTCACTCTATGGTATAAGCAAAAACAACAAAACGCACCTGAAAGATGAGAGAAGCTAAAGTCTTCAACGAGGCGCGCGCACTGGGTCCCTTTGCCTGAAATATTGAATTAAAATGGACGGATCGAAGATGGCTGGATGGCTACATACCTGCACCAGGACCACCAAGGACAAAGATAACCGTTACTTTTGAGTCGAAAGTGCTCTGGTGGGAGTGAAGATGGAGAGCATCAGACAATTTGTCGATGATAGTAGGCATTTAGGTTTAGTTATCACGAGGACGAGAAGGAGGTACAAGAGGATGATCAAGTTGTCGAGGAAGCTCGGAAGCTGGATTGGTTTTTTCGCGGTATTTTGCTAATGAATAAAACAGGACAAAGGAGCCCAAAGAAAGACCGACAAGCAGAAAAGGGTTTGGAGGTTTGTGCTGTGTCATACAAGTCAAGACCAAACAATCACCATACATTGATACATTGAATTAGCTGCAGATTAAATAAATAAAACCAACTTCTGCTCACAACCCGAGCACATAAAAAGCAACTAGCCAGACATGGACTTCTCATACAATTCTGACGGCAACATATATGTCCTCGTCGCCTGTCACAATGCCGATGCACCTGACTTGGTCGCCATTGGCGGTGATCATTCACTAGAAGTTCTCCTCGTGGTGTGGCCCTTTTTCTACCTTGTTTTTTGTCGTTAACTCTTGTTTCTCCAGGGACCTTCTTCATGTCGTTCAGTGGCATTGTTCCACATTGGAACGCGATTAACTGCAGTGGCTTGGTCTCCTCGCTCCGTGTCACCATCTTCGAGTGAAGAATGGGTTATAGAGTAGGCTTTCCTTTTGCTCAAAATGCGCGGACTATTTTGATCAAAGCCCTTTCCAGACTTGCTGTTTCTGGAGCAGACTACGGGCTTCATTTCCTCACCAAGACCGCGTCGCAAACAGAAGATGTATTCCATTTCGGCGGAGGGCTAAGTGGTCATCATGGCAAAGTCAATGATATGACATTCTGCGGAGGAATGGGTGCGGAGTCGTCGCGTTATGTGGCCACTGTTTCAGGTAAGTAAACGCGACCATATCGCGGAAGACGCGTCAATAGTCACTTCTAGATGATAAAATGTTAATGGTTTGGGATCTTACTCCCCACGATACGGACACTCGGATCGACCCTCCTGATTCCCGTCCCCAGCCAACTGTTTATGCAATGGCCTATTCCCATCCATTGACATCCATTGACTCCCACCCAAGTACGACGAAGGAGTTACTTGTAGCTGACTGTCGTGGCTCGATATATATCGTTGATTGGCGCTCCGACCCAGGCGCATCCGAGCAGATATCCTGGCGAAGCTCTAGTGTATTAGAACTCACAGATCCTCACGCGCTTTCTGAGGCTTCAGTTGGACTCTCTCTCAAACTTTCTGGTTCTGTGGCGTGGCGTCGAGATTCTCCTGACATGTAAGCTTTCCAAACAATGCAAGCCAAATCTTGATCACTTATACCAACTGACAGCATTGGATCCGTTTATGGTTCTAAATTTTCTTTATGGGATCTTGCTCATTTACAGGGTGGGAAGCCGTATGCTACAAATAGCAGTTTCGCACAAGGTGGCCAAAGATTCCGGTACTGTTTTTAATCTACCCTAATTTGCTCACTGACCGAGTTTTCGAAGTTGGTGTCCAACATATCCTGAATATTTTGCCATATCCACACAATCCCCGTTGAAAGGTGCCATAATACATGTTTACAGCACGAACTATATTTACGCCCAACCTACCGTGTTTAACGTATCATCGAGACCGCAATTCGTGCGGGACTTCGATTTTCTTGCCACTCGCGGAATCCCGAGACTAGCAGTGGCAGTTGGACGTTCTGTTGTGATTTTTCCGATTGGTGTCGAACCATAGCGGTGTTGAATTCTGTGTAATAATGCTATTCATTCCTTCTAACTTGGAGCACATACATAAGTTCATTTCATGAAATGTACCTTTTTCAGACCCTCCCTTAATGTAAACTGTATATGGATATCAAAACAAAACCTTAGACCTAGACTACTTAGAGGTCGTAAAGTCGTAGAATGGATAAAAGTACACAGATCAATGTACACGATTTCAACAAGAATCTTGAATGTTTGCAGACAGAATTAGCAATACTGGTGGAACTACCAAAGGACATCACATCCCCATTGGTGTCAGTCCCTCCATGCCACCCAGGTCTAAGTAAATCTTCCGCCAGTATTGCTGATCCGGCTCCGAAAAATGCGTCGGTGCAGCAGGCATATGAACCCCACCCACATGAGCTGGAAGAAAAGAAGGTAAAGATGATAACGCGAGCGATTCTGAATATTCACTTTCACGACACACGGAAGAATGCGAAGGAGGAGGAGATGCCAGAAATTGGTCAGGGGGGTAATGGGAAACCTGAGATTGGCTAGACAGCGGTGCATAGAAGGGAGAAGCTGATGAATGTGCTGGCCTTTGTATTTCGGGCTGTGGACCTGGATTACCAAGATCATCATCTGTCAGTCATACGACCGAGTATGTTCAAACTCCACGTACCTTGTGAACGGCTATCTGGAGAACGCACAGCACCGGTAGATTTCTCGATGCTCCGGTATCTAAAGATGTCATGGGCGAGTCCTTTCAGAAAGCGGGCGTGATATGCCGCCGATGGAGATGCTTCATGGTACGCTTCCGCTGTCTGTTGAATCACAGTATACGCATTTTGAGTTGCGCCATCGTGCAGCTGCAGTAACGAAGTGTTATTGCGGAGTAGCTGGAATAACGAAAGAGCTATTAAGTGTGAGGCCGGGATTCAAACTATAGTACCCACGCTTAATAAATATAGTGCGGCATATGCGGACATCATTGTGATAGTCTCCTGTCCATAACGCTAATAAAAAAAAGTTGGCCACACGGATGAAGTAAAACGACATGTCCGCACCAATACATTCATTCTAGCAAATTCCGAGACGACTTTCAGGGAATCAACGGCACTCGTATAACATGCTGAAAGAGCTTGAATGTTCGGAGTAGCTCGATTGGACTAGGAGATCGAGATAATGTTATGAGGGCCGATATGAATGTACTATGAAGCATTTTACCGATTCTCGAAGTGCAAGGCTGTTAGTGAACAATCGAACGTATAACCGAAACAGACTAAGGAACGAAAAATGGAAGGCACCTCCTCCCGCTATGCAGGTAAAATGAGTCAGTAATAACACCTTGAAAGTAAAACTTACCTTGTTGCATCTCTCGATGCCAGGTTTCATTCCATTGGGTTAGCTGACTGTTGCAGCTACGTAGTACAACTTCAGAACTCATGTCAACACCTCTTTGGAATATCTCTGTCGTTTCAGCCTGTTGAATAGAATCAGTCGAGTGATATTCATGAAGGACATTGTTACACAAACAGCAATGTGCCGCAATTGCACGAAAGCAGCCACAATAACGTCTTCCGGTCGAACAGAACCTCCGGAACTTTCGTGCCATCTATCGGAATGTCGAATAAAGTCATCCTCGGGAAGCATCCAGTGGCGACCCGTCTGGGTGCTGAGGCTGCGATCATGGATGAAAAGAACAAGATAAGTTCTTTCTCGATTACGACGCTCCAATCGTTGTAGTTCGGTCTCATTGGACGGAACATTGGGGACATAGCGATTGAGACCGATCTCCACAGCCATTCGGCATGCCTGTAGTTAATAATGATTCAGCTTCCAACAAACTCTGAGCTATGAGGTAACTCACATAACCTACAAAGGTCCAGGTACTCGTACGCTGGGTAGCATCGTAAGTACCGGCGATGAGTAGCAAGCCTGAAATGTACTTACATTGTCATCGTGGCCTTTCCAGTAAGTAAGGCACGCAAAAGCTTGCACAACCTCCACACCTTTCAAACCTTCTCTGAAAGCTTGGACAGCATATTCGTCCGCAAGTTTCTGGCACTGCTTGAAGAGTTCCGGCCTGAAGAATTTACAGCCGGCCATTATCAAGACAGTGAACAAAAACGGCGATTTGTTCCTAACATATGAAACTGTATGCAGAGAGGGATCAAAAAGATTGATGAAAGGATTAAGACGAAGGAAGATCAGATCAAATAGAACTTTGGCATGCTCTTCATCCACAATACCGGCTGATACGGGGTCGTTAAGACCGGCAGGAGCGGCAGGAGATTGAGGAGGGCTGTACGTCTCAGAGCCACGGACAGAAGATGGTCCTGAGGCAGGAGCGTCTTCAGGATTGAGTATTGTTCTAAAGAAGGAATTTCGTCTACGCTCCCGCTGAATAAAGTTGGCCGGGAAAATGTTATCCTCTGCGCGATCGGACGCACTGTCGTCTTCATCATCATTCGCGTCCAAGGTACGAGAGCTTGTACTAGATGCAGTGTATTCGCTGGCAGCATCAGGATAGGAAGGGAGATTGAGAGGTGGTAGATTTGAAACGAATTGCCCATTTGGAGGGCTGTAGGGATGACTACGGACACCGTTGGTATAACGGTCATCTGGCTCACCAGGAGAGGGATGCGAGTCTCGATACGAGGATGAATGTCTTGCGTCTATAGAGACAGCTTTGGATTTGGCACTATTGAGACCCTTCTCCAAACGTCGTAACATTTTGGAAGCTTCCGAAAGCCTGCGGCACGGTGAGGAAGTATGAATCAAGAAAGCGAGTAAGCATACTTGGAGCCTGGTTTGCGGCCTCGACGATGTTTCTCAAAAATGCATCTGACGATTACGACGTAAGGTAAAAGTTTAAAGGAAATACCGCAGGTAGCATACTGGACGTTTGCACGCTTGCAACGCTGGCACTGTCTTTGTCCATCCTCAGCTCCGACGCATTTCATCTGGAGAGAAGATGGACGATGAGCATGGCGCATATGAACGAGCGCACAAATTACCTTTGCTGCACGGCACGTCGTACATGCTCGGGCACCACGGACAACGGGGGGCTTTTGTCTAGAGAATGATAAAAGTGGAGAGATTGCATTTAGAACAATTCGACAAAAGATGAAAATAAAATATATCTCTAACAATTGTTCAGCATGGACTTCCATTTATTTGCCGGTCTTCAGATGACGGTGATCAAAGAATACGCGACGTGTAAACCAGGTGTAAACGAGCCCTGTTTTAACAATCGGGTCTCAGAGGAGAAACGAGGGAGAGCCAACTGCACAAGAGTGAGAGCAGAGCAGTGAAAGGTTAGAGGGAAAGATGGCAGCTTTAAATAATGGACAAGCTGATGATCCAACCTCGGCTTTTGAAGGATGCACGGGCTTTTGATAAATCGCTGAAAGGAGATTTGATGGCAATAAGGTTGGAGCGGCTTTTGCCTCCGGTCGAGCCGAGCTGCACGGCTTGGATGCCACGTGATAGGACCTGGCGAAAACTCTAATGCGTATGGTTTAAGTTTCAGTGAAGTTCCTTGTCACCGTATCCAATGGTTAGAATTATCATCAAAGGAGGTATGTCTTTTGCATCTTTGTTTGACTTTTTTCTTATGTGCATCAGGTGTATGGAAGGTAATTGCCCATTGGTTGACTCCCCAGCTCAACTGTCATGATGTTCAACGCTTTTGTAGAACACTGAGGATGAAGTGCTTAAAGCCGCCATAGCGAAATACGGAAAGAACCAATGGCGCGTTTATCGCTGTAATGCTTTCTACTGAACTCACATCCACTCTAGGGCTCGAATATCATCTCTACTGGTTCGCAAAACACCCAAGCAATGTAAAGCTCGTTGGTATGAATGGCTCGACCCGTCAATCAAAAAAACGGAATGGTCGAAGGTGTGTTAGAAAGTATTCTGTGCTCTTGGAGTATGAGTTGAGTAGGAACAATAGACAGAAGATGAAAAGTTACTCCATCTTGCCAAGTTGATGCCAACGCAATGGCGAACGATAGCTCCAATAGTTGGAAGGACTGCCACTCAATGTTTGGAGCGCTACCAGAAGCTATTGGACGAAGCAGAAGCCAAGGATAACGAAGAATTGGGTCTCACTGGCCCCGATGGAGATGCTGGCCCCAGTGCAGACGACGTTCGTCGCTTACGTCCCGGAGAAATTGATCCCGACCCCGAGACAAAGCCCGCACGACCAGATCCCATTGATATGGATGAAGATGGTCAGTCAGCTAGGCCATACTGTTGAAAGCTGGACGTTGATCTTTCTTCTGCAGAAAAGGAAATGCTTTCAGAAGCTCGAGCACGTTTGGCCAACACTCAGGGAAAGAAGGCCAAAAGAAAGGCTCGTGAGAGGCAATTGGAAGAAGCTAGGCGTTTGGCAGTTCTTCAAAAGAAACGAGAACTCAAAGCTGCTGGGATAATGTATGTGTTTTTTTAATATTGGCAACGCTTGCTACGTTAGGGTAACGCAATTATTTAGCATGCGACATAAAACCAAGAAGAAAGGAATGGATGTAAGTGACGGAACGAAATCCTTCCCAAAATTTTGTTCATTTGTCTTCATCATAGTACAATGCCGACATCCCGTTTGAGAAAAAACCTGCACCTGGTTTTTATGATACATCCGAGGAACAGGCTCGAGTTGCTGCTGCCCCTGTAGGTCAAACCTTACGCCGAATGGAAAACAAGCGCAAACCAGATGCAGAAGAGGCTGAAAGGAAAAAAAGGCAACGCAAGAACGGGAAAGAGGGAGAGGGCCCTGGTCATCAAACCAAGTTTATTCCGGCTCGAGATGCACAAATTCAGAAGTTGAAAGAAGCAGAGTCGATTAGTAGGAGGCGAAAATTGATGCTCCCTTCTGCGCAGGTCGGTGAAGCGGAGCTTGAAGAGATCGTTAAGATTGGTCAAGCTGGAGAAAATGCGAAAGCCCTTGTCGGTGGAGGTAGTGATGCTAGCGGAAGGCTATTGAGTGATTACGAAGGGTTAGAGAATGCTCGGATGGCTCGAACACCTCGGACTGCCCCCCAAGGTACGCGTTCATGACATGCAATCTGTTTGTAACTCTCATAGTTTCTTTCATCTACCAGAGGATAACATTTTGAGTGAAGCACGAAATCTTCGCAATATGAGCATAGCCCAGACTCCTCTCCTCGGGGAGGAAAACACCCCTATGCATACGAATACAAGCGGAGGAACTGGGTTCGAGAGCGCAACACCTCGTCATCAGGTCGCGTTTACCCCGAATCCCCTGGCCACTCCCCTTCGCTCTGGTACCGGGGATGTGTCTGCTACTCCTCGCGACATGTCCGTCGGTAGCACGCCGCTTCGTACACCGTTGAGGGACAATCTCTCAATTAATCCCGATGGGTTCCCATCCATTGGCGACACTCCAAGGGAACAACGCCTACAGGCTCACTCCGCGAAGCGAGCATTACAGACTGGATTCATGAATCTTCCGAAGCCTGAGAATAACTTCGAGCTGCTGGTTCCAGAAGAAGAAGAAAATGAAGGAGGTGATGGTGAAGACCGAGGACTCGTGTTGTCTGAAGAAGATGCCGAAGAGCGTGACGCAAAGTTACGGCGCGCCCGTGAAGAAGAGGAGAAGAGGATTTTGTCAAGAAGAACTCAGGTTGTTCGACTTGGTCTTCCTCGACCTGCCAACGTTGATGCTGCGACCCTACTGGAGCAACTCTCACTGTACGACGATGTTGAAGAGGGTGAACTCGGCGCCGCTCAAAAGCTTGTCGATGCAGAACTCGCTTCTATAATACAACACGATTCTCTGGAACATCCTATTCCAGGAACCTTGCGGCCGGGTAGTGCCAAGTCGACTTATGAGATTCCTGACGACGAAGCGATTAATGCAGCAAAGTCTCTTATACATCTTGAGCTTGCATCATTGGTTGGCTTTCCACAAGCCAATGTGGATCAAGTACGGGAAGGCCTAATTGCTCTTTCGAAAGCAGATTCCGTGGACGACCACGCGTCATGGGCTTCTGTGCGGCGAAGTCTAACTTTTGACTCGTCCTCGAAAATCTGGGTCAATCCTAGCCAGCTATCTTCCGAGCAGCGCATCGCAGGGTATGATGCGCTGCTATCAGAACATCAAAATATTATGGGACAGGAAGCGCAGAAGATCGCCAAACATGAAAAGAAGCTGGGGAAGGTCCTCGGAGGCTACCAAGCTCGCTCACAAGCGATTTCTAAGAGGGTTACGGACGCATTTGCAGAGTTGCAGACGACGTACAGCAATTATCAGAGTTTCGTCCGCCTACAAACAAACGAAGCAGCTGTTGGTCCTCGGCGTGTGGATACGCTGAAAGAAGAAGTGGAGAATCTAGAACGGCGCGAAAAGACACTACAGGAACGATACGCGGAATTGGCGGCAGAACGGAAGGAATCTGAAGCTAAAGTGGCAGCGTTGGAGGAGAAATTGATGGCCGAGGCTGAAAAGTTTAACGAAGCTAGTCTTGCTGAGATGGAGGGTGTAGAATCATAGTATGTCTGCTCGTCGCTGTATGTACAATATGTCTGTATTCTAGGGTTTGATGAAAAAAGTTATATTTGTCTTTGTCGGATTGGACAAGCCGTTATGCACGAGGCATGTTGTAGAAGATCATCGGGAATTGTTCATCTTTTCTTCCTGCAAAGTAAAATGCCTACAGTAACCTTCCCGATGCTGATTGATGTGACGACGACCACTGTCTTTGCCTCTTCTTCTGCGACACCAACCTCATCCAATAAAAGTAGCACATCTTCTGTTCCTGTCGCTGCAATCGCAGGAGGAGTTACTGGTGGGGCGGTGTTGGCTGTGGCAATTGTCATTGCTTGGATAGTATGGGGGCGATCGATAAAACGTCAAAAGGTGAAGCAGCAGCGGGAAGCCGTGAGTTTGATACAATGTTCAACTACGATGAAATGGCTCAGGAAAGGTCTTGCAGGACGAATTACGAATTACGAAACATAACACGATGAAAAATGCCTCCACTTTTTCGAAACCCAGAAATTACTCTTACAGACCACTGTTTTGGCCACCTTCCGACACACAAGTCAAATTTGCGGATGAATCTGAGAAGAAGTCTACTGCAGCTGCAAATCCGACTCACAAAACCCCTTCGCGGCCGAAACCACTGACTCCCCATGTTTCATTTACCCCCAAGACCAGGACGACTACCTCAGCTGAGCCTGTGCTTGCCCCGCAGCACAAAACAGTAAGGCCTCCATCCCCAGCTCTGGTTACAAACCAAGCCCCCATCCCTGACTCTGAATATCCCGTGCTACGCTCTCAGTCATCAATCTTTTCACTAATGGCGGCGTTGGGAGCAAGCGCACATCGCTTGTCTTCGACCTCCAGCTGGTCGCGGCTTACAGGAAATCGGATATCTCAGGCTACATCGGGTTCTTCATACTCCCAGCCCAGTAATCAGTCTACAGCGTCGGTTGGGAGAGCGTATTAAATCAAACAATGCTGACTGTGAACGTTTTCGTACAATGGACATTGATATTCGTGAACTTCACTAGTTTAGCGATATAAACGTCCGCATTCACGACATTCTATTGCAATGTTTTAAAGTAGTCCTTTTTGAGGAGGATGAACATTGTAAACGACCTTGTTAATGTTGACCAAAGACACTCACCTTCTCCAGTTGTGCAACGGAGTTTTTGAAATTGACAACTTCCATCCAGCAATCCAGAGAGCTCGTGGCATGAGATCTTTTACAAAATGTAATGTTAATGACCATGATTGCCCACATGGAAATAACGACGTACTTGTAACAGGACACGAGCGCATCCTGGCTTGCTTTCAACCCGGGATAACTGGCAAGACTCTTTCTGATTTGAAACCGGTCAATTTTGGAGCGGATCTCTTCCAAGTCTCCTAGCAAAGCCGCACTGCTTTTCACAGATCCTGCCCCAGCCCGCCCTTCTTCTGAAGCTTGCCCAGCCATAGCTTTTTCACGATCCAGATTCTCCTTTTCCAACGCAGCTCGAATCTCTTCCTGAACTTCCTCTTCTGCTTTCCGAAGCTGCTTTACTTCATCTTGAATTCGGGTCCGAATGTGCTCATCTAATGTGGATTGTCTTTCGGGTGTCGGGATAGTGGATGCCTGACGCTCAGATAGTTGCTCTACAACATCCGGGGAGAACTAATGTGTTCATTCAGGAAGTTGACAACAAAGGTTACGGATCCCTGCCCACCTGCACAGGTGTGTCTGAGCGAAATACTATTTGCCCACTATTCGACTTGGATTGGGAAGCCCCCATTAAGTTCAACGTAGAGAAGAGGGCAAGGTGTCAGGGAAATCGCACCCGTACAGCCCCATTGTAATAGTACGGATCATTTCCTGATCCGGACCGATCCCGAGACTCGTAAGTACACAGTCAAGGAAGCAGACCATAACATGCATTCGCATGTGAGCCTCCTTCATCCGGCTCGGAGGGGGCCTTCGGCCCCTTTGATCCAAATATGGCTCACATGGGGTGCTCGCTTTGAAGTGCTAGATGTAATAGTCTTGGTCGGTGCTGGCGCACTGTAAGACCTGGGTCAGAATAGGTCTTAGGGTAGGTTTTGGTATAAGGAATTTATGTTGTAGCGTGCATGCTAGGAGCAGGCTGGAGCTCGAAGGGAGCTATGGGAACCACGACCGAGGACAGGAATGACCTAGTAGTAGCTGGAATAGAGAGATGTGACCCTTGAAGGGGTTCCTATAAGGTCCAGGGAGGTCCCTAAAGCGTAGGGAGGGAAGGTAGAAGTACGGAACCTAGTAGTGTTGCGTAGTAGGAGTTGTACTCGCTAGAATGTCACGTAAGATCAAATAGGTTGTAGTGGAAGTGGGTCTTGAGTGTGTAAGCTCCTGAGAAGATATACGCCTGGGAACTGGGGCTTAGAGGTGGACGTCCTTGAGTGTTGGAGGTTGTAACGGAGAAGCGGTACATAGTTCGACGTAAGGGGTAGCTTCAATGTTACCTAGATCGAGGTCCCAGAGCTTGAGGAGCAATTGGGGAGCTCGAGGAGGTTTGGGGAAGGTTAGTTCACCAAGACGTTTAGGCATTGGGGAGCTTTAGGATTGTTCGAGGGAGCTCAGAGACTCACTTGGATTGCTTAGACTTGAAGTAAAAGTGTGTATTGGATCATATGGACGATCGTAGAGACAACAGACGAGAGTAGAGAGAAACTGAGATAAAGAAACAGAGAGTAAAGAGAAATCCATATGGTTAGCAGGTACAAAGGGACAGGGACTGGACCTATGCAAAAGGGTGTGTGTTCAAAATATACCAAGCTGGTGATCTTGAGGATATAAGGGTACTTATATAGACAACATGAAAGGATCAGGGGAGCATTGTATGAAGTGGACATTTAATGGGGATGATCTAGAATACATGAGGATGGGCTGATGGAAGCTTGGACGAGTTCCCGGGTCTGTCAGGTGGTAGGCGGTAGGCAGTTGTGGAGTATTGAGTTTTTGGGTGGTGGTTTGAGCAGTTTGAGGAGGTCTGGAGGTGGCGTCAGGAGGTTCTCAAGAGGAGAAGGGGAGGTTCCCGATAACGAGCTTGCCTCGTTTTTGTGTGAAAGAGAAAGGAAGGAATCTAATGGGCACTCCAACCAACCAATCTAATACACAATATGCGAGTTCACTGCTATCAAATTTATTTAATAGCAAGGGGTAGCGTTGGCAAAGGTTCCGCAAAGCTTTAAAAGCCAAGTAAGAAGCTTTAATCAATCAATTTGAATCGTTCTAAGGATTCAATATATTCCTTTGATCAAGGTAGATTCAGCACGATTTGTGCTTTGGTTTGTATTGATTTGGGTATATCAAGAATTGGGGGTTTGAATCAAAGTAAATTAAAACCGAAACACACAGACCCCTACGGAGGGCTAGAACTATGTGCTGGCACAACCACACAGCGTGATTTGCCCTTAAGACCAACAACTGATCCTAAGTTCGAAGAATACCCAACAACTGGATATACTTCTCGCAGTCACAAGGAGCAGAACACAATGTTCCTATACTCACAAGTGCCGGGCCCGAATGGCTGCTAGCGAAGAGGTTTCAGTCTGGCGGGAGTGTGTCTTTCCTTTTTACGGATTAGCACTGCAACGTCGTCCCAAAATCACTTGTATTCCAGATACATCAGATCGCTATTTATACATACAGAATATAGAGTCGCACAGTACAATTAATTTAATACAATAAACGTTCGGAACCACCAGGAAACTTCTACACTCGGTCAGATACCATTTAATTTGAATTTACATGTCCTTATTTGGCCCATATTGGTTCCAAGATTCTAGTATACCTCCAAACATAGGTAGGTACTTCGATATTCATTTAATTTAATTGTTTTTGGAGAATGACTCGAATGGTGTTCAACTGTCATTGCTGTTCAACACTTACTTCGATTGTTTGTCACCTCGTCCGGAGGCAAATCAGCTCTCCTCGATTCTAATCCTATCAATCTGATTCATCTGGATTAAACTAATTGCTTCTCTCTTTCAACAGACACCCATTGTGCCTATACTCTATCAAGGGAGTTACACATAGTATTCATTTAATTGTATTCTTCAATATTTTCTACATCAGGACTCTTTGACATTCATTTGATATGTCTTCGGAGCCTCGCAGTACTTCGATCATTCTTCTAGTCATTTTCCTCAAACATGCAACTTGATTGGTCTATTAGACTAAATCGCAGTCTTTTAGATTAATGCATGATCTCATTCTAGAAAGAGTATCTGATAATTCCTGAGTTCTAGAAAGTCATTTCGAGTCAATCCTCGGCTCATGGTCACTTGAGTAAGTTCTTCCAAACTCCGGCCAGTATAAGGTCCAATAAGAATACCCTTGGTATGTCATACGTGAATGGTCATCCTTCGGATGTAGTCCAAGTCTGGTATAATCCTGTTTGACAAACAGGTAGACTGCTATCCGAAGGTAGTATCGGGGATGGGTAAACTAACCAACTTGTGGTAGTATGGGTATATGGTCCCTTCAACTTATTGGACTGATTCAGTATTGACTTTGACTGTCAATCTGGGTCTCAATTACAGTCCTCTCGATACAAATCTATACGTGAAAATGTCACAATTCACAGCATAGACGTCTAGCCAAAATTTAGGCGTGTCACCGAGAGAGGACGGAGGTTCGGGGGCGTTGCTTGAGTAGAGCAAGGGAGTTACAGCGTCGTGGTTTAGTGCCAGTGCATGACATTACCCCCCCATCTATTCCTCCGAGCCTCCGAGGAGATAGTGTCTTGGTCCTGTTGAGTCAGGTGCCTCTCACATGGGCTTGGACTTTTTTGTTTACAAGTTCTTTTTTCTCTGTCGCCTTATCTTCCTACAACTTCCTTCATCAATTATCAGAGTCAAACTCGATTGCGAGGTCTGCTGTTCCCACTGTAGTGGTATCCGATTCTCGCCCCATTGCTTCTCCAACTTCCACGCCTCCGCCTCCCCCCAATCCTCCACTTACGACTGAGGAGGTCAATGTGGATGAACTTGTGAGTACCGTGGAGGACCCCCCTCTTGGGCAATTAACTTTGTTCAAGTCTGTCTTTGGCATGGGTGTCTCCCTGGGTCGATATATCATTGACGATCCTTTGTGGCCTATTCTTGCCGCCGCTGGTCTTCCTTGCTCTTTTTGTGTGCACAGTAAGAAGTCCGGGAGCTGCTCTGTTGTCCCCGATCTGGCTTGTTGTAGCAACTGTGACGACAAGAAACTGTGCATTCTGGGATGATTAGCGCGGTTCCGCTATTTTGCCTGTAAATGCTCCCGCGACCTGTCGTTTGCGCACAGATTTTTGGAAGCACACGGAGATCCCAGCCAATGCACTCGATTTTCCCTCCTTCCAGAGCAATGGAGGACCATTGCCGATAAGATTCAGTCTAGCACTAGTTCCACCTGTGCTCTTTTGGAACTAAGTCCGCTCGATGACCAAGATTGACTTGAGGAGGATCATTTGAAATTGCAAGATTTCATTCGTCATCAGCCGAAGCTTTCAGCTGTTGCGGAACCCATTCCATCTGGTCCACGTATCCCACTGGTTCCAGACAAGGTCCTCTCAATCCCGAAAAAGAGAAAGTGGACCGTCAGGATAGGGGAGGCATCCTCCTCGAAGTATAAACGTTCTGTGGAACAGGATCTAGGGGTAGGTAATGCTTCCGACTACCGCCATATGGTCCTGGTGCTCCCTCCCCAGGCAGTGAGTCGTCCCGAGGTTGTAGAGCCCCGCACCCCGAGTCGTGGGGACACTGAGCCTGGTGGTCCCTGTTCCCCAATCTCTCCTGACATCCCCAATGAGCAACGTGCTATATTGGAACTTCTCTCGGGTTTCAAGGGTTCCATTGAAACCCTTGGCTCCGTTCTCGCTGCTCTCAGCCGCCCTTCTGACAGCTCTGAATCTAAGAGCCAAGTCAAGGAGCCAGAGGTATTCGACGGTTCGGACCCCCGAAAGCTCAAGACGTTCTTTGTCAATCTCGCCCTGGTCTTTAATGAGCGTCCAAAGTATTTCACCGACCAACGGAAGGTGAACTACACCCTTTCTATCTCAGTGGGTCAGCCAAAGAATGGTTTGTCCCTGATATCCTCAATCCGGATCTCGACTCGCTGCCGGTGACACGCCTAAATTTTGGCTAGACGTCTATGCTGTGAATTGTGACATTTTCACGTATAGATTTGTATCGAGAGGACTGTAATTGAGACCCAGATTGACAGTCAAAGTCAATACTGAATCAGTCCAATAAGTTGAAGGGACCATATACCCATACTACCACAAGTTGGTTAGTTTACCCATCCCCGATACTACCTTCGGATAGCAGTCTACCTGTTTGTCAAACAGGATTATACCAGACTTGGACTACATCCGAAGGATGACCATTCACGTATGACATACCAAGGGTATTCTTATTGGACCTTATACTGGCCGGAGTTTGGAAGAACTTACTCAAGTGACCATGAGCCGAGGATTGACTCGAAATGACTTTCTAGAACTCAGGAATTATCAGATACTCTTTCTAGAATGAGATCATGCATTAATCTAAAAGACTGCGATTTAGTCTAATAGACCAATCAAGTTGCATGTTTGAGGAAAATGACTAGAAGAATGATCGAAGTACTGCGAGGCTCCGAAGACATATCAAATGAATGTCAAAGAGTCCTGATGTAGAAAATATTGAAGAATACAATTAAATGAATACTATGTGTAACTCCCTTGATAGAGTATAGGCACAATGGGTGTCTGTTGAAAGAGAGAAGCAATTAGTTTAA